CCCAGTTTTTCATATACCCCCATATTTTCACTTAAATTTTAATTCCTTTGTACAACAATCATTCAATGTTCTTTTAATTTGGCCTGAAAACACGGATGAAAATGCTTCCATCCCATGGAAACTTGAAGAATATGAGAAGGAAAAGAAGAAGGGGGCAATCCAGTAAAAGGGAGGGAAAAGGTACAGAAATTGGTGTCTCCCTTTTAAGGGGGGGCATGATCACATGGGAGTACCAATTGTGAAGGGATGCAAATGAGAAAATGGCAGAGGATTTGATGGAGCCCCATTAATGCATAACTCATTTGTAGCCTTCCTTCCTTCACCTTCTATCCATCATCATTCTTCAATTCCCTTCTTCTTACTAAAACAGTCTTAAACCTAAAAAAAATTAATAATAAATGATGAATCTAAAATCTTCTAATAAAATAACAGCTTTTGATTGTTAGCTTGCACTGTCTCTATTAAAATTGCTGTATATACTGACCAAAGGAATGACACCTCGGAACTTTGCTGCAAATTTCTGTGACAAACCCATCTGTGCCATTGCCTCCCCTCCCTTTTCTTTTATTCAATAATTAATGCTTCCTCAACTTTTTTTTTAATGACCAAATTATGATTTTATTTTCCTTTAATATGCATTAGAAAAAGGGAAAAAAATTAGGCAAAGAATCTAGAAGACTTTGTCCTCCTTTTTATGTCACTTTGCCGACTCACAAGGAACAGTAATGAGATATGAGATTAATGCGAGAACATTAGGTGCCAAACACCAAAGCTTGAATCACCCTTTTCCTTTGGGTCTGGAACTTGGACACCCAAATAAAAAAAAAAAAAGATTATATCGATCATGTGCTATGACCTTTTCTTTTGGGTACATAATTTAGATTATGAAAAAAAATTTCTTTCAAGAAAATAAGAAATGGAAAAAATCTATATATCAAATTTAGTTTTTTATATGAATGATGTTGTGATTGAAAAGTCAATAGTTTTTACGCAATTTGCAACTTAACCATAAAAAAGCACTTGCTTTGTTTTTTTTAACAAAAGAAGTTGCAATTTAAGAATAAATTAAAAAATTATAAGTATCAAAATTTAAATTTTAAAATTATTAGATATCATTTTTTATTGAAATTCGTACCTTGGAAATATTATATCTTAAAGATATTAAATACTTATTAAATTCTATATCTTAAAGATAAAAGTATGAAGCCACTAAATTAAACTTCAGTTTCAAAAAAGCACTTAGATTTCTCTAATAAGCCAAGATAAAACTAATAAGCCAAGGCAGATGATCTACTTCTAGAGAAAGTTGATGAAAAGATAAACCTAGCTAGGAATGCCAGCCTTGTTTTAGTGGACTGGAGTCAATGCTACAAAGATATTTCTTTCTTGGGTTAAGGAGGGATGAATGAGCCAATAAGCAGATTGTTTTGAAACTAGGCTGCAGACAATGTTGTCCTGCTGCAATTTCTCTTTCCAGGAATTAACCACTCGGTTCCCAGCCCATCATATTTGATTGAATGAACAGTAACATCAACGTTAGACTTGTTTTCAGGTGGGGCGTGATTATGAACTGGTTTTGCTCAGGAACTGCGGCAATGTGGGGCTTGGCTGAAAAGGATCATCCTGCAAACTCCTGATTTTGTTGGCAAGTTTGCTTTCAGGCCCATCATCTCCTCAATTTCGTCTCATTTTGTAGATAAGCCTGTGCCTGTCCACATTTCCGGTTCATTAAAATAATCAAGAGGCCAAGCACTTTTCTGGAAAACACAAAAACACCCCATCGGAATATAACTGGAGTAACAGAGTGAATAAAAGCAGCCTTCAATTCTACCTGCTATAAGAATGAAAGCACAGAAACAACCATACCAACAACAATAATAATGGCATTATCGAATCTCAGAACTGGCCACAGATTGGGAGAAAGATTCATATATATCATCATTTGCCAACAACATGATTGACTGCTGAACTAACTCTACAATCTTTTGGAAGTGTTGTAACCCTGTTTGGGACCCCACGTTTTTCCTACAAGAACAAGCACATAATCAAGTAGGACCGGAATCCGCCAAGAAAGGCTCTTGCCCCTCCAAGAGTAAAGGGTTCTGACAATGAAAAAATTGCTTGAGGACAAAACATCCACTGGTTATATGGTGGATTTTAACACCACTGCACCGGGCTATAGATATATTTCCCCCGAAAACCTCAGAAGCCATAAAAACACCAAAATTTAAATTTTAATACAGTCCACATACAAATAGAGAGAGATATGTCTGAATAGGATCCATCAGAGCAAGTTAATATAAGGATAAAGCTTGAATTCCACATGTGGATAGCACAAGAACCTACCAGACAAGTATAACATATTGACAACTTATTATCTCCTACCATTTTATGTGATTATACTTTTGAACTCCTGAAAAACTCATTGCACAGATGGTGCCAAGAATACAAAGCAAGAAACACTTTCTAGTTTTACAAAAGAATCAAATAAAAATGATGTTTTCTGACCTTGGTAGTTGGTACAATAATTTATTCTTTGGCTTCTGTGTAAGTCCTGGGAGTATGGACGCTAGCATATTAACAGATCATCCATGACAAACAGGAATTGTTTTTTCAATGCAATGCAAGAAAGAGCAGCAAAGTGCAAATTTAGAATACCAACATTTCTACCTTTGAACCATCAATGAGGAAATGAGCATATAAACTTCAATTCCTCCTAGTTCCTTGGCTGTGCCCCCCCCCCCCCCCCCCCCCCCCAACAAAAAAAAAAAAAAAAAATTCTCCCTCTTCAAACGTACCACCTCATGGCTCAATATGGCATCTAAAGCATAAGATCACAACAGAAGAAAATGACTCATCCATTGTGAAAATAGGTACTTTGCAAGGTACCTCTTGTGGAATCAAACATTTTACAACGTCCAACTACCCAAGTATGATAAAGCAATGAAAATGTTCGCTGTTTGCAACTAGCAAACAATTTATAATTCGTGCCATAGCACTTAATGAATTCACCAGTCACTACATTGTTGCTAAAAAATAAGATTCAGTGAAATCACACTCCAAACATGGGATCATCCTTATGCTACTTGTATTTATCAATACCTGTAATAATATCCCAAAGCTGGCCAGTTGCACTTTCTCTGACATAAGACTCTTTGTTGAGATCTGTTCACAGGGAAAATGACAAAATCTAAAGCAAGAACAAGAATGTAATGACTTGAATACATTAGCTAACTGACCCAACCAGATCACCTGGAAAAAGGGGAGAAAAGAAACTGTACAAAGAAGAACAAAATCTAGAGTAAAAGAAAGAGGAAAAGAGAGAGGGGAGAGTAAAGAGACCCATGCACATCTATCGCAGAGTTGTCATTACAGAAGAGCAGCATAATAGGGGGACCAAACCATCCTCAAGAAGGGGACATGAAATTCTAAGAGAAGACAACATAAAGCTGCATGCTCATCAGCCCTAGGAGCAAAAGTTAACCTTAAAAGCAACATATTTTTATTGCCTTCCAAGTTTAGAAATAATTGATGTTTTTAAAGTGAAAATTGATGGAAGAAGATAATTTATAGTCACCAAGAAGAATGTTCAAAGTAAAAAGGAGTAAAAGACTAATGTGCTAGAACTCTGGAGGCACTCCTAGGCAAGAATTACTAATTTGAATCATCCTCTTAACTGCAATTAGGTTCATTAGTACAAGATAATAACATTACTATAAGAAACATGACTTAAGATGAGAAACTCCTTCTAAACAAATTCCAAGGTAAAAAGAATAATCCAGCAGTGATGCATTTCTCTCAGGAAGCGATAGCCAGTTCAATTTCCTTGTGAGTGTATATTAAAAGATAACGGATAACATGCTTATTTGGATTGTGAAGCAAATAAGACTAGAATCTGGAGCTGTGACTTACCAGAAAATCTAGTACCAGTTGTCTATGTTCTTAAGTAATGAGTGGTTATCATTTGCTACTACTGCCAATTAGTGGTACACAGTTGCTACTTTCTCATGTAAAGCTAGGAGGCAGCACATAAAGGATCCACACAGATTTCATTTCTGCCAGACAAAGATTCATCTTATATTAGATAAAAAGAGCAACAATAGAATCATAAAGATTGACTCAAGAGACTCAAAGCCAACTCAGGACTACCAGACTTGTACAGGAAGCGTAAGAAAACACGGAAGATGAAGTGAGAAATTAGAAGCTCCTAAACATTACTAAAAAGGTCAATCCAGCTGTCAACTAGACAAAATCTGCACTTGAGGAGCACCTCCCCAGCTTAGCTAATAACAGATTTTTTTTTTTTTTTATGGCCATCCAAGTGGCATGAATAAAGGATATGCCATGTGATGATGGTTTATGCAATACTTCCCAAAATTCACAATAAGATGTCTTTTGCATTTCCATCTTATGCTTGCTCTTTGCAAGACCATCAACCAAGCCTGTTCAAAAATTTCAGTCCATCCATTACTAACAAGAAAAAAATCAAATTATGAAATGCAAGTATAGAAAACATGAAAAGTAAGATTTTAGCATGATTACTTTGCAACAAACAAAGTGAAAGAAACATGGCCCAGCAATGGACATTATACATGGATAAGCTTAGATAAAGGTCCAAAAGAAAGCCCTTTCTGAGTATCTACATATCAGGTCATCCTATGGTAGCCACAAGATTCTGGTCTTACATCCTTCAGGAACACAGATATTTAGGGCTCACAGGAGACCTGAAAGAAGAATCCAGCAAGCAGAAACTAAAGAAATTAGTGCCTAATAATAAATTCCCATACAAATTGCCCCACTGTTGAAAAGCAAGAGAAAGGTGGCAAACCCAAAATCATCTTTGGACATTTGGAAGGAAGGTGTCTAGGCCTCCTCCTTCAACCCTGGAAAATACAGTGGAAGCATCAATAATGTCCTCAAATGAGAAAGCTTGTACTGAAAACAGAGTATTATACCCTGGGAACATTCACATTAATTAGAAGGCAGGAAACATCTTTCCTTAATACTAAAAAAAATTTTTAAAAAAAAATCAGAAACATCCAGAGGGATTTTGTCACATGATAACATTTTTTTAATAACTAAAGGATTCAAATGTCATCAGAAGATTAGTCATACATCCATTGATATTTAAAAGATGCAAGAAATATACACGAGAATGATCAGAAAAATGCATCCTTGATATCTGCCCAATTGATGGCATATTCCTGATGTGCTATTTGGCAAAGATTCTTTTTGCTAAAATAAATGTACAAATAAGGGAGGAAAGAAGATACAGAAGAATTGATACACAATGCTTAGCTCAGAAACATTTAATGCTTTTCAGTTTCTGTTGTGTTACATTCATTTCAAAATATATCACCATACGCTGTATTACCTAAATGAGGAAAATTGATAGCATATTTCATCAAACTTCATACAATTGAGGGAGCTGTTACTGACATGATTTATCTGAGTCTATTTCTAAAGGGAAGAAATAGAGAAGGAAAAAAAACCACAGAGACTCCTGGTTATCTTATAGGAATGCTGTTATCAGCAGAAATTAAGTTTCTTAGCTCCATCAAATGTTCATCATTAGATATATGAAGTGAAAGACGAAGATTAGTCACTAATGCTTCTTGTTCCCAACTTAAAGGCCCTGATGCATGCAAGGCCTCCATAGTGCAACGGTAGGCATGTAACTCTATCTTATGGATCTCTGCAGCCAGTTCCTCTTTCGAAGGAAGGAGAGAATTTCCTTCCTCATCTCCCCTTGGACAAAAAGATTCAGCATCACTATATTGACCACCAAAAACTTCAGTAGGACCTGTAGAAACACAGTGAGGCAACCTATAGAGATTGTTACTACTCACACTACAACTACCAATAGAGCATGTAACACTATCAGCGTCATTGGTTTCTAAGTGTTCTGCAAAATAACATCCAACAGCACCATTTGGTTTTCTCCTGTCCCCATGCACTTCAGACAACCCAGTTCTGTTGTTAAGAGAAGCATATATGTATTTTTCACCCAGCATATCTCTTGGGAAAGGAACAGCATCTACCTGTTCAAGAAAGGATGGATTTGCAACAAGAAGTCGGTACAATCTTCCATCTTTCTCAACTGCTCTAAGTTTCTGTCCAGCAGCAGCATGAGCTTCAACTTGAGAGTAGCATCCTCTCTTTAGGGTTTTTGAGGAAGCAATAACAGATTCCTGGTAATTAATCTCTTTGTTAACAGGACCATATTCACCCGTCACATGTCGATTTGTCCTTCTAATTGTATTCTGAAATTGGGAACTAGAATTTTGATTGTATCTAAGAGTAGAATTTCCAACATATTTCGCATCTTCACAACTGCCAGAACGCTGCATGTAAACATAATATAAATGAATATCCTGATTTATGGAATGAGAACCAAACATATGACATCAGATTTGCCTGAAATTATTAGAAATAATGCATAGTACTTAGATCACAAACTCTGACACAGAAGGGTTACTGTCTGAATGAAGGGATCTCATTTAGATGATACAAATAAGAATATTGAAGCCTACCTCAACTTACAATAAAACTACAAATGGATAGAGTAATGAAGTAATGATAGACATGAAAATAAATCAACTTCCTATAACATAAAGTGTTTAACTGGAAAAAAATGAATGCTGAAAAAGCTTTGAAACCTTAAAACTTTCAAATGCATGAGGAAGATCGAAAGTACCTTTCCAATAACAATCCATTCATTGTCTTGCCATGATTGTCTCACACGGATGTCAAATCTACTGACCTTAAACTCCAGAGATGAACCAAGCAACCTAACCAAAACGTACTTTTTCTCCAAAACCCCTAAAACTGTTGCCATCTTCCAGGAAAACTTGTCAAAAACCTCGACAACATCGCCAGGACCCCAATTATCTGAAACTACCGGTACAGGAGGACAGGGTCTAATAACCTTCCTAGATACCGTCTCCACAATCGTCTTGTCAGTGGCACCAGAATAGCCTTCATATCTAACAGTGTAGCTGTGGCCATTGCCACTGATTATTTCAGCACAATGCCAGGAGCCTGATGGCATTTCTTTTTTGCTCAAGACTTCCACTTTGTTCCCTTTCTTGAATCTCATGATCCCTATTACCTAAATTTCAACGCCCAAACTGCAAGACATTGAAAAATTAAATGATTAATTCAAGAAAATTAATAAAACTCAATAAAGACTAAATAAACATAAAAATAAAGTTAGAATATCCTAAAATCCTATGGAAATAATTATAACAAGGGAACAGTAAAAGAAAAAAAAAAAAGGCAGTTTCTGCAAATTGTGCATAAAAAAAAAATACAAAATTTTGATTAAGATTATAGAAATTAAACAAAAAATAAGATTCAATTAGAAAATGTAACAAAAAGAAAAAAAATGAAAAATCTAATGCAAGTGTTATTCATTATTGGAAATTAGTTTCAAGTAAACAAACAAGTTGAGCGCAGGTTCCGTTTGGTGCCTAAAAAAATGCAGAAAATAAAAGCAAACAGAATTTTTGGGAAAAAAATTCAAGTGATCTACTAAGTTTAAACTTTTTCTATTTCTAAAATCAAAACTAAAAACAAATAAAAAAATCATAAAACAAAAATCTAATCCTCCTTCTTCTTTGCTGGTTATGTATTCCACCGTTTCTGAGCAACCAAACAGAAGAAAAATAGCAACAATTACCCAAAAAGAGAGAGAGAGAGCCGTAAAGCAAAAAAAAAAAAAAATTAAACTTGTTCACAATCTAAATAATCAGAATTACATTAAAAATATAATAAATACTTAAAATTATAGAATTGAGGAATAGTTTGACTAACCTTTGATGAGGATTGAAGAGAAAAACAACCAAAAAAAAAAAAGTTTTCGTTTCTCAGTGCCTTAAGAATTTAATTTGTTGTTATAAATTTTGTTTTTTTTTTTATTGGGGAAATTTGTATATATGGCGTTTAAAGATTTCATTTATTTCTTTTATTAAAAAAGAGGAATAATGGAAAATTGAGTATAATAAACAACGAATAATATGGTAAAGTTTCTATGCCAAAATGCCAACTGCCCAATAATAGCTTGTTGAGGCTGCGATTTATTGTTTCAATCTTATTTGTGTTCATTGCGCTCTCTTTATTTTTTAACAATTCTTTTAATTTTGGGTAAAAATATTGTACTAATTATCTTTAATTTTAGTTTGTTTTATATTTTAAATTAGATGCACACTGTGGTAATTAAAATTTGAAGATTTTGATAGTAGATTTGGAAATAAAAAAATAAATTTTGAATTGAAAATTTAATATAATTATTTGATAGATAATTTTTAAAAAATAACATTTAATAAATTTAAAATTTAAATCTTAATGACATATAATATTTTTTATCCTCGTACTATGATTTATTTTAATAAAGATAAAATTTATGGGATAATAATGATTATTTTTTATGTATTATAAAATAACGTGTATCTAAAATATTTTAATATGAAAAAGATTTTATGAAATATGTGACCAATGTTTTAAATATGTGAAAATGATTATATGCAATCTTAATGTGATATTACTAAAGATCACTTACATTTTTAGAAGTATTTTCTTGTTTGATATGAGCGTGGTTATTAACATTATTATTATCACTCTTTAAAGCTTTGATTTGTATTCTTTGGAGTCTTCGCTTCCAAGTTGTTAGTTCTTTTTTCTTTTTTCATTTTCCTTTTAGTTAGATAGCCAAGCTTTAACTCCTTATCATCTTAGTTACTATTATATTCACAAAATAATAATAATAATAATAATAATAATAATAATAATAAATGAAAAAATTGGGTGCAACGAAAAGGACTTCTCTAACCAATTACATTTTGTGTGTGTGTGTGTTTTAATTTCTATTTAATTTTAATAAACTTGAGAAGGAAGTCTATTTTTAGAAGAAAGTTTAGGCATGCAACAAGCCAACTAATTGCGTGAATTGCACTCTTGAAATTTGTTAATCAAAAGAGTGGATTGGATATATACATTTTAGAGAAAAAACTTTAGGCTAATTGAGATTAGGTGACTATTTTTATAAATTTTTTAAACTATTATTTATATTTATAAAAAATACTCGATGATGAAATTTATTTTCGGTAAAATCATTCCTAATTAATTTTATTTATGTAATTATTTTATTGAACTTGATTTTTATTTTATTTAATTTATGTAATTATTTTTAAAAAAATAATTTCAATAAAATGAAAAAAAATTGAAGTTTTTAATTTATTTTTAAATCTTTTATCTTATTATATATTTAACTGAAAATGATATTATGCACCTAAACTTTTTTAAATTCGTAACTTTTAAATATCAATTTTAATTACATACCAATAAATATAAAAGACAATTGAGAATTGAGAATTTTAATTTTAACATTTATATTTTTTTTCTTTTTAAATTGTGATATTTTTTATAAAAAAAATTATTGTCAATGAAAAAAATGAAATAATACTTAGTATTACCACAGTGAATCAACTCAAAAACTTACTATTCACCTGAATCCTAAATCTTGGGCCTTGGCATATTAAAAACTTAAAGCTAAATGCTTGCGTTTAACTCACTATATTTTCCATGTTACATGTTACCAAAAATTTCATTGTAACCAATTGATAGAAAAAATGAAAACCATAAACCGCTTTTAAATTTGTGAAAAGAATAACTATGAAGATGTGAAGATATGGCAAAAAGGAAGGGAAAAAAACAAATTGACTTGTTCAATATAAATTGAAAACCATTCATTTCGAAACATCCAAGTCTTTTTTTATTGAAAATTAAAAAAAAATGAAATTTCTAATTAATCGTGAAAGGCACTTTATCAAAGTAACAAGACTTTTTTAAATGTAGCCATTTTCTAAAAACTAAATATATTTGCTAATAAAATTTACAGCTTAATTTAGTTAGCTCACGATATTAAAAAAAGATTTTTTTGTTTAAAATGTAGTTTTTTTTCTAAAAATTTGATATATTAATTAATAAAATTTAAATTTAAATTTAATTAATTTATATAATTATTTTTAAAAACTAATATTTAATAATTTTAAATTTTAATATATACAATTTTTTCTTTTACCTTCAAATTTCTATTTAAAAAAAAAAAAAAAAAACTCAGATTCCAAAACTAGTAAGACTTAAGGGTCAAACTGTCAAAAGATTACCTCGCACATATTACTAAAAAAAAACAAATTCAATTAAAGCTAGCAGCCTCAACAAACTACTTATTTTTAATTGATTTTGTTTATTTGACTAATGATTATAGACTTCTGAAAACGTCAACACAATTGGTTTTTATGACACAATGTATGGAAAATCATCAAAGGGGTATAACTATCCAACAAAAAATCTTCTCGGATATAAATATTTAACGTTAATTTTGGGATAATTTCAAAATGGATGTTATTTTCGGTTTGAATACATAATTTATTAGGCCACATTTCTATCACGGGTGGTTTTCCAATAACGGTGCAAAGATGGATGAATTCAAGTGTGGATGTTGGATTGGCAATTTGGCACCGGTCTTAAAACGCTATGAGATGGGAATGCTATCAATACCCTTTCAAATGAAGTCTAAATCCATTATTAAAAAATTCAAATTGAATTTCTTTTTAAGTTTTTAATTTATTTTTAAATTTTAAATTATTTATTTATTTATTTAAAAAAATATTTTAAATATAAATTATCTCGAATATATAATTTTTAAATGTCAACTTTAATCATATGTCAATTAATCCAATATCAATACTAAAATTTAAATTTTGTACAAAGCTCAAGTCCTAAAAATTATTTTAGCCTTTTTGGGAATTATGATAATTACTATTGCCAAAGCGTCAAGGAAAGGTTGTTTTCGGCTGCCTTCTATACTTAACATCACTTTCAATTCAATTAAGGCCTTCAATGCCTTGTGTCTCCAACACATTAATTTCTGCAGTTATTGTAGAAAATTTTCTATCTCCGGTTTTATCTGCTCTTCTTTTTCTTTCTCTTTTAATATTGGATTGATTATTTGGTTCAACCGGTAATTTTTTTTAATAAATAACTTTTTACAGCTTATAACAAAACTATTATCAAATATTAGAAAGATTATAACCAATTTTTAAAACATAATAAATTACTTTTTACAGCTTATAACAAAACTATTATAAAAAATTAGAAAGATTATAACCATTTTTTTAAAAACATATGAAGTAGTCTAAAGAAATATGGATTCAGATTTCAAAATTTAAGTGTATTATAAAAATAAAAATAACTGTTTAAATTAAAATTGAGTTATTAATTGGAATAGCTAATTATAAACAAGATATATTTAAAAAAATAATTAGCTTTACAGGCCAATTAATAAATAATTATTTTTAAAACAAACCAATTAAGTATATTTTAGATGGTATGTATATGAGAATTTATGAATTCGAAATGATTTAAATTTGTAAAATTTTTCTCAAGCTAAGTATATAGGAATGAGGCCTAAAAGTGGATTAAAATTTTCTTAAAAAAATCTTAAAGTAGAATTTAATCAATTTCATTTATTAGGCTAATAAGCCAAATTTGAGCATCAAGGGTTAGAGGTTGGAACAAATATATTCTAATAGAAAATTTCCTGCCTGAAGCTTAGAATTTGTAAGCTGGTTGCTCAAGAAAATATGATGGACGTAGAAAGCAACACCTGTTATTAAAAAAAAAAAGAAAAAACGTGAAAGAAAAGCATCCCTTCGGAGCATATACATACGTTTCCTTGGGATATTGTTGTTCCCAAAAGGCACTTTCTTGGCAGCAGCATAAATAAAGAGGACAAATTAGAAAATGGCAGAACTAATATTTTTTAATAAATTCATAGTGTTATTTTTTTAATTTACATAAATATTTATATAATAAATTAATAATATAAAAATTAAATTATTATTCATAAACAAATAAAATTAACTCATATATTGCACAGATGATAAGCTAGTTATTTAATACAAATAATTATGAAAAGAAAAAGGTTTAAAAAACATGGAATTGGCAGCGGATTTTTGGGTGACATGAATGAAATATTTTGTTTGGAAATTAATGGAAAGCAGAATTCTAATAAATAATTATAAATATAGTTAGCATAAAATAGGGGGATAGGTATCAAAAACACGTTTTTTTAGTTGTTGCAGTTCACAACAATCTTGTTCTTATCACCCTCCTTCGTTTTGTTGCTTGCTTTTTAGCCCACGGAATCACCAATGCTTCTCTCTCTATTTTTTTTGAATTCTTTATCGGTTATTTAATAATTAATAAAAAAATCATTTAAATTTTTATTTGTTTGATAATCATGCATTTTATCAATCAATAAATGGCAATTATGTACTAGAGTATATGGTTTTTTTATGTGGTAAATGAACATATTCAATATTTGTTTATTTAAAGTATCATATTCAAATTAATTAGCAGCAGGCAAAAGAAAACCCTTTATGCCACTTACTTCATGGATGAAAATATAAGAATAATTGTGTAGCTTATTAATAAAGCGAGAAGTAAATGAAAAATCTGGAACAGCTGCTTGTTGGTGGCAATATGGGGAGGGCCTACCCTAATTAATAAGATTATAAGGTGTATAGATTGGCAATATACTTCTTTCTAAATTGTCAAAATAAGAAAATTTAAGTTGGCGAGAGGCTAAATAGCAGCAGCAATTATATATAAATATATATATAAATACAATTCAATAAATTATTTTTATTGTTTGGAATATATACTAGTATGAGAAATGAGATGCTATATATTCCCTAAACGTACTGGATAAAAAGATTTTAGCCATAGATAATTAGATACTGAAAAGATCCAATTTCTACCGATCATAATAATAATAAAACCCTACCAAACGAGAAATGACGGACTGTGAACTTATTTTAGTAGCAGTAGTATCAGCAGTAGTATATTATTATTAGGTACATATCCAAAAGAAAATCAAAGGTATTGTCTAATTTGAAAAAGGGATTTTATGGAACATTTATAGGTTGAAAAAGATAGACGATAAAATATTTTCTATCTCACTTCTCAAGACACGAAAATGTATTATCAAGAAACAATTAGCAGCACATTCTTTTATTTTTTTACTACTTGCCCTGCTTTGGATAATGTAGGTAGAAATAAAGTAGAAACCATCAACGGGTTTTTTCTTTTCTTTCTTTTTTTTTATCAAATAACACTTTAAGATGGTAAGACGTTTGAACTTACTCAGTTTTGAATCTATGTCACTCTACCAGAAACAGATGATTATTGATTAGGATTTTTATTTCCACTTCTTCTGTCCCGATTTCAGTTCATTTACCTGGCTTGAGTGATGTAACTTTAATTTAGTAATTTAAACATGAAACATAATTTCACTGAAATCAATTGACTACGTTGATAAACAAGCTATAGAATACAATTAATTGATACGAGGCCAGAATTTCCAGAGAGGAAGAAAAAAAGCGAGAAATAATCACCCACTACTGCCAACTGAATTAAAAATGGAGCATTAATGGTGTTCTTCATCATATGTTACCTGCAGGGCGAGAGAAAAACCATAAAGTTAACGCACAAAGAATTAATACGACTGGGATGAGGTGAATGGCTTTCTTTCCCGTTGAGTTGTGATGATGGTAAGCAATTTCCTTTTTGGTAGTTTCAGTGATGGGATTGTCGTACTCTGACAAGTGATCATCCGATGTTCCTGCTTTGAGGAGTGGAGATGACGATGATTCCATGGCAGCCTGTGACAAGTTCACAAAGAACTCGTCAGAGGCTCGAGCATTACTTGATGATGATGATGATGATGATGCTCTGTACATATTGACGGTTGAGAAAATAAAAAATAAACCAGAGAAGCAGAGAATTACACAGGTTGAATTCAAGAGGCAAAGATCTTAGATGTAGTAACTGGTGTGTTGTCTAAAGCCTTAATTTAAGGTAAGAAACAGAAATAACATTTCTTCGAGAGCCAAAGGAAATGGTGTTTAAGAAAACGTTAAAGCGCTTTGGCCTCTGATTCTGAGCTTCCCGAGTCTGACAATCATTACTGTTGTGAGTGTTTTCAACGGTTCCTGGATTTTGCTTAGTTTAAAAGCAGCTTGGAATGTAGTTAAAGGCGCAATGCATGTGCACATGACTAAGAAACGTTTAATGCAAGAGATTGAAATTGAAGTCGATGCACTACGCAGATGGTATCTGGTAAAAATCACGAGGACAGGCACCTTTTTTAATCGAACATTCACACATAAATCTGCTAGGTAAGCACTCGTCAGTAATCAACAATCGACGTCTTCAGCATCAGGTAATTTTACCAATCCGATTGTATTTGAGTCGAAGAAATCAGAGATAGTAACAAACAGACATGCATATGCTTCTAGTTGAAGTCTTGAAGAGTCACTAGTTCTTAGCTCTCGGCCAAATTTAAAATGTAAAAACCAAATACCAGGTTGAAGAAAACAAACTTGAGACCAGGAAATTAAGTTACAGATGTATGCAGATCCTCCATTGAAAGGTATGGATGAGTGCATCTTACCAGACCAATCTAAACTTAAGGCATTTTTCTCTTTGCAATTTAGAAGCCACAGGCTGCCATGTTTGAAGACGTCTAGTCAGTCAGTAGTCAATACTTGCTATATATATCCACAAGGGTAATATCTTTCCTTGTTACAACCACTCCTTAGAATACCAATAGATCATGATTCATAGGTTGACAAAATTTCCAATAATTTAGATTTTGGCTTGATCAACACATTATAATTTGTCCCTTGCACAATATCCAAAGAAAAATCAATTTCCACTTCTACAAGGAAAACTATTCAATTTGAGAAAGTGCAATATCAGTTCTCCATCTAGTGAATTCTGCAGTGAGCTCCCTATGCACTTACCTCTCAATCATGTATTCTTTGTGTGACCACCAATGAGTAAAAATCCTTTAGCTTATGACGATCAGAGTTAGAATCTTCCTGTTAAATCACCTTGAAGACTTCTTGACCAAAAAAATGAGACAACCATAAATTAATTTTGCAAGCAACAACAAAGATGGGAAACTTCTAGAATAGACTCCAATGGCATAGTGGAAAATTCAAAACCACAAAATATGCCTTTGTTATAATTTTCTGGCATTTAAAATTAATTTCCTATGCTAAGGATATTCACAGAATAAAATGTGGTAGTAGAACTATGAGCAACTAACCAAATTATATATTTTTTTCTTCTACATTTTTATTATTTTTACTTCCAGAGCTGCAACTAGACTGATTTTGGTGACTTCAAATTGCTGCCTGTAGTTCATACTTTAAAAAAACTATCAAGAGAATCCAATTCCTTCCTAAAGTTTGCCTCAAAAACTTTACAAGTTCAGCACATTTAATAGCTTTCTAACGTCTAATAACTAGTGCATCTAGAAGGAATAAAAGGGCAATCCATTAACTAGAAAAGTTCTTCCATGCATGAGAGCATATTGTTATTATATCACAGGAAGAACCAAAGAGGAATATATAACTGGCACAAGCAAAAGCCCACAAACTCATGTTTTATAATTAGAAAAGAAAAGGGATGTGATGATAGCCTTATATGGGTAATAACCAAATTTGTAAATGTGGTACCATCAAGTAGCTGGATATACCTTAGTGTTGAAATCCAAAAAATCAGCAATTCATTGCCATCCTCACTCTATGTAGAACTTCTTAATAATTGGTGGTAGTATTTTGCCGGAAGGCTTGCTGATTTTAACATCAAACTCAACCTCCATTAATCTATGGTTTTCCTTAGAACGGTTCATTGAGAAATAAACATTGAGATTGCTCCCTTCATCAACATGCACAGGAGGATGCAAGAGAAAAACCTGTCCAATAATAAAAAGCGATAAAAAAATCAGGAAACTGAAGCAAACACTGTACATAACAAACTAAAATTCCAAAAACATAACAATATGCAACATAGCTAGACCAAAGCCTCCCAGAGAAACAAGCACTGACTCCCGATGAATGGATAAATATTAATTGACCTGTCATTAAGCAATGCTAGGATGACATTAGGACAGAAGGGCAAGTAGCAAATTGCTTGATCAGGCTTTCTAGAACTGACATTCCATTGCACAATTTTAAAATTATTCCTAGACGTTTTAGCAAATGCATACTTATAGTTGAAATATGTGTGTGGATTTCAGCAATTCAGACCTGTTGTCCCCAATGAGTGCCATTATTTGAACTAGGAGCAGTTGTTAACTCAATTTCTTGCTGAGCTGGATCCTCCCGTCTTCCCTGTTGTACAAAATAAGAACAAGAATTTTCTAGTACACATAATGCCTCTTTATCCAATCATCCAGAAGAACAAGGAACGTTGAGGCTCAACTTACTCGGAAATGGACATCAAACCATCCTGCAAATCCACAGAGGCGAGTGTGCTCCATGCTGATGGTTGATGAAAAACTTGATGTGACTTGAAGGATGTCGTTTACAGTAGCAGTTATACAATCAATCTCCTTTATAACAGCAGCTGTCCCAATAACTTGATGTGGATGGAGGTTGTTCCATAATGATGTCTATACAAATTAATAGATTTTTCTTTTAAAATAATGAATAGGACACAGAACCAAACCAGATTTTATCCAAATGACATAAAACATCTAATATACAGATCTGTCTCGCTATCCCTCAACTAAAGACATCAAAACAGTGCTTCAACACCCAAAGAGTGGAAAGGTCTTTCCTATTTTGGTTTTTCTCTCTTCTTCTCCTTGTTCTTTTTCAAGAAAAAATGGGCTAGTTTACCAAATACCAACCAACATTGATTTTTAAGCAGCAAGAAAAAAAAAAGTAAATATTGTCTTGGCAACTAAACTGAAAAATAACAATAATCAAAGGCACCAAGGCATCAGAAAATTTTAAAACTCACCTGCAGATAATATTTTTCCTGCTCTTCTGAAAAAGGTCTTGTCAAAACACTCATATCAACACCATAGGAATTTTTTGTATCTTCCAAAAACCCATACCAGTCATCCATTGCTCCTTCATAATCATTTTTCCTTTGATCCACCAAACTAGACCGGATAGGTGATACCCACATGCGAGCATGGCTAGGATACCTAAAAAATTTGTTTGTAAGATTTTGAGTTTGCAAAATATGTAAAGAATACTCAAGAGGTTAACAAATATTACAAGCAGCTGCTCAAGCAAAATACTGATATTATATGACAGAGAAAATAGTAAAGTACAGGAAACTCCGCAGACATGTAAGAGTCAAATTAAACTACATCACATCTATATCTTATTTATTCATTTTCTAGAATTTTTTATTGACAAGATACCCATCTGCACCCTACCTTAGTATTTAGCTAAGGCCCATGTGCATGCATTTTTCAGCAAGTTCAAGCTGACATCCCTCAGTTTTTACTTTGTCAATAATCATCTTTGTATATGCCATAAGGTCTAAAGTTTATCCCACCAAAACCACGGAGCAAGTAACTAGGGGTGTAAATGATATATTAGTACTCACAAGCTATTCGAAATCGACTCGAATAAAACTTGAATTTGGCTTGGTTATTATCGAGTTGAACTCGAGCTTGAGTAACTTGACTTATCGATCGAGTTAAGTTCGAGTATTTTTATACCTGACTCGAATAACTCACCAGCCTAATCGAGCTTTTATATTTAAATATATTCTAATTATTTTAATTAATAAAATATCTTGAACTCGAGCTCGAGCACAAATAATCGAGTTTTTGTCAAATATAATAATCGAGCTTATTTTTACATATTAATTGAGCTTAATTGAACGAACTCGAGTAGCTCGATTTCTATCTCTCGTCATGATCAAGCTAAAAAAACACTCGATCGAGTTCGAACCAAGTTTCAAGTCTCGAATTTCGAATTGAGCTCGAGTTCAAACTTAATACTGTATCAACTCAAACTCGATGATTACACCTCTACTAGTAACCACCTTCTTGCAATTTAAAAGTGCCTCAAATAAGACCAAATTGCTCAATCTTTCATCCAAGAATCTGAGAGTACTCTCAAATGTATCAAAGTACCAACTTAAGCTTTACATCAACAATACTTCCCTTCTAGAAAGAAGAAGGAAAAAAAAAGGGCATACATATACCCATACTTATTAATGCTATCCAGTACAAAAGTTCAGTAATTGAAGCTTTTAGGTGGAGTATTATTACAATGATGTAGGATTAACCAGTCAATAAGAAAGTTTTGGATGGCTGAGTCACCTCAATTTTATAGGAAGTTGCTTAAGAAACAGAGCACATGTCACATAGGCACAGAGACAAAGGTAAATTAAAGCTCATAAAAATAAACAAAAATGCCTAATTAATAAAACATGAGACACCAAAAAAATTAAAAAATGATAAAGGTGAAGTAAACTTCTAAACAGTTCATTACTTACATGACTCCAGTTGGCTTCAGCCAACGATCACGAGCACATATCACAGAGTCAAACATAGACTCACGCAGAAGAAAGTAACCCATCCACTCGGAGATGATCACATCAACTGTCCATTAATCAAAATCTAAGATCAGAGGAAAAAATTTGAAATACTCATTCAAAAAATAAAATCCGGATTAACTGACAAGTATAATCTAATGATACCAACCTTTCTCTGGCAAGACGACCTCCTCCATAGAGCCCTCAATTACTTCAACAATGTCTTGAAGATTGTTTGCGTTAACAAGAGACCGGGCATGTTCCGACATCTTAGTTGCTTCAACAGCATAGACCTTCCTTGCACCAGCTTGGGCAGACCAGATGGCAAGAATGCCACTACCTGTTCCTACATCCAACACAGTCTTCACCAGTACTCAACAAATTAGTTTCCTATCAGTATTTAACATTATTAAAGAACAAAAACTTCCCAAATAATATGATCAATAAAAAATTTAAGCAATCGTCTCAAATTCTTCATTTTCATTTTTTTCTAGTCTATAAAGCTCAAAGGTTATCTCATTTCCACCAAAAAAAAAAAAAAACTATGGTAATATAAAAAGTATCTGCTTAAAAATTTTAACATTTTCATAGCTTCCTCAAGTCTTATCTCCACTAACGAGTAGCAAAATTTGAAAGGAAAAAATAGAGTAAACTTTTAGGCCTATCGAACAAAAAATAATAACAGCCAATTGCATCCCCTTTCATAATAAATTACAGCAACTCAATAAGTTAATACCCAAAAGGAAAAGGGTTTCTTTTCTATCACATTTGGATTCAAGTTCTATACTTTAAGCCAAAAAAAACCTTCTCATTTACTGTAAGTAGCACTTCAACAAAAGGGTATTAAATAAAAAGGGAAAGAAGAATAAGAAAAGACGTTACCTTTCCTTGGAAATGATGCTTGTTCTGAAAAATAGCATTGTAATAAGCGTCCATGCGGACTCGATCACAGAGCATCTCTTTCTGGTGGTAAAGAAAAGCGTAAGTACAGAAGTAATTTGCAAAATCAACTCCTTTATCAACCGCTCCGGTACTGCTGCAGCCAACGACGCCATTTGTACTGCTCCCCATCTTCCTCTCTCTCGGTAAGAACTGTAAACTCCAGCTTATAAACACGGCGGGAGAATTTATGAGAGAGAAAGAGAGAGTGAGCGAGAGAATGTTCTTTTTTAGGGCAACGTCGCCATAGGCGGTGGGGTTCGAGGGGTTTGGCCTTTCTTTGTCGAGAAAAATATAATAATAATAATAATAATAATACGATTTCAAAGTGCCAAAAGCGGAACCCATTTTGATTTCTTCCTCCAGCTCTATAATGACCGTTGGATCGACGCGTTTTCTTACGATTGGCATGATCTTCCATTGGATTTAGATTTGGGGCATTTCGGAGTGGGGCCAACTGGAAAAAACTACTTCGCTTTAGGGTAGTTGTTACTTTTTATCGTTAGTGGTTCGTTTTGTAATACGGCTGCATAGGTAAGGATTTAAGTGCAAGTAATTAAAAAAGAAGTTTGAATAACAAGGATATAAGATTGCAAACATTCTATATTAAACTGTCTATTGTTTTGGAATTTTTGTAAAATTGAATAGCACAAATCTTCATATGGAGCTGGTTAACAGAAAATTCTTCATTACTTTATTATTGATTATATTTCCCTGTTATGGACTTCCTTTATAAAAAAGGAAAGTTTGGTCAATTTCTTAGTACTTAGGAAACATTTGTCAGTTCCATGGCTATAATCAAACATTCAAACATACCCTTTGGACAGTTCCACCAACAAAAAAAAATGTAGGATTAATCTATGCCATAATTAAGAACTAAACATGTAGATTCTGTGTGTTTCTTGGAAGTGTCTTAGCTTGGTTCAGTGCCGTTTTGAAGGATCTTACTACACCATAGCAAAAACCCTGTTAATTCGCAGCATGCTTGATGTGAAACTCGTGATCATTTGTGTATAAAAAGTTGTAAGAGCTCAACTCTTTTCCAATTTCCTTTGCTATTCCCTTAGGTGCTTGGAAATTTCAGAAGGAGACCAGCTGCTAATTCTATATATGAGAGTTGAATGTCAAACCACAGCAGCTTCTGGACTTCCACTCAGTCACATGTTTAGAAACAATTTCCCTTGGTTCATGGTTTGTGATAGTCTAAATTTTGCCTTAAATTACGTAGAATAGTCTAAATTTGTGGATTCGAATAGCAGCTTAGGTCTTACAAGTTGTTCTATAATTTGTCAACTTTCTTGTGACCCATCCCCAAAAGACTTTAAAAACTTGGGACTGTGTCGTCAATTTTGCCTTAAATCACGTTGAGTTTGTATCGCTACTCTCAACTAACCCTTTTCATTTAACAATGAAACTTAACGTGTGTTTTACTTTGGAGTCATTTTCCATGACACCTGAACTTTTGAGAGTTTTTTAAAAACAGCCTGCAGCAGTTCATAGTATTGAGAAAGTAATCCTTCTTTGTTAGTATATGGTAGTTTTAGGAGCTTTTAGCCCTTCTCATTTGATCAACGTAATTTCAACCGTTCATCAAAATGAATCAGTTAATTATATTGATTATTATCAATATCAAAATCATCATATTATCCAACCTTAGGTGTATGGCCTATAATTCCTCATCATGTCATTGATCTATGACCCTCAACCGTATCGGGCATTGGCATCATTCGCTTCCATTTGATACATGAAATTTCATTTACCTGGGACTTGGTCTTTAATTTAATTAAGAAATGAGTGGAAGGGACAATCCTTGAACTGCAGTTCTTTCTATTTCTTATCCTTCCCCTTTTTTGTTTATTGTATGAGCTTTTTATTACCATGGATGAAGTAAGAGACGATTTTTTGCCTTCTAGTTAGATAGTTTTGCAAGTGGCAAAAGCAGAATAACCAGAGCCAGAAACAAATCAGCTGCTAAATATTTGACAAAGCCAAAAGATGATTATTTACATAAGAAAGAGTAACAGGGTTTGAAATGTTCTTAATTACTGTATTTAATGGTGAAAGTACTACATGTAAATGAAATACTAGTGTGACAAATTACTTGGTCGTCAGACAAAACTTGTCACAGCAATGTGAACCAAAACCTTTGACCATTTAAAAACTTAAAAAATAATTAAACAACACCAAAGGGAGAAAATAGAAGGAAGACTAGGTAAACTTCGTGGTTGTTTCTTTTGATGCAGATATAAAATGATCACAGCCTCATGCTTCAACATTTAGCTGATCCAAAGATAGAAAACAATTTTTAATCTTTGGAATTGAATATTCTAATAAATGCTTACTTCCCCTCAGGGAAGTTAGCAATGGTTTCTCTTCTTAACATAAGGAATAAATGAAAGCTAGAAGATCTGGAATCTTTTGCCTCCCTCGTTAACCGAAGACATTGATGATGAAGTTGTAATGGAGGACAAGAAAGCAAATATAATAGCTGTTACAATAATCATCGGCCTCATCATTTTTATCATCGTTGCTCGCGTATCATTGAAACTTTCCAAAGCCTTCTTCCTCATTGCAGGGGCAGATATTGCAGTAATCCTAGCTGTATTTGTGTGTACTGTCATTAGAGGGCGTTATCATCGCAGAAGAAGATTGTTAGAGAAAAAATTGGTGTCAGAAGGTCAAGAGCTTCGAATAGAGTACAGTTTTCTTAGAAAGGTAGCCGGAGTTCCAATAAAGTTTAGGCACAAGGAGCTTGTGGATGCTACAGATAATTTTCAGGCACTGCTAGGCCAAGGTGCATCTGCTTCAGTATTCAAAGGTATCCTTAGTGATGGTACTTCTGTTGCTGTGAAGCAAATCGAAGGGGAGGAGCATGGGGAGAAGGAATTTAAATCAGAAGTTGCAGCAATTGCAAGTGTGCAACATGTAAATCTTGTGCGACTTATGGGGTATTGCTGTCTTCCTGGAGGGCCTCGGTTCCTCGTTTATGAGTTCATCCCAAATGGTTCATTGGATTCTTGGATCTTCCCTGGAAGGGAAACTAGAAATCGCCCCGGAGGTTGCTTGTCATGGGACTTAAGGTACAGAGTTGCTATTGATGTGGCCAAGGCACTTTCCTACCTACATCATGATTGCCGGTCAAGGATATTACACCTTGATGTCAAGCCAGAAAATATACTTATTGATGAGAATTATAGAGCAATTGTGGCAGATTTTGGCCTTTCAAAGTTGATGGGAAAAGATGAGAGTAGGGTCATTACCACAATCAGGGGTACTAAAGGTTATCTTGCCCCAGAATGGCTCTTGGAGCATGGTGTTTCCGAGAAATCTGATATCTATAGCTATGGAATGGTTCTTTTGGAGATGATTGGAGGCCGAAGAAATGTTACTGTGATTGAAAATGGCCCTGATAAGTCTCAAAGGAAATGGCAGTACTTTCCTAAAATTGTAAGGGACAAACTAAGAGAAGGAAAGCTAATAGAAGCTGTTGATCAAAGGCTAGTTGAAGCAGGAGGCATTATTGATGAAAGGCAAGTGAAAAGACTGGTTCATGTAGCTTTGTGGTGCATACAAGAGCGGGCGAAACTAAGGCCTAGCATGGCACAAGTGGTCGAGATGCTTGAAGGGCGTGTGGCCGTAGATGAGCCCCCGGACACACAAATGATTGTGGTCGATTTGTTATCAATATATGAAGAGAATTCGGGTTGTGATGCCAGGCCAAAAATTGCTGCAATGGGATCACATAAAGACTACAACATTCCTAATTCCTGTTCATCCTCTTTTGCAATGTCTGTGCTATCGGGACGGTGATTCCCTCTTACTATCATAGTTTGATTCAGCTTGAGGTTCTTTTTTTTTCTTCTTTTAGAATTGGCAAATAGTTCAACGTATAAGAGAAATCTGACGAAATAGATGAGATCACCTGTATCAAATCTTCTTTTCCTTCTTTTCTCAACAAAGTCAATCTTTCAGCAAAATGCTGACTGTCAACAAGGTGTATTTCTCAGTCATGATCATCCAGGAATATTGCTGTATACTGTTTTGTACTATGAGTTATTCTTTCCAATGATACCATATATATCTTTTTCTTTCTACTTCTTCAAATAGAATTCTCCAAAGAAAGAAAGAATAGTACTGATGTTGTTTGATCTGACATAATATTCAAACCTGTTTCCCGAAGAAGAAAATGGTGGGGGGTGGAGAAATGGGTCATTGAAACTGGCCTTGGTCCTTGAGGAACTTTCCCTTGCAATTTTGCATTTGGTTTCAAAGCCCAGTTTCTTGCAGAACAGATGTTTACTTGGTCAAGTTACACAAGCTAAGAAGAAAGAAAGACTAAACAATAATCAATAAGATTAGCATTGAAAGTGAAGATATTTTTTTTGACCAGTTCATTGGAAGTGAAGATTAGTTCCATTAAACAAAAAATAAAACAGCTATCCGATCCAATTAATGGCACAATTTCTTTCCTGCCCTTTCATCAGTTTTTAAGTTATAATAATGACCATGTGTGGTTTGAATGGTCTTGTCGCTGTGTGGTCCCGATCCAATTAATGGCACAATTTCTTTCCTGCCCTTTCATCAGTTTTTAAGTTATAATAATGACCATGTGTGGTTTGAATGGTCTTGTCGCTGTGTGGTCCAACATTTTACATAAGGAAAATTCTACATTCAAACTTTAAATTTAAAATACAGGTTAGATGTCATCAATCTAATATATATATATATATATATATATATTATATTACAATATATAAAATTATATGATTAAAATTACTTATGTAGATGTTTAGGTGGATAATCTCTTTTAATGACACATAAGATAATATTTATATTATTTTATTTATCAAATAATATTTTTTAATAAATTATTTAAATTGAATATTTTAAATAATTATTTAAATTAAAATCAATATCTATCTAAAATTAAAATTTTTGCATAAGATTTGAATTGAAATATATTAAATCATAATTTTTTTTAAATTAATGATAATTCCAAATATATATACTTAATAAAATTTTATTTTTTGTCAAATAATTCTATTTAATAAATTATTTAAATTTAATATTTTTAAATAATTATTTAAATTCAAATTAAAATCTATCAAAAATTAAAAATTATCTAATCGATTATTTATATTTAATACTTTAGATAAGTTACTGAATTATTGACTAAAAAAATGTATTTTTAAAGTAATAAAAACTAACATCTTTATATAAAAATATAAGATATTTGAATGTTAATAAAAAAGTTAAATAAAAATATGTTTTCATTTTGAAAACAAATATAATATTTTATTTATGTTCTAATTAAAATATTTTTATATTATATATTTGGTTAATTTATTTGTTTCTCTTTAATCCATAACTTTTTTTAATTTCTCTTATATTGATTATAATTAATTTTTTGTATCATATATTTTTTTGTTTTATTCATTTCTTCAATGTTTTTATTCTCTGTTAATTTATTAACTTATTTGCTTTCATTATTTTATATATTTAATATTGACAAATTAATATGTAAATTTATATTCTCCATTTTCTTTTGCTATATTTGTTATTATTAAATATCTTTGTCTACAATGGATGATATGAGAAGAATTATGATCACTATCATATTTAACTCATAAAAAATACTATCAATTATGTTAAAAATAATTAAAAATAAAAAAAATATTTCAAAAAAAGTTTTTAAGCATAACATGAAAATTATTGTTTCCCTTTTATCTAAAAAATAACTTCATTTTGTTGACATATATAAAAATAATTGTTAGCTCAATATATTTATATAATAATTACTTGAAGCATATTAAAAATAAAAGCTAATAAAAAATAAATGATTATAACAAAATTAATAATTGTGATTTGTTGTTCAATCAAATATATATATATATACACCACTTAATTAATATTATGATAAAAATGATTATTAATTTTAACTATTAAAATATTAATTATTGATTATTGATTTTTTATTAAACAAGAAAAAAATAGTAGTAAAATTTTTAGTATTAAGCAAACAAATTGAAGAAAATATTTTTTAATGAAAAAAATTATTGTTATAATTCTTGAAAATTTATCAAAGTTTAGACTTATTTTATATGAATAATATCATTTATAATATATTATGTATAAATTATTATTTAATTGTAACTTAATATTTATAAATATATGATTATATATTAGATAAATACTTAAAAAATAAATTTAAAATTATGAAAAATTTAATAAAAATCCCGTACATTGTACGGGTTAAAAAGCTAGTTTTTTTTTTAAGAAATATACAAACTAGCCACGTGTCGAAGATCCAATGCTTATGCGTATAATCGACGGACAAATATCATGTAAATACTCAAGAGTGTACCACAACTTAGATTTACCCTTCCAGACAAAAAAATAGAGAAAAAAAAAAAAACATAACTTGCTTTGGGGACCAAAAAGTGATTTTTTTTTTTTTTTTAAAGCCTTCGGAGTCTTCACATCCAGTCACGTATCAGTGGAATAGGTAAAGTCACGAATCAGTGGAATAGGTAAAATGCCTAAAACCCTTTTTCCTTATTTGATCTCTTCCTTTACCAGGTTCCTGGCTTCTGAAAATTTTTGTTCTTCTGTAGAATTTCTTGAAGTGAAATTTGCAGGTCTTTGCGACCTGTTAATCTTCAAAAACAGTTGACTTTAAAAGTTTCATTCTCATTCCATCGTGGGTGTTTTTTCTTTTTTCTTTTTATCTTAGTTTCCTAAGAATTTTCATGTAAGGTTTTTTGTTCTTTGTCATTATGCGCAATGAATATCATCATTAGAGTTTCTTGTGGCCCTTCATCCCTTCATCCCTTCATCATTTATTTGTTTGAAAGAAATGTAATTTGGATCAGATAGAAAAGTCTTCTTTCCGATGAATTTGTTATAATGTACTTACTTTTTTGGCAAGTTTTGATGTGGAGTCTGGCTTGGGGTTTAGTTAAATTGTTGCTGACAAGGCCTCTTGGCAGGTGCCAAGTTGTTCAGTCATAAGTATTATGTATCAATGTAGTGAAAATGAATTCCATTGTAGAACTGACTTTTGATGTTAAATATAAATTTGGGACTTTCTTCATTGCAGGATCAGTGCTGCCTTCTGTAGTGCAATAGGCGGGTTTGGTTAATGCTACTTTTCAGTTGGCTACTATGAGCTTCACAGGTCCTTCTGTTGATCCTGGTTAGTTTATCTGCTTTGTTCCATCTTACTATGGTGGTAATGTCTATAATGATCGCTCACTAGCAAGCTTGCAGAAATATTTTAATTGTTCCTATGGAAATTGAATCAAATGATTCTTCATTGGTGGATTGTTTACGTCGATTGAAATAGATGTTTTATAAATTTATGAGCTTGTTTTTCCTTGTGTTTAATTTTAACTGTTAACACCTGAACTCTACTGTGACAAATTTCAGGTTGTAGAACTGTTGGAAGAGCACTTGAATTTGGAAGAACCTATGTGGTCAGGCCCAAAGGTAGCCATCAAGCGACAATAGTTTGGCTACATGGCCTTGGCGATAATGGTTCAAGGTATTATAACTTTTATAGTGAGGAAGTAAATACCTTCAAGATGTTATATAAACCCTTTTATCAAAACTTTTGAGGTGTTTTCATTCTTTCAGTTCAGTATTCCTCCATACTAATTAGATATTGTTTTTTATTGAATACAGGGGGGAATTTGTTGGCATTATGAACTAAGTAGAAACCTCTCTTTCTCTATGCAATTTTGTACTCTTTCTCTATTACAATTGATGCTTAAATAAGTAGTTGGGAATTAATCTTTGCATGCAAAAGAGCTTCTTTTATGCATAAATATTTTATGCTTTAGTCTTGAATTGCTGCTACTTTACCGATAAGGTGTGCACAAAACTACAAGCTAAGCTGATATTAAACATAATTCTGGTTGATTTTCAAGTGGTTTAGTCTTCAAATTGCAAGTCACTGCATCTTCATGTTTAATATCTTCCAGTACTAGTATATGTATCAGCAAGTCTTTTCATCCAATAAATTATACGGGTGCCACTTGGAATCTGAGTTATCCTCTCCTGTGAAGTTCCCTATCATTGTGATCAATGATCTTAAATATAAGACATAAAATTCCTTATATCTTTTGAAATATCTATGCATCCTCATTTTTCTTTTTCATCTTTTGGCAGCTGGTCCCAGCTCCTAGAGGCTCTCCCGCTTCCAAATGTAAGGATGATTGATTGTAGCCAAAAATGTTTAAGAGAATATACTCTAACTTTTAAGTATCAACCAATGAATTTATTTTTCTTGATAACTTCATAATTTACTATGCTTGTGATCCTTTGGTTCAGATTAAATGGATATGCCCAACTGCCCCTACTCAACCAATAACTATATTTGGTGGATTTCCATCAACTGCTTGTAAGTCTTTTCTAAATTCTGTAAGGACGTAATCTCATATGAAGAAAACAAAATTCATTAAATTTCTTTCTCTTTAGCCTTTGTCTTTGATGATAGTGCTTTGAATGTTAATCAAATTGTTGAATTTTTAATGTGACATACATCAGGGTTCGATGTGGGAGACCTTTCAGAAGATGCATCAGATGATACAGATGGATTGGATGCTGCTGCAGCACATGTTGCAAATTTGTTGTCAACAGAGCCTGCTGACAGTATGTTTCCTCTCGCCACTTTTTATGAAGTTTTATGATGCTAGATTTTTTTTGGGGAGTGTTTTCCGATTTCTCTTCTGAATATTTAGGTATCAATGCATTTTAGACACTTTTATTTTGTTTTATAGCGAGAATTCATGAGAAGGAAAGTTTTACATGATACAACTGCCATTCGTTAGTCTTAAATCCTGAGAGATTTCTAGTTTTTAGTTTTATTTTCCATGATTTTTGGCTACCAAATGTGAACAATATTCTTTTCCTTTTTCCATAAAGCAAGAATATGGGAAGAAACACTGCTGGTTTTGCAAGTCATTAGATTTAGTGTGCCTTTAGTTTCATTTTCTGGTTCTTGTGTATCAGCTGGTAGGACAAAGATATGTATTTAGAAAACCAATTCCTAACCGGATTTGATTAGGTGTCATTCATTTGGTATTTTTGGTTGTTTCCTAAATAAAAGGGATTAAGTTTATTGATCAAATTCCAACTTGGTAGTTTCCATTTATTGTTAGAGGATTTTAGGTGATTTGTTATTGTCTTTAGGATATCATTGGATTTGCTGGATTTGATGTTTTAGCTATATATATACTCTTGTACTCTGGAAAGTTTCTTAAGAATTCATAAATAAAAAATTCTCATGAATTTCTTCATGTATTATTTGTGGCTAATTTTTGCTGGATGTGCATACAAACCGATAGGTTTAATTAATGTAACTGGAATTCCCTTCTCTCCAAACTTCATAAATGTAACTGGCCTAACCAATTCTTTAAAGAATGGCAGCAAAGCATCTGCCTCTCAAGTTTGTGATGGCCCAAAGAGCTCATACAGTTTTCTCCTCTGATTTATGTTTCTATCTATCTTGACAACCATTTTTTTTATTTACCATCTCTCCAATAAATGCCTGTCAACAATGACTACAATTTTAGAATTGGTTTAAATCTCAGTAATTTGTTGCTTGATTAGTTTTGCTTAAGGGAAATGCAATGCTGCATTCGCCTTAGTTTTCAGTCATGGCAATGAATGTTTTGTTTATTGTCATTGTTTTTGGCATTCTAATAGTAGCTTTTTCCAATTACAGTTAAACTTGGTGTTGGAGGCTTCAGCATGGGTGCAGCTGCCTCGCTCTACTCAGCAACCTGTTTTATTCATGGAAAATATGGAAATGGCAATCTGTATCCTGCCAATTTGAGTGCAGTTGTAGGACTTAGTGGATGGCTTCCATGTTCCAAGTTGGTTTCCTTCATTTGCACCTCATATGAGCTTGATGCTTTCTCTGTGTCCCCCTTTTGTCTGGCTTATTGTTATAAATTCTATTCTTTTCCAGGACTTTGAAAAGCAAAATAGAAGGACAGGATGAAGGTGCAAGACGTGCTGCATCCTTGCCCATTTTACTATGCCATGGCAAAGGTATTTAACCTTCACCAAGCAAATTATCATGGGTTTATGCATGGTCATTTTGTCAGCAGTGGTGTCAGATTATTGACTTTATGTTATACCTCTGGAATAGAAGTGGTGGCACAACCATTATCACCATTTATTTTGATTAGTAACGTGTTATAATAAGATGGTATCCAAATAAAGTAATCTTGCTAGTTTAGGAGTTTGGCCAGCAAAATGTTTGGTGTCAACCTGAGTTTAGTTCTTCATAAGTAGAAAAGAAAATCCCTGTTTTACTTTATTAGACTAGTATTTAAGGGGATGAAAAGAAAAGTAATGGCATAACATCTGAAGTTACTCTTTTTTTCCAGGGATCAATGAAGTTGTGATTGAGTAGTGGTCCTAGCAATGTATTTGATATTTACATAATTACTGTTCTTAGCTAAATTTTGCATACATTCGATGTTATATGAGGGCCTTAGTAATATTAGGCTTGTTGGAAGTAATCAAGGAATAGGTTGTTGCCTATTTTACATAGAGAAGGAAATAGCCCACTGATAAAAGTCTTTGTATCCTGAATAGACAACGATTCTGAAGCCTAAACAATTCTGACCCAAATGAACATCTCTTTTGGTGTTTACGTATCAGGAGTTGTTTCAAAGACACAAAAGGTCAAGTTTCCTTGACTCTCAAGTAAATAGTCACTATTGAAGCGTAAGCTTATGTTTGAAATATTTGGTAATTAGGTTGGAAGCTGGAATCATTTTACCAAATTCAGTTTTACACGTATTACACTTGTAGTTTCACGATTGGCATCAAGGTTACTGATGATGCTCCTTTGAAGTATGTATATTATATATTAATTGGTTGGTTGCAGGTGATGATGTGGTTCCATATAAATTTGGTGAGAAATCCTCCCGAACATTGAGTTCAAATGGATTTCGAGACATGACATTCAAATCCTACAACAGGTATGGATCTTGAGAGTCTAACAAAACATTCATGTTTCTTATATATTTGACAATTGGACTTAAACTGAGTACTCTGTTCAACCATTTAGGCTTGGTCACTATTCAATCCCTGAGGAGATGGAAGAGGTCTGTGCTTGGTTAACTTCAAAACTGGGGCTTGACGGTCGATCCACATGATGTTTTAATGTGAAAATGTTTTTCATTATTTGGAGCAAGAGAAATGAAGAGGAGAAATTATTTATAAGTTTCAAGTAACAAAATGGAGCAAAATTGTTCTGGTTATGGGTTTCATACATGTTATAGTGATAATTTGCGTGCCTTGTTATTTCTCTTGTAGTTGATATTGCTTAATTGGCTCTGGACTTGCTAGAACTGTGTGATGAAACATGAGAATATGTACTGATTTGACCATCAAAACTTGCAGTTTGGAATATTATTGTTTGGAATGCAATAATATTGATTTGAAATTTTTTGTTTTCTCTAATGCTTTTCATTGCTATTCAGTGTAAAAAAAAAAAAAAGGACACATGGTTTTCTGATTCTCTGGCGTCACTAAGAATTATAGATGTATTGAGTATTTGAGCTCCTGTTGTTTTTTTAAGCATCGAGGAGCATTTTCTTTGTAACTTCAAAGTACAGCCATCTTTCCAAACTATGTTAGGTGATAATCGACGTACTTCCTTTGTTCCCCATTTCTGGCTGTCCGCTGGAAGTCGGTCACTTGCTTCTAGTGTGCTCAAGCATGATTCTAGTTATATAATGTTGGGAACTTGTCCGTTGGAAATCCGTTAGCATTGGAACATTGGAATTTCCAATCTCCAAAGCTCAGTTTGAAAGGTTAATTTCTCCTTTGTCAAACGGCATTGTGCAGTTTGTTATTTGCTACACCTCTTCTGCATCTGTCTTTCAATATTGTCAAATCTCACATAACACATCGGTTACTGGGAAGTTGACAATAGTCGGAAAAGAATTCAAGAACCTCATTCCAACTCTGAGCAACCCCATTTGGTTCATTGTCTTATTATTTTTATTTTGAGCGCTTAAAATTGCAGCTAAAAATATAAACCACTTGGTAATTTACTAGTAGCAAAATGAAGTTACGAGTCCGCGTTAGCTTGATTATTTCATCAGTTTACAGGTTAAAACTATTTAGACGTTGATTTATCATTTTTTGATTAGGTGATCAATGTTTAATTTAATTTAATCTATCAAGTCAACCTTGACCCTAGAATTGACATTGACTGTCCCAAATTCTCTCGTATGTATAAATATCACATTTCAAGTATCATTTACTGATATTATTATTTTTTGTTCTCATACTTTCTTTTTCTTATTTTTTTCTCTTAATTGATCTTTGACTTAAGATCATTTTCAAACTTTGTTTTTACTACACTCTTTTTATTTTTTATTGATTTCAGAATTTTATGCCTTGAAAACAGCTCGGCACCAATAGTAACTTGGTCCTCGAGGAACTTACCCTTGCAATTTTGCATTTGGTTTCAAAACCCAGTTTCTTGCGGAACATATAGCTAAGAAGAATGAAAGAAAGATTAAACGATCATCAATAAGATTAGCACTGAAAGTGAAGATGTTTTTCTGACCAGTTAATTGAAAATGAAGATTAGTTCCATTAAACAAAAAATAAAACAGCTGTCCAATCCAATTAATAATACCTGCCCTCAGTTTCCTAAGTTATAATAATTACAGATCATATCTCAAGTATTTAGATTAATGATTAAAAACGTTTGAAGAAACGTCAAAACCTAATTTCGAATCAAAAAAATATTTTTTTACCTGTGCTAGGTGTTGCATGATGCAACAAAAAAAAATATAATTGCAGACCATGTGAACTTTGAAAGGTCTTGTCGTTAAATGGCGTGAAGGAAAATTCTACATTCTAACTTTAAATTTAAAATACAGTTTAACTATCATCAATCTTTTTTTAAGAAATGAATAAATTAGTTACGTGTCGAAGATCTAGTGTTTCTGAGTGTAATCGACGGACAAATATCATGTAAATACCCAAGAGTTTACCACACCTTAGAGTTACCCTTCCAGACAAAAACTAGAGAAAAAAATTGTTTTTTGACCTTTGGGGAAAAAGAGATTCTATTTTTTTTTTTTAAACGTTCGGAGTCGTCACATCCAGTGACGTATCAGTGGAATAGGTAACCCCTTTTCCTTATTTGATATCTTCCTTTACCCGGTTTCTACTTTCTGAAAATTTTTATTCTTTTGTAGAATTTCTTGAAGTTCAATTTGCAGGTTTTTGCAACCTCTTAATCTTCAAAAACAGTTGACTTTAAAAGTTCATTCTCATTCCATCTTGGGTGTTTTTTCATTTTTCTTTTTATCTTAGTTTCCTATGAATTTTCATGTAAGGTTTTCTGTTCTTTATCATTATGTGCAATGAATATCATCATTAGAATTTCTTTTGGCCACTCATTATTTATTTAGAGTTGAAATCCCATTTTTATAAGGGTTGAAAGAAATGTAATTTGGATTAGATAAAAAACTCTTCTTTCCGATGAATTTGTTCTAATGTACTTGTTTTTTTGGGCAAGTTTTGATGTGGAGTCTGGTTTGGGGTTTGGTTAAATTGTTGCTGACAAGGCCTCTTGGCAGGTGCCAAGTTGTTTAGTCATAAGTATTATGTATCAATGTAGTGAAAATGAATTGCATTGTAGAACTGACTTTTTATGTTAAATATAAATCTGGGTCTTTCTTCGTTGCAGGATCAGTGCTGCCTGCTGTAGTGCAATAGGCGGGTTTGGTTAATGCCACTTTTCAGTTGGCTACTATGAGCATCACAGGTCCTTCTGTTGATCCGGGTTAGTTTATCTGCTTTGTTCCATCTTTCTATGGTCGTAATGTCTATAATGATTGCTTAGTGGCAAGCTTGCAGAAATATTTTAATTGTTTCTGTGGAAATTGAATCAATTGGTTCTTCATCGGTGGATTTTTTACGTTGATTGAAATAGATTTTTTTTATAAATTTATGAGCTTGTTTTTCCTCGTGTTTAATTTTAACTGTTAACACTTGAACTCTACTGTGACAAATTTCAGGTGGTAGAACTGTTAGAAGAGCACTTGAATTTGGAAGTACCTATGTGGTCATGCCCAAAGGTAGGCACCAAGCGACAATAGTTTGGCTACATGGCTTTGGCTGTAATGGTTCAAGGTATTATAAGTTTTGTAGTGAGGAAGTACATACCTTCAAGATGTTATATAAATCCTTTTATCATATGTTTCCTTTCTTTCAGTTCAGTAATCCTCCATACTAATTAGATGGATGGATGTCATTGTTTTTTTATTGAATACCCGCGGGGGGGGGGGGGGGAATTTGTTGGTATTATGAGCTAAGTAGAAACCTCTCTTTCTCCATGCAATTCTTGTTCTTGTAGTATAGCACTATTACAATCGATGCTTAAATAAGTAGTAGGGAATTAATCTTTGCATGCAAAAGAACTTCTTTTATGCATATATATTTTATGCTTTAGTCTTGAATTGCTGCTACTTTACTGATAAGGTGTGCACAAAACTACAAGCTAAGCTGATATTAAACATAATTCTGGTTGATTTTCAAGTGGTTTAGTCTTCAAATTGCAAGTCACTGCATCTTCATGTTTTCATATCTTCCAATACTAGTATATGTGTCAGCAAGTCTTTTCAACCAATAAATTATACGGGTGCCACTTGAAATCTGAGTTATCCTCTCCTGTGAGGTTCCCTATCTCTGTGATCTATGATATCAAATATAAGACATAAATTCCTTATATCTTTTGATATATCTATGCATCGTCATTTTTCTTTTTCATCTTTTGGTCTCAGTTCCTGGAGACTCTCCCTCTTCTGAATGTAAGAATGATTGATTGTAGCCAAAAATGTTTAGGAGAATATATTCTAACTTTTAAGTATCAACCAATGAATTTATTTTTCTTTATAACTTCATAATTTTCCATGCTTGTAATCCTATGGTGCAGATTAAATGGATATGCCCAACTGCCCCCTACTCAACCAGTAACCATATTTGGTGGATTACCATCAACTGCTTGTAAGTATTTTCTAAATTCTGTAAGGACGTAATCTCATATGAAGGAAACAAAATGCAATAAATTTCTTTCTCTTCAACCTTTGTCTTTGATGATAGTGCTTTGAATGCTAATCAAATTGTTGAATTTTAATGTGACATACAGGGTTCGATGCAAGAGACCTTTCAGAAGATGCATCAGATGATATAGAGGGTTTGGATGCTGCTGCAGCACATGTTGCAAATTTGTTGACAACGGAGCCTGCTGACAGTATGTTTCCTCTTGCTACTTTTTATGAGGTTTTATGATGCTAGATTGTTTTTTTGGGGAGTGTTTTCCTATTTCTGTTCTGAATATTTAGGTATCAATGCATTGTAGACACTTTTATTTTGTTTTATAGCAAGAATTCACGAGAAGGAAAGTTTAACATAATACAACTGCCATTCATTAGTCTTACATTCTGGGAGATTTCTAGTTTTTAATTTTGTTTTCTATAATTTTTGGCTACCAAATGTGAACAACACTCTTTCCTTTTTTCCCATAAAGCAAGAATATGGGAAGAAACAGTGCTGGTTTTGCAAGTCATCACATTTAGCGTGCCTTTTAGTTTCATTTCCTGGTTCTTGTATATCAGCTGGTAGGACAAAGATATGTATTATTTGTGGCTGATTTTTGCTGGATGTGCATACAGACTGATAGATTTAATTAATGTAACTGGAATTCCCTTCTTTCCAAACTTCATAAATGTAACTGGCCCCAGCAATTCTTTAAAGAATGGCGGCAAAGCATCTGTGTCTCAAGTTTGTAATGGCCCAAAGAGCTCTTACAGTTTTCTCCTCTGATTTATGTTTCTATCTATCTTGACAACCATGGTTTTTTTTTTTTTTATATATTTCCTTTTATTTACCGTCATTCCAATTAATGCCTGTAAAAAATGACTACATTTCTAGAATTGGTTTAAATCTCAGTAATTTTTTTGTTTGATTAGTTTCACTTACAACCAATGCAATGCTGCATTCGCCTTAGTTTTCGGTTTTAGCAATGAAAGTTTTGTTTATTGTCTTTGTTTTTGACATTGTTCTAATAGTAGCTTTTTCCAATTATAGTTAAACTTGGTGTTGGAGGCTTCAGTATGGGTGCAGCCACCTCCCTATACTCGGCAACCTGTTTTACTCATGGAAATGATGGAAATGGCAATTTGTATCCTGCCAATTTGAGTACAGTTGTAGGACTTAGTGGATGGCTTCCATGTTCAACGTTGGTTTCCTTCATTGGCACCTCGTATGAGCTTGATGCTTTCTCTCTCTCCCTCTTTTGTTTGGTTTATTGTTATAAATTCTATTCTATTCCAGTTCTTTGAAAAACAAAATAGAAGGACAGGATGAAGGTGCAAGACGTGCTGCATCCTTGCCCGTTTTACCATGCCATGGCAAGGTATTTATAATCACCTTCACTATGCATGGTCATTTTGTCAGGGATGGTGTCGGTTTATTGTCTTTATCTTATACCTCTGGTATAGACGTGGTGGCACGACCATTATCACCATTTATTTTGATTAGTAACAGATATAATAAGATGGTATCCAAATATAGTAATCTTGCTAGTTTATGAGTTTGACCAGCCAAACATTTAGTGTCAACCTGAGTTTAGTTCTTCATAACTAGAAAAGAAAATCCCTGTTTTACTTTATTAGACTAGTATTTAAGGGGATGAAAAGAAAAGTACTGGCATAACATCTGTAATTACTGCTTTTTTCCAGGGATCAGTGAAATTGTGTTGAGTAGTGGTCCTAGCAATGGATTTGATATTTACATAATTACTGTTCTTGGCTAAATTTTGTGTACATTCGATGTTATATGAGGGCCTTAGTAATTTATTGGGCTTGTTGGAAGTAATCAAGGAATAGGTTGTTGCCTATTTTACATAGAGAAGGAAATAGCCCACCGAAAAATGTCTTCGTATCCTGAATAGACTACAATTCTGAAGCCTAAACAATTCTGTTCCAAGTGAACATCTCTTTTGGTGTATACGTATCAGGAGTTGTTTCAACATGAAGTTTCCTTGACTCTCAAGTAAATATTGTCATTATTGAAGCGTAAGCTCATGTTTGAAATATTTGGTAATTAGGTTGGAAGCTGGAATCATTTTACCAAATTCAGTTTTACATGGATTACACTTGTAGTTTCATGATTGGCGCCAAGGTTACTGATGATGTTCCTTTGAAGTATCTATATTATATATTACATGGTTGGTTGCAGGTGATGATGTCGTTCAATATAAATTTGGTGAGGTATCCTCCCAAACATTGAGTTCTAATTGATTTCAGGACATGACGTTCAAATCCTACAATGGGTACGGATCTTGAGAGTCTAACAAAACATTCATGTTTCTCATATATTCGACAATTGGACTGAAATTGAGTACTCTGTTCAACAATTTAGGCTTGGTCACCATACAATCCCTGAGGAGATGGAAGAGGTCTGTGCTTGGTTAACATCAAAACTGGGGCTTGACGGTCAATCCACATGAGGTTTTAATGTGAAAATGTTTTTTATTATTTGGAGCAAGTGAAATGGAGAGGAGAAATTATTTACAAGTTGCAAGTGACAAAATGGAGCAAAATTGTTCTGGTTATGGGTGTCATACATGGTATGGTGATAATTTGCATACCTTGTTATTTCTCTTGTAGTCGATATTTGCTTAATTGGCCCTGGACCTTGCTAGAACTGTGTGATGAAACATGAGAATATGTACTGATTTGACCATCAAAACTTGCAGTTTGGAATATTATTTTTTGGAATGCAATAATATGGATTTGAAATTTTATGTTTTCCCCAATGCTTTTCATTGCTATTCAGTGTTGAAAAAAAAAAGATGTCTGGTTTTCTGATTCTCAGGTGTCACCAAGAATTATAGATGTATTGAGCTCCTGTTGTTTTTTTAAGCATGGAGGGGCATTTTCTTTGTAACTTAGTGCCGTTTGGATTTAACTGCACTTTTAGTGTAGTGGAAACTGAATGTATTTGAAAACTTTATATGAAATAAGAATCTTAATTATAACCTCTAGGGTTAAACTGAAACTAAAGCTTCTAATTTGGATCAAATTTATTCTGAATACAATTAATATATACAAATACAGTAATTTTTTTCACATCGTAAGCTTGAATAGGTGTTTAATTATTGAAAAAAATTTCTTGAAATGTTGGAACTGAAGCTAACCATCTGCAAGTTGAACTTTTTGATAATATAAATCCCCACTGTTAGTTTCTCAATGAAAGCCGCTTAAAACTTAATGGTCTATGACGTTCAAAATGGAGCAAAGCTATGCAACTGGAAGAGTCTCATTGGTCCATCCCACTTGATCTTCAAGTCTTCTAAGATAATCTTTAACCATAGTAGTTCACAAATCCCTTGAACCATTGCTCTGAACTGCTTCAACACTTGATCTTGCCACCACATTCTGTTTTTTACTTTTCCAAGTCACAAGATTAACCACCTAAGAAAGTACAATAGCCTGAGGTGGATCTTCTATCAGTTACTGAACCTGCATATCAGCATCTGTATATGCTTCTAGAACTAACCCCGAATTTCTTTTGAATAAGATACCTCTCCCAGGATTGGCCTTCAAATAGTGCAATATACGGTAGACAGCCTGTAGGTGCACTTCTTTAGGACTATGCATAAATTGACTTACCACACTCACAGCATATGCTATATCAGGTCTAGTATGTGAGAGATAAATGAGTCTTCCAACTAATCTTTGGTACATCTCTCTATTTACAGCAGCATTTTCATTAGCTTCTCCAATTTTATGATTAGGATCCATAGGGGTATTTGCAGGTTTACATGCAAGCTTCCCAGTTTCCTTCAAAAGATTCATCACATATTTCTGTTGTGAGATAAAAATACCATGCCGTGAGTGAGCTATTTCAATTCGTAGGAAGTACTTCAATCTTCCTAGTTCTTTTATCTCAAATTCTCTAGCCAAACACTGTTTTAGAAATTCTCTCTCTTTTTCATCATCTCCAGTTACAATTATAGTATCAACATACACTAATAGAACTGTGACTCTCCCTGAATCAGAGTGCTTGATAAACAATGTGTGATCTCCTTGACTCTGTTTATATCTCATTACTAGCATCACTTTGACAAATCTCCCGAACCAAGCTCTAGGAGACTGTTTAAGGCCATATAAAACCTTTTTTAGCATGCATACTTTGTTTGCTTCTAGATGACCTTCAAATCTCGGTGGAACCTTCATATATATTTCTTCTTCCAAATCACCATGTAGAAAAGCATTCTTTACATCAAATTGTTGAAGCTGCCAATTGTAATTTGTAGCCAATGATAACAAAATTCTAACTGTATTCATCTTGGCAACTGGAGCAAAGGTTTCCTGGTTCCACTCCATAGGTTTGAGTGTAGCCCTTAGCCACTAACCTGGCTTTATACCTTTCAACAGTACCATCTGCCTTGTATTTTACGGTGAAAACCCATTTACACCCCACTGAATTTTTCCTTTAGGCAATTCTACTAGTTTTCATGTCTGATTTTTCTCTAAGGCCCTCCATTTCTTTTTCATGGCTTGCCTCTAGTTTCTCATTGGATAATGCCTCGGATAATGTAGTTGGAAACAGAAATAGTGTTTAGGCTCACAAGAAAATTTTGTGGGATGGTAGAATTTTTAATACACACAATTAGATATTAGGTAGTAGTGGATGCTTGTATTCTCTGTTCTTTTCCTAACGATAGAAAATCATAATCACTAGTCTACTATTTAGAAATTCATGCTCATATTTGAGAAACTAAGATCAAAAACTGTATATAACGTCAATTTCCAGAGTTAGGATCAAGTTCTTGGACTGGCACTGTTCAAGATCCATGAAAATTCATTTTGGTACCCTGTAATTCCTTCAAGAATCAATACAATATTATCGAAAGCCACATCTTTTTATTATGAAATCAGGTTCAGACTCAAATTCAGTGTTGACTTGGCTCAGCAGGAAACCAGGTTTCGAATCAGAAGAAGTTAAGGGGTGTAAATGTTTGAAGAAGGGGGCAAATCAAGCAAAAAAGAAGTATTTATCCTTATCTTCCATGAATGAAGTCTCCCCCTGAAGATAAGGTTGAGTAAAAAATGGTTTATTTTCTTCAAAAGTGACATCTGCAGACACATAAAATTTTTTGATAGGAGGATGATAGTACTTATATCTTTTTTGAGTTGAAGAATACCCCACAAAAGTACACTTAATCGCTCTTGGATCCAACTTTCCCTTGTTATGACTGTGAACATGAACAAATGATATACAACCAAATATTCTAGGTGTGAGATTGTTTGTGGTATTAAGGTTGGGATAAAATTGTGAGAGTAGTTTCATAGGAGTTTTAAATCTCAAAACTCTTGAAGGTAACTTATTTATAATGTATGTGGCAGTGAGAACAGCTTCCCCCAATAAGATTTAGGTACATTTGCTTGAAAAAAAAAGGCTCGGGTTGTGGCTAGTAAATGACTGTTTTTCCTCTCTGCCACTCCATTCTGCTGTGGAGTATTAACACAAGATGACTCATAGATAATCTCCTCTTTTTGAAAATAGGTGGATAGACTATGGTTGAAGTAGTCTCTTGCATTATCAGACCTAAATCTCTTGATTCTCACTCCAAATTGATTTTGGATCATGTTTTGGAAGCTTAAAAACATACTATTCACATCTGATTTGGATTTAAGTAAAAAAACCCAAGAGACCCTAGTACAATCATCTATGAATGAAACAAATCATCTCGCACCAGAAATATTAAGAATTGTAGAGGGACCCCAAATGTCACTATGAATCAAGTAAAAGGGAGTGGAACTTTTTTTGTTACTGATTGAAAAAGACACACGTCTATGTTTTGCAAATTCACAAATATCACAATGAAATCTTCAACATTTAATCCTTTGAACAAAGAAGAAAACATGTTTCTCAAGGTTCCAAAAGAATGATGTCCAAGACGAAAATGATAAAACCAAATTTTGTCTTTATTGAAAGATTTTTCAGAAAGAAATGACAAAGGTAAACTATTTTTGATACTACTTGTGCTATTTGATATCTCAAGATAGTATAGTCCATCCTTCTCGATAGTATAGTCCATCCTTCTCCTTAGCAAGTCCAACCATCTTCTCCGAACTCTGGTCCTGAAATTCACAATAAGAGGGATAAAAAGTTACTTTGCAATTCATATCTCTGGTAAGTTTTTGTATAGATATCAGATTAATAGATAATCCAGGAACATGAAGAACATTTTTTAGAACAAACGAAGGATTAACTTGAACATCTCCTAATCCTGCTACTGTGGTAAGTGAACCATCAGCAACAACAATTTTCTTATTACTAGGACACAAGTTATATGTACTAAACTTTTGTGAAGAATGTGTCATGTGGTCTGTAGCTCCTGAGTCAATGACCCAAGAATTCGTAATAGGCTTAGCGGAGATATTTAATCCATGAGAACCAGAAGCTTTACCTGAACTAGAAACTTTACCCAAAGAACATACCATAGTAGGCTTTTCAAGGATTTTCAATAAGTTTCTTAGCTTTTCAATCTCTTTCATGTTGAACTCTCCTTGTTTCTGAGACATTTGTAGTACTCTAGTGATTTTTTCAGTTAACATTTTCTCAAATTGAGTGGTAGTGATATCTTTCTTTGAAAGGGTTCGACACTGAAGGCCTAAACAGGATTCGGCAATGAAGGCCTAAAAAAGTCAGCAATGAAGGCTGAAAATTTTGCTTCTCAAGAAGAGCCTAAAGCTCTGATACCATGTGAAAACTGAATGTATATTGAAAAACTGCTTATATGAATTATACAAGAATCTTAGGTTTATATACAACTAACTAGGGGTTAAACTAAAAAACTAAATCTTTCTTAATTTTAGGGATACAAATACTTAATTCTAGAGATACAAATATAAATATACGGATTACAAGATTACAACCAGCTGTAAATAAGTGTTTCCCCACTAAGTGTAGTGCGATTGAATTTATTATATAATTAATTGAATTTAAATATTAATTCTAATGAGATTTATTTAACGTAAATTTTTTATTAAAATTTTTTTTACTTATAATTACAGTAATTTTTTTCTCGATCGTAATTATAATAATTTTTATTATTTTTTTAAATTTTATTGCAATCATTTTGTGCATCCTAATAGAGCCTTAAAAAGTACAGCCATCTTTCCAAAACTATGTTACGTGATAATCGACGTACTTCCTTTCTTCCCCATCTCTGGCTATCCGCTTGTTCGTTGTCTTACTATGAGCGCTTAAAATTGCAGCTATAAAGGTGAACAATCCGCAGTTTACGTGTGGCAAAATGAACTCAAATCCGAAAACTAGTAGGAGAAAAATACAAAGCTCAAATCTTTTGAACTTAACTGAGTGAAAACTCAAAAATTCAAATCTTAGATAATCTAAATAAAACTAAAAATAAAAATTTTAACTTGAAACAATTCAAACTCAAAATTTAATCCAAATTAAAAAAATAATACTAAAGTGATTATATTTTTCATAAAATCTAAAAAAAAAACCAACTAGCTCGATCTTGAACCTGACCGAAACCCAAAAGATCTCAAACCCAGACAGTCCAAACTCGAAATCCAAAATAATTTGAACCCACACTCATCCAGTTGGCGCCTCTACAAATTTCTAGCTTCTTCTTCTGTCTGTTGGCAATTGTTATGCAACAAAAACCTGATTTTGTACGGTTCTGAGATGTCTTTCTGTCAGAAAAGCGCACAATAAAAATTATCAGCAATGCCATTTGGCGTCCACAAGTTTAATTTAATCAGCCACTCGCACAAAGCATCGAGAACAAACTATCCAAACTCTTCTGCTTAAATAATAAACAGGGAGAAATAAAATGAAGACTCCCAAAAATTGGAAAGAATGTTGGAAAATAATTCCAACATTCAAACGAAAGGCATGCATACAAGCTCAGCACTTCAGCTTCCAGTTTGGTTCTTCCCTCCAAACCAAGTATTCTTGGTGAAGGCCGCCATAATAACCCCTCTTTTAAGGTATCTTGCATTCAGTTTTGGGCTTCTTTAACAAAAGCTACATCCAAATTTCCATCTTTTGGTGACAGCAAGTGCTTCTCTTGATCTGTATCATCAATTTCTGTTGAATAACAGGGGGTGAAAGTTGAGAGAGATTCAGTCCCATCTTCTGGAAGCAAGCAGCCAAAAGAAACAGAGGGAAGTCCCAAATATGAGTGTAATATCACAATGAGTATTTCAAGCAGACTAAATGGCTGGTTCAACTTTTCAAAAGCAAGACAGAAGAGATAGGAAGCATACCGATTTCGTGGTACTCAGGTAATTGCTTCACTGTAGTTACTTGAAGGCTCTCAGGAAGCAGACAGCTGCATAAAGAACCTACATTTTTGACAAATTAAGAACTTAATGATTTTCATTGTGATTTTCCTTTTTTCAGGCAAAAGCCCAATATGGATGATGAAAATAAACTACATAACAATCAATGCTTAGCCTAGAGATTGTTTTCCCCTCCAATGGAGTGTCACGGGCCAGGGTCAACTAAGGCAAAGATACATTGATATAAGCACACAGAGATACATACATGTGGAGGATCAACATACCTAGCCGAGCCAGCCGGTTCACCCATCCAGGGATATGTTTGCCTGTCAATCTATGTGCCATGTCATCTGTAAAGTGGTTACAATTCTTGGAGATGAGGTGGTAGGTATCTCCATGATACTCAGAAGCTAAACTCACGATAAACACTCTGAATTCAGAGAAAGGCATGTTTATGTGTCCCAACGAGATGGAACATCGATAGCTAAAACCAGGGCAGCACTTTGGCTCCACTTCAAAAACTCCGCTAACTGGAAAATCATGGGCCCCAAACCCATATTCTTTACCATGAACTGTTCATAAATATTGAGATAGATACTTTAGTTTCCTAGATTATAAAAAGATTATCGACACAACAACTAAAATTCATGTCATATTGCAAAAATGCTATCCACCTCTCCCTTTAGCCTAAACAACTTGATTGGCAACGAAGTACTTAGCAATAAGCTATTTTATTTCAAGCATGCAACAATTTCTTTGAGATGTGCTTCATTTCAATCCCACCAGCTAACAAGAAAAGCATAATCTTAAAATCTTTCTAAATAGAAAAACATTGCTTCATGCGTTCTAAAAATTCAGCATAAAAAATGGTTTAAACATCACCAAGTGCCAAAAAAAGAAGCACTTTCACACCAAACTAATTTTTCTATTACTCCAGCTCATAAAAAAGTGACACATTTTCTTAAAGCAAACATATTTACAAATGCAACTCTCGAATTTGGCAAAAAAAAAAAATTACAAATGCAAACATACCAACAGAAAGTACTGTAAAATTGGATGATAAATTCATTAGTTAACAATACAAAGATCTAAGTACACATCAAAAGATCACAGTTTCTCCATAATTCATACAATTATTATATTCCAAATTCGTCCCCAAAAAAACTTTCTTTCCTAAAGAAAAGCCCAAATAAGTATTAATCCTCAGCTACATACTGGAGATAATCACATAAAAAATCATTTAAAAAGAATTCAGCAAACCCATATCTATTTTCGATCAGGGGAAACCAAATTCACCATTTTGGAGCAATAAAAAGCTAAATAACCAATACCAATATCCCAAAACATACAATAAAACAAAAACTCCATAACAAACCCCCCAAAAAAAAATCCAGGAATGGGAACAAACCTTCAATACCGGAGTGGAAAATCCCGAAACCAACCCAATAAGAGTAGTTATTGATAGGAGTAAGATCATAGACATTCAAAATCACATTGCTTTCGTCGTTATTGCTCACATTTTGATTCCCAGAGCTGGAATCTGAGACTTCCCCTGTCCCCATCTTTTTGCTTTTTATTGACACAAAAAAGAAAAAGAAAGGCTCTCCAAAGAAAAGATCCCAAAATCCCCAGAAATCTAGTATGTTAGAGAGAGAACCTTAAAGATCCATGTACCTGTCGAGGCTAAAAGGGTTTGAATTTTTACAATTAAATCCTCGTGTCTATATACGTACTATTAAAACAATCTTGGAGTTTTCTAAATTGGACGATCTATTTTTTTTCAGTTTGATGGGCTTTGAAATGCGAAGAATTTGGAGTTATTTTTTGGGTTGGGTTTTTATTGGAGAGAATCCACTGTCATCTATACGTAAGCTATAAAGTAAGCTACAAAGGTGTTTTTTTTTTTGTTATTTTTTTGTGTAAATTATTTTTTATTGATTAATACTATTAGAATATATTATCAATAGTTATATTTTTATTGGTTAGTGCTATTAGAATATATTGTCAATAGTTATATATTTAGTTATGTATAAATTTGATTGTACTCTTTTATAATATAAATATACATGTCATAACCCTAAATGAGATATGATAAAATATTTGTTCTTTACAAATTTGTTTCATAGTATTAGAGCGACAGTCTTTCCTCTTTTTTATCTTCAATTCTGATTTAAATATTTGTCTTCTTTTTAGATCTAAAAATAATTATTTTTTATTATTTTACTCCAACAACTTCTTTTATAATATATTACTTTTTAAACCTTCTAATGGCTTCCAACAATTAATCATCTTTCATATCATCTTTTTCTTTCCTAATATTTTTAGTCTTATCTCCATTAAGTTGAACTCAAAAAAGTATTGACTTTGGTGTGATCAAATAGCACATTTTTTATTATGTAGTGATTTAATGGGGCATGTTGATGGCACCATTGCACTTCTTCCTAAAACAATAACTAAAGATAATGAAATTACATCCTATCCTGTATATACAAAATGGCTGAAAAAGGATTAATTTGTTCTTTTCTGTTTAAAGACAACATTGTCACAAAGTGTATAAGCACAAATCCTGCGTTTGTCATCTTCTCACCAAATTTGGATAACTTTAGAAACTATTTTTTATTAACAATGTTAAGTAAAGTTAGATTTGTTGCAAGATGAGTTGCAAAGTTTGAGTAAAGGAACTATGTCTATTAAAGAATATTTTTCTAAGATCAAATATATTTCTGATAATTTAGCAGTCATAAATCATCATATCTCTAATTTAGAATTGGTCACTCGTAGTTTGAATGGACTATCAAATACCATTGAATATCAACCGATTGTCTTTGCTATTGAAAATAGAGAAAATCTCATTTCCTTTAATGATTTGAAAGTATGATTATTAGTTCATAAGCAGCGCTTGAAAAGAATGCAGATATTGTTATCACAACCTATGAATGCCATTGTTAGCTCCCATAAGACATCCATGGTAACTCACCCAAACAGTCGAGGTCAGTGCTTCAATAATCCTCATCGTGATTTTAAGCGCACTAGACAAATTAATCAAAGGTATAATCTTCGTAATTCTTAGTATTTTGTTCACACAAATTATATGCCTCAATGAAACTTTCAATCAAACAACCGAGATAACAAGAACTTTCCACATTTTCAACATATAAATTGTGCCATAAAGTGTCAAATTTGTCACCGATTCAATCATATTGTTGTAACATGTCAATATTGCTATAATAAATCTGATCATGGTCTAAGCAATTCTTTTGTTGATATTTATTTTTTTACTATTATTTCAAATGATACTCCACTTAATGCTCCAATCAGGGATGGCATCGGGTCGGGTTTGGGGCGGGTTTTGCTCACCCCGAACTCGACCCGATTTTATGGTTTATTAAATCCGAACTCGATCCTACCCGATTTTTTTTACACCCGAACCCGACCCGACCCGATACTACTTAAACCGTATCCGATCCAATCCGATCCGAAATTAATAAAATATTATTTTTTAAATATAAATATTTAAAAATATAATTATATAAATATATAATTAAATAATTAATTAAAAAATAATTTTTTATATAATGTCGGGTTGGGTTGGGTCGGGTTTTAGGCATACCCGAACCCGACCCGACCCAGATTGCTTCATAATTATACCCGACCCTAAACCCGAAATTAAAAAAAAAATCCGACCCCACAAGATCGGGTCGGGCCGAAACCCGTCGGGGACGGGTTTGATTACCGTCCCTACCTTCAATGGACAATGACAATGATTCCTACTAGCTGGGAGATTCAAATGCTACCAGTCACATAACTTTCCATCCATCATTGGTACATCAGTCCACTCTTTATGCTGACAATGAAAGTGTTTTTATTGGTGATGATAATTATTTAAACATCACTCATATTAGTGATTCTGCTATATGTCTTGGTTCTACAAAATTAGCATTGAAAAATATTTTATTTGTTCTAGCATTAAAGGAAAATTTATTGTCTATTACTAAGCTAACTAGAGACAATAACTGTGGTTTATATTGTTTTCCTAGGGGTTTTGTTATTAAGGATCTTCGCACAATAAAGGTATTTTTAGATGGACCAATTAAAGGTAACCTTTATGTGAGTCCTGTAAAAGATGTGGAGAGATTCATTAGTATGAGGTAATGCGACCAACAAACTTTGTTCAGTGACAGTTCTTCTTCAGTTTTTGGAATAATTTAGCATCGATGACTTAGACATCTAGCTAGCAAAATTATAGCACAGTTAAAATCTAATAAGTTTATCTGTCTTAAGGATTTTTCCTTTTGTAACTTAACTTGTGCAGCATGTCAAATAGGAAAAAGTAAACATTTGCCTTTTGGTTTATCTACTAGGATAACTTTTAATATTCTTGAATTAATTCATTGTGATCTTTAGGGGCCATTGCCCACTGCTATTGTTATTGGTTTTCGCTATTATATTATTTTTATGGATGATTTTAGTCGTTATACTTAGTTTTATCTATTAAAGCATCATTCTAATAGTGTTACTTATTTTGAGAATTTTAAGACTATGGTTGAAAATCAATTTGACAGCAAGATCAAATTTTTTTAGTGTGATGGAGCTAATGAGCTTGTTGAGGTTGATTTCAAAAATTTTCTTGATCATCATAGTATTTTTCTTCGAATTTTTTGTTCACACATCCATGAATAAAATGATTTAACAGAATGAAAACATAGACATATTGAGGAAATGAGCTTGACTCTATTGTTTCAAGCTTGTTTACCACGATCTATTTGGCTTGAGGTATTTTTTACAACTGTTTATCTTATCAATCGACTTCTTATATCAGTTTTGGGTAATCAGTCTCTTTTTGAGGTGTTGTTTAATTTTATGCCATATTACAATCATTTGAGAGCTTTTGGATGTGCTTGTTATCCTCATCTAGTTCCTTATCAAAAAGATTAATTTTCTCTAAAATTCACTCATTCTGTCTTCTTGGGGTATAGTTTAGTCCATAAAGGATATTGTTGTTTAGGCTTCTATAATGGTCAGGTTTATATCTCACGACATGTTTCTTTGATGAAAATTACTTTCTTTTTGTAGAACATTATGGTTTTACAGCTCATAGGATTCTTTCTCATCTCATTAACTCTTCTACACCTCCTGAGGTTAGTTTCAAGGTATCTCTGCTCATATCTTTTACTATAATTATGTCAAAACTATTACCAAATGCTTCAATCCTAAATACAATTGTTTCTGAACTTGATACAACTGTGTTGGCATTTTCTGTTTAACCATCATTTGAGCCTTTCACTTTTTCTGGTTTTAAAACCATACATCTTATGTTATACGAAGTTGAGATGATACTTGAAAACCCAAAGTACTATACTCTTTACATGCTATAAATTATCCATCTCTTGAAAAATGGATTTTAGTTATAAATGATGAATATTTTGCTTTGATGCAAAATAATACTTGATCTTTAATGCCTCGTAATTCATCCATGAATGTTGTTGGTTGTCATTGGATCTATAAAATCAAAGAGCGAGATGATGGTACCATTGAATGATATAAAGCTAGATTAGTGGCCAAAGGCTTTACATAACTAGAAGGTATTAACTTTGACTCCACCTTTAGCCCTGTTGTTAAGGCCACCACTATTCGAATGTTCTCTCTATTACTATTAGTAAATGATGGTCAATCAGGTAATTAGATGTCAAAAATGCATTTTTACATAGTAAATTGCATGAAAAAGTTTATATGACATAACCACCAGTGTTTGTGGACACTAATCATTCTTATCATGCTTGTAAATTACATCGCTCTCTTTATGGTGTTCGTCAAGCTCCATGAGCTTGGTTTCAAAGATTAAGTTATGCTTTTCATGCTTTTGGTTTCAAAAGCACTCAAGTAGATCTTTCTATGTTTATATGGTGTTTCTCATATGACATGATGTTAAATTTACTTTATGTGGATGATATCATTCTCACTGGATATTCATTAAGTGTTATTCATTCATTCATTTCACAGCTTTCTTCATAATTTTAAATGAATGATCTTCATTATTTTCTTGGAATATAGGCATATCATACACCTAAACATTTGTTGTTAACACAAACAAAATATGTGTTGTCTCTAGTTTCATGTTTGGATATGAAAAACTATAAACTTATTTCTACTCTAATAAATGCTGGTAAGAAGCTTTCTTTATATGATGGAACTTTACTTTCAAACCCATCATAATATCACACCATTGTTGGAGCTTTGTAATATATTACCTTTACTAGACCTGACATTACATATGTTGTGTAACAAGTCCATCAATTTATGCATGCATCTCGTGATATTTACTTTCAGGCTATGAAATGAATCTTGAGATCTCTTAAAGGAACTATTAATTGTAGTATTTGATTATTTTCTTGCACTACACCGAATCTAGTATGCTATGTTGATGCTGATTGGGTTGGTTGTCTAGACACTAGACGTTCTACAATGGGTTACTATATTTTTTTAAATTCTAATCCTATTTTTTGGTGTACTAAAAAGTAAGTTTTTGTTGCTTAATCTAGTACTGAAATAGAGTATGTGGCTATTTCTATAGCTTCTTGAAATATACTTTGGATTTCTTATATATTAAATGAGGTTGGATTTCCTCTTGCATTTATCTTGTTCTATATATTCTAACAAAATATGTGCTACTTAACTTGCTGCCAATCCAGTCTTTCATGCTCGTATAAAACATATAGAGACCTGAGATCTTATTTGCAAGCATTTTTTTTTAAGTCTTTTTTATTCGTTCTCAATCACAACTAGCTGATATATTTACCAAAAGACTTTCTTTCTTAATTTTTCATCCATTTAAGAACAAGCTCTTGATGAAGTTCTCTCCAATTGTTGAAAGGCTTGAGAGGGCGTATTAAAATATGTTGTTAATAGTTGTACATTTAATTATGTGTAAATATGCTTGTATTCTCTCATGATATAAATATATATGTCATAACAAAAAATAAGATACGACAAAACATTTGTTTTTTACAAATTCGTTTCAAGAACTTTTCTCTTTTTAATATGAAACTCAGAGTTTCATGAAATCTTTTATATCAAACAACTTTTATGAGTTGATGGGTTTTGAGTTGTGAGAAATTTGAAATTATTTTTTGAGTTTAAATTTATTTGAAAAACTTGTCATTGTCAGTGAAAACTATAGAAAGTGTCTTTCTTTTTTATTTTGGTTACTTTTTCTTTATTTTTTTGTGCAAATTATTTTTTATTAGTTAATACTTTTCTCTTTTTAATATGAAATGCTTCAACAAATGTATGAATTAAAAAAAAAAAGAAATATTAATTTTCAATCTCTTACAAGACACCAAATTATAATTTTTTTTTGTATATAAAATTTATAAGTTTGTAGTACATAAAATATAAGTATAATATATTTATATATTTTTAATTCTACCTTTATAATACATTACTTGAAAAATTATTGATTTCAAACAATCTCAACGAAGCCGGTCACGAGACTAGTGTGTTATTACTTTAATGTTGGGTTTGGTGACAGATGGTGGAGAGAATAAAAATGGAGATAGCCTATATTAGTTACTTTGACAAAAACTAATATATAATAAGAAAGAAAAAAAAAACTGGTACTTATTTCCTCTACGTACCTCCATCAAAATCAGAGCATAAAATTCATGGCTGCATATTTTCTGCATCACATACATATTGTGATTTAATTGGAATTTGGACGTATATACATTCCTTAATTTTATAATTAATTAAATTAATGGTACTACTTATAAATTTGATAATTTAAAATATGAAAAAAAAAATATATACGAATAAAATATGATTTAAAATTTAATTAAAAATATATATGAATTTAATAAAATAAAATAAATATATTTTATATTTACATGTTAATGCAAATTGTAACATATAATTTTTTATATAAAATATGATAAAATTATTAATTATTAATATTTTATATGACATAAATACATAAATTATCAAATCTAAATGCATACTACTATTTATTTAATCATGCAACTTAAAAAAAAAAAAAAGATAATGCAATTTGCAATAGTATAACTTTAACTACCAATATATTAATTTAACCTTATAATTTCATTGCAACTTGCTAGCACTAAAGTTGGTTATATATCATAAATATATATATATATATATCTGTGTTTTATATTATTATTTTTATATATAAGATTATTATGTGATATTTTTGTAATTACGGCATTTGTCAACCAAACCAGGCTCTATAAAAAAAAAAAAAGCAAAGCATAAGCTCAAAAGGAAAACGAAGCTCCTATCTCAATTCCAATGGCAGAATTTGAGTCCATAATGATACTTCTATTTGTTGCAATTTTCTTTCCTTTATTTCTTTTGCATCGCTTTCAAAACAAAAAGTCCCCACGGATCACAAATTGGCCTATCGTTGGAATGTTGCCAACGGTTCTCTCCAATGCAAGCAGGGTTTTGGAGTTCAGCGTTGACATTGTCAAACAAAGTGGGGGCACATTGGAGTTCAAGGGGCCTTGGTTTCCAACCTTGGACTTCGTTATCACTGCTGATCATAACAATGTCAACCACATCTTGTGCAAAAACTTTGATAACTACGAGAAAGGCTCTGAGTTCAAAGACATATTTTTCGATTGTTTGGGTGAAGGAATATTCAACTCAAACTCTCATTCATGGAAAAGCCAACGGAAGCTAATGTTGTTGGTGATGAAAAACAACAAGTTTGTGCAGTTCTTACACAAAATCTTATGTCAAAAACTAGAGAAAAGTCTAACCAAAGTTCTCGAGTTTTTCGTGAAACTTGGCACTGAGGTGGATTTTCAAGATATATTACAGCGGTTCAGCTATGACGTTGCTTGCATTTTAGCTGTAGGCTCTGATCCAAATTCTCTTTCAATTGAACTACCTGAAGTTCCAAGCAAATCTGCTTTTTGTCAAATAGAGGAAGGTTTGTTATATAGGCATTACATGCCTATAAACGTTTGGAAGTTGCAAAGATGGCTTCAAATTGGGGAGGAGAAAAAAATGAGCAAAGCTTTGAAAGCCGTTGATGAATTTGTATACCAGTGCATTGCGTCAAAGAAAGAAGAAATAAGATGCAAACTACATTTGAAGGAAGGTCAATTTGACTTCGTTACAGCTTTTATGGTCGAAGAAGAAGGGGAAATGAGTGGTGCTGATTGGAAATCTGACAAGTTTTTTAGAGACATTGCAATAAATGTCATGGCAGCAGGGAAAGACACAATAAGTTCAAGCCTGTCTTGGTTTTTCTGGCTTGTTGGAATGAACCCATCAGTAGAAAACAAGATTCTACAAGAGATAAGAGCAAATTCTGATCCAACAAGCAATGATAAGATGAGCAAATCGATGATTTTTTTTAGTGAGGAAAAGCTGAATAAATTCATTTACCTTGATGCAGCCTTATCAGAAACATTAAGGCTTTATCCACCAGTTCCTTTCAATCACAAAACTGCCATTCGACCGGACATCCTTCCAAGCGGTCACCGAATTCATCAGAACACAAGGATCTTGATAAACTCCTACTCAATGGGGAGAATGAAAGAAATATGGGGTGAAGACTGTTTGGAATTCAAACCAGAGAGGTGGATTTCAGAGAAAGGAGATATTGTGCATGTTCCATCTCACAAATTCATAGCATTTAGCGCAGGGCCAAGAAGTTGTATAGGTAAGAATATAAGCTTCATTCAGATGAAGTTGGTTGCTATCTCTATACTAAGGAATTATCAAATTGAGGTGGTGCAAGGCCATCTTGTTTCCCCTAGCAATGCTGTAGTACTTTATATGAAGAATGGTTTAAAGGTTAAGATCAAGAAAAGGAGTGCTTGAGGGACATATATATATAAGGCATAGTCTGGAAATAAGAAAAGAGGTTGCAATTATTTGGATAATAAACTTGTTAGATGCTACCTCTTAAAAAATTATATAAATTAATTAAGTTAAATTCAAATTCTAAGATTTTGTAATATTGAACTAGAATAAGCATATATATATTATTAATAGCGATCATGATATAAGTAACTCTATCACAAATCATCCAATGTTTTCATGGTATCTTGATTTATGAATGTAATAAATAAATATATATATATATATATATATATTACTTTGAGAATAATGTTTACTAATCTTTTAATTATCTTTTGGACTAAGTTCTGCAAAAGACATCCAATCAATGCTTAAGAGCATTTTAAGATTTTATTTTGAAAATTTTGAGTTTTGAATTTTGCAATTGATAAAACATGATTTATGAAATAAAAAGTATTGTTGTTCTTGGTGCAATTCAATTTCACATATAAAAAAAAGTGTAGACCTATTATTGTCAATAATATGAAATCATTTTTAAGAGTAGATTTAATATATACTTGTTATGAAAAAAGTTTTTAAAAAATATTTTGAGAATAAATACTTGATATATTTTTTTTTCTTCTGTCAAGTACTTGATCATTTATTTTAGTGTCAAGAATCCTAGCTAATAATTCGTATTTGGTATGAAGGAGCTAAGCAATTCTACATCTGGTGCAAAAGGCCATTAAAGATCATGAACTCTTTAGTTTGACTTCCAACAAATTTTTTGAAAAATATATTCTCACTTGGTTTTAGTATCTAGAAATAATTGTTATCGTTAGACAAATAAATAGCACACCACATTTTTATAGGTGGAGCCGTTTAATTTTGAAATTTAAATTCAAAAATTGTTGGTTTTTGTTATTTTTTTATCTGAAATTGTCAAGATTTCAATTTTAATAATTGAAACTAAAAATATAATATTTTATCAATAAAACATATGATTGGTATATTTGCTTATTTACAAGTACTTAATTTGTTTATTCTATTTTTATTTTGGCGTATATTTTTCTTAAAAAAAAAAAAAAAAAACCAAGCTCATAATTTATATAATGGATAATACTTAAAAAGTTGACATAGATGAATGTTAGCTACTCTCTTTGCTGCCAAAGAGAAATTATTGATGAGGATGTAATTCAAGGTTTTACCAAAAAAAAAAAAAGAATTTAGGTGAAGTAACACAAAAGAAACTATTAAAAATCAACGTATAATTAACTCAAGTGATAAAAAGAATGTGTTTCATTTTTAATTGTTTGGATTTAAATTCAAATCTGTAAAGAAATCATAAAAAAAATAATTTTTTAAAAAATTTATTAGATTTAATATAAATAAACCTGCTTAAACTAGTAAAAAAATGTATTATACAATGCCCAAAAATCTTTTACCAGTTAAAAGAAACTAACATTATTAACTTAATTAGCTCAAAGAGAAGAAAACCAATATTTACTTAACTCCAACCTCATTTCCTCAAAATTCCATAATAATGAAAAATTTTAACCAGTATCTACATGTCAATATTGATATATAATAATGAAAAATGTTAATTAGTATCTAGATATAAATACTTGTGTTCAATAATGATGTACAGCTATTAATAAATAAATGTGTTTGCCTCGGCGAGTCGTAGGCCCGAATTGATGACGAGTATAGGATTTCCTGGAAATTTATTTATTTGTAACAATGTCATCTATAAAATTTTTGTTTTGGTCTGAAAATTTTGAATTAAGAAGAAGGCATTTAACATATATAAATCAATGCACACCCAAATGAAGTATCAGTGTAGGAAAGTAGGTACGTAACAGCAATTTCTACATCTTCCCATCATTTTAATTTTCGTTTTGCGTAGAAAGATAGTAATTGATGTGAGGCAATTTGGAGCGACACGGAGGAAAGGTGTCGTTATGCTTCAACCATGACAACAGACGGTATGAAACGCGTGAGAGCAAGGCATGAAGATAGCCAGCAAGCCAGGCAATATCTTCTCTAGGCATACAGGTGCAGCAGGGGTTCATTGTTTCGAAATCTCGACCACAAATTCTAGTAACCTTTAACTCATAATATTCATCTCCTCTGTAAATCATAATTGATCTTACAAAACCAATCATCCCTGTAACTGCTTGGTCCTTGATCGACCAAGTAATCATATTATGGATACTAAAAAGGATCCTACAAGCATGTTGTCTTTTGTTTTCTCTATCCTGAACCAGTGCTTCAAATTCTTGGTGTAGTAGAATCACCAGTTTTTCTATGTCCAATTGCATGGGATACAATTTATGCATTGAAATCTGATTTCGGCATACAGCCCATTATATCCGGTATCCGTCTAATCAAGTCATTCTGGTTATTCAAAGGGGTCCTCAGGGCTCGTATTGTGGCTGCATCCCACCATTATTTTCTTGTCGTCTATCCACTGAAGCCTTTCCAGTGGCCATGGAATTTGCATATCAGCAATCATCCCAGACACCTCATGATAGTAGACCATATTGTTTTATGTGCATACACATACATCTCAGAGACTTCTTGTGAGTCTGAGCCTACATTTGAAGATGCTCTGAACCGAAAAAGCTTTACCCGTTAGGAAAAAAGAATACTCTGAAACCTAGGAATAATGGGTACAACTAATAAAAATGGGGCTAGCGATAGAACTAGAATATGGTAGATGACTAATTGGATTCCACTTCTATTACCACATAGGAATAGGAAGAGTTGTAATCAGACATAGTTTTTATGAATTCTTAATTAATATATTTGATTTTTGTTCATCATTTTGAATAATATTTAAATATCTATTTAATAATAAATTAAATACGAATAAAGATTTGTTTTATTTATTTATGTTTATGAATAAATTTATTTAATATTTATAAATAAATTTAATAAATATTTATTTATATTTTATTTTTATTCTTTTTAAGATAATTATTTTATAATTAAATATCTTTTAATAAAATTTTAATTACAATTTTATATTAATATATTGTAAAATACACTTAACATATATTATTGTAAATATAATTTTTAATTATCTAAAATGACAATAAATAAGTTATAGATAAAACTTTTTATTTATAGTCCAATCTTCCTATCTCATATAGATTGGAAAATCAATGTAAGAAAAGAAACTCTGTATAGTTAGGCATGTCCCCTTCACTCTTGAAAGATTATGTCATTGGTTTGTATGACGAGTTTTTTTAATTATTAATTTATATTTATTTTATATATTCATTTAATGTCTATAAATAAATTCATTTAATTTAAATAAATCAATTTTAAACTGATCTTAAATATTTTAATATCTAAATCAATCGAATTTGAACATAATGTATAAATTTTTTATCAAACAAAAATAATGCTTAAAAAATGAATGAATCATGAACATAATGATATTCATTTATATCTTAATATAGAAAAATATCTTTATTATCCTATTACTATTAAAATTCCAATTTAATAATTTTATGTCTTAAAATTTATTTCATGCCAGGCTATGCTAATATCTTTTGTTTTAACTAAAAAACTATCCTCACAATTATTAAAATATAAATTATTTTTATTATTTATTGATTGTTTATATAGTGTCTTTTCAAATATTTTTCATTTTTTGTTAAAGATTTGATAAAAAAAATTTTTAATTTAATTGAAAAAGCAAAAGAAGTAAGCATTTTACCTTGCTTTTTTTTAAACACTTTTTCTGGAAGTACAATTTTTTATTTTAAAAAGTGTAAATTATTTAAGTTTTTGCTTTAATAAAAAATGTATATCTCATTTTATGATTTTAATTCCGTTTTCCAATAAATTTTGTATAATATTTGTAACTTTTTTTTATAAAATTTATAATTATAGTGAAATTTTATAATTTTTAAAATTTTATTATAATTTTATAATTGCAACAAAATCGAACTCTCTCACTTCCATCACCAAATCTTTTGGGCAAAAAAAAAAACTTCAAATCCATTTAAATAAAATAAGTGTCAAATATTTATAGTAATCTCATTCATAGATTAGAACAGATTGCATCTTAAGGGGTATTTGGTTAGAAAGAATCTACACATTTTTTTTTTTTTTAAATCTGTTGGATATTTGATTATAACATTTGGTTCGAAGTAATTTTATTCTAAAAAAAACTAGCAGATTTTTAACGGTACTTAAAGTCTCAAAATTAAAAACTCACATCTTCCTATGATATTTTATAATTTTAGAAAGAAAATAACGTTATTTCTAAATTTGATCTAATTAAAAAATTATGAAATGATCATTATCATTTTGAAAAGCATATTTGAAAATAAATGCAAGTCAGTTATGAGTTTTTGTTGGTAAAAATTTAATTTGTATATAGTATTTGGCTTGAAAAACACATTCAATAATTTTTTACAAAAAATTAAATTGAATTATTCAAGGCGTTTTTGGTTAAAAATACTTTGAATAATCTCTAAAAATTTTTATGAAAGGATTATTAAATGCCTTTTTTTACCAAAAATGCCTTGAATAACTTTCATTCAATTTTTTGTAAAAGATTATTCAATGTACTTTTGGCAAAAAAACGTCTTGAATAATACTATCTAATTTTTTGAAGAGGATTATTTAAGACATTTTGACCAAAAATGCATTGAATTATCTCCTGCCATTTTTTGGATTATTCAAGATCATTTTTTGGATTATTCAAGATGTTTTTGGCTAAAAATATCTTAAATAATCCTTTATAAAAAATTGAATGAGATTATTCAAGACATTTCTGATTAAAAAATGTTTTTAATAATCCCTTTCAAATTTTATGAGTTAATTATTCAATATATTTTTGGTAAAAAATACCTTGAATAATACCTTCCAATTTTTATTGAGGATTATTCAAAACGTGATTGCTCAGAGAACGCATTGAATAATCTCTTATAAAAAATTGAATGAGATTATTCAAGATATTTTTAGCTAAAAATGCCTTCAATAATCCCTTTTAATTTTTATGGTAAAAAACGCATTGAATAATTTATTTTAATTTTTATAAATAGATTAGTTAATGTGTTTTTGTCCAAAAACACATTGAATAATCATCTTCAATACTAGATGATTATTTAAAGTGTTTTTTACCAGAAACGTCTTGAATAATTTTAAAAAAATGTTTGTAAGGGTATTTAAGGCTTTTTTTTTTTACCAAAAACACATTGAATAATTTTTCAAAAATATAGAAGGAGATTATTCAAGGCGTTTTTGATCAAAAATATAGATAAAAAATATCTTAAATAATCTACTCATAAAAATTGAAGGGGATTATTCAATGTGTTTTTGCCTAGAAATACTTTCAATAACCTCATTCAATTTTTTGTAAGAGATTATTTAAAGTGTTTTCTAAGTAAAAACATTTTGAATAATCATATCATAAAAATTATAGGGAATTATTGAAAGTATTTTTGGTCAAAAGCCCTAAACGCCTTGACTAATCCTATTTAATTTTTTTAAGGGATTATTTAATGCATTTTTCTTAAAAAAATTAGAAAGATTATTTAAAACATTTTTGATCAAAAACACATTTAATAATCTCTTCATAAAAATTGAAAGGGATTATTTAAGATATTTTTACCTACAAACACCTTAAATAATTTTATTCAATTTTTTGTAAGAATTATTCAAAACGTTTTCTGACTAAAAATGTCTTAAATAATTTTATTTAATTAAAATTTAGATTATTTATGTTATTATCATATATATATATATATATATATATATATATATACTTAAGAGGTTATAGTAATTATTTAAAATTTAATATATGTAAATTTTTTTCAATCAAAAGGATAAATTTAAATACAAAATATATTTAAAATAAAAAAAAACCTTAAATATTATTTTTTTTTAAATCACACATTCTTTCGAAATTTATAATTTCGTGAAGCGAACGTGCCTAAATAATTTGGGTTCACAAAATTATAACACAAGCGCAGCCACTAGCGGAATGCATTGCTGTAGCCACAAAACATTTTCTAAAAATTGTTGACCGATATTTGAATAAATTGGTATAATTTTGAAGTAGATAGATTTGAATAATATTATGCGGATATTTTTTAATTAAATAATTATAAATGTAAGGAAGCGATCGTAAAATTTTAAGTTTAAATTTTACTGTATAAATTTACTCATTTTTTATGTTTTAATTTGTTATGATTATTTAATTAATTTTATGAATATAATTTTTAATTATAATTATAATTAAAAAATAAAAATTAAAGGATAGAATAAGAATTAAAAAAACTCTCTTAAAGGGTAAACAAAGAAGTGAAACAAATTTCACTCATCTAAGAAAATTGAAGAAAGAAACTAAAAATGAGTTTTAATTTTTAAATTGCACTGAATAGCTCCCTTCAACAAACGCCCAGAGCGCGGGTGCTGATGAGTCCTCCACATTCCAACCAAAACGGTGCCGACTTAAAAATAAAAATAATCATTCCAATTTCGAAAAATAAAAAGCTAGCGAACCGAAGTTATCCACGTCAGCTTCTTCCTTTGCCCCTATTTTTTCTTCAGTACATTCATTTTTTTTTTTTTACTCTTTTCTTTATTTCTCGACTCCTCTTTCAAATCCCTAATTTCCAAAATTAAAATGTGTTAGCCTCCAAATCAAATCGGAAGACATTTTTTTTGCTATTGACGCCTTGAAGTTGAAGTTGTTGGTAATTACCTAATTCGCAAAATCTCTTGATTTTCGTTTCTTTTCGCGTTTCGAAGGCTCTGATTTTACATGGATCTTATCGATTACTATCCTGTTCTTCCTGGATCGGTTCTTAAGAGTTTCTGATTCGGTTCCGTTTATTTTCGCCTTTTTTTAGCCGGGGGCGGGCGGGTGGGTGGGGATTTTGAGCTTTATGTTTTTGGTGTATTGGTAATTAATTTAATTTGTTGATTTTTGGAACTCAAGAAATTTTATTCCTTAGTTTATTGCTACATTCAAATTTCAATATTGTTTTTTTTTTTTTTTTTGTATTTCCATTTCCATCCCCTATTGAATTTTACTTATGGAGTTAGTTTGGTGCTGGCAAGTGAGTTGAATTGAAATGCTTATAGTGCGAAATGTGAAGTTAATTGTTTCAATGTTCACTACTATTGTTGTTAGGATACTTGATATGTTCTAAACGTTGAGTTTCAGTGTTGAGAATCGATCAATCCCGCATGCCGATTTGATCTTGTTTGGCCAAAAAAATATATAGATATGTGGAAAGGTATGGTGGTGGATACTTTCGGCAATTTGGGTTTATGTTGGCACTAGCTTTGCTTATGGATATTTCTTCTTGTTCTACTTGTTTGTAAGAAGACTTTATGCAAGGAAAGGAAATTATGTGTGGTAGGAGTCTGAGACAGTAGCGTGACCCAAAGAACGAACAGATAAAAACAGCATTAAGCTGTATAATTGAGTTTATAGTTTCAATTTCACGAGAAAGCTATTTGCTAGATAAGAAAAGAGCTTTTCTACTGTCTTGATTTTAGTTAAGCTACACTGCTAGATGAGGCTAAAATGGCGGGGTGGGTTGGGGGATGAGGGATTGCATTTGGATGGAAATGTTTTGGATTTTAAGCTATTTTGAGTTGTTTAAGTCCTGTAGTATTCATTTGGAATAGCCTAGCTATTGTGTCCTCTTTGAATTCTGGGAATTTGTCCATGGTTAAGGAGTTTTTCTCGAGTTTTATGGAGGACTAATATTGGTATTGATTTATCATTTCTATGAAAGAGTGATAATGATGTTGGGGTGCTAATTAGATTATGTTCAGCATAGTCTTGTACTGAAATTGTACTTAAAAAATATGCCATTGATGCGATGCAGATGATAGCTTTAGCTTGGTCCAGCAGCAATGCCACAGTTTTAAATCTGGATAGCTTTAATTCGTTGCTTATGCCACTGGCAGGCATTGGTGATTTTCATCTTTGTTATAGGTTCCAGTTTTTACAATGTCAGCCTTGTAAGGATGATTCCATGGGAGTGGTCATTGTTCTAAAATCTAGTAGTGAACTAATCCCTACATTGCCTGGAATTATAGTGGAGCCGAAAATCACCTCTTCCACAATCTTACCTAACAAAATTATTTCTCTGTTATAGAGCTGTTGAATGTCAACTACTTGGGCCATAGAACCTGTTTTCTGTAACATCTCTACTAAAGCTTAGCCAATTTTGTGCTAATCCATTTTTAAATACAGAATATCTTCTCATTTATCTTTTCCCATTGAATATCTATTATATATACGTGAACTTTTGATTTTTCAATTTTCATATGTTCTATCTGTATTTTTGGGCTTCTGCTTTTTCTTTTATTTTAATTGTATGCCTTTGCTCTCTTCATTTTCTGCTGAATCTTATATTTTCTATGCAAAAACTAATGTTGATGTTATGTTTTTTACTTTCAATAATTCAGTTTCTGCCTTGTCATAGGTCTGTCATTTAGCATTATTGTTGGTACATTAGAAATTTCATCATGCCAAAGGAGAGAAGAGATCGTTCCGTGTCTTTTGATAGGTATAGGAGATCTCACTTCTCATGTAGCTCCAGCTGTAGTCTCCGATCTTCGCCTAATCTCCCTTCAGAAACTGAGGAAAATCTAAAGGAATGGGAAGAAGCCCGGTGCCCTGTCTGCATGGAGCATCCTCATAATGCAGTTCTTCTCATATGTTCTTCCCATGAGAGGGGTTGCCGTCCATACATGTGCGATACAAGTTATCGCCACTCTAACTGTTTTGATCAGTTTCGCAAGTCATTTGCAGATACCTCAGCAACAACACCAGATGATCCTCAACAAGAAGGAGCTCAACTTGTGACAACAAATTTAACACCAGCTGCAACTGCAACATCAGAATCAACTGTCACTGATTTGCAGGAAGAAAGAAGTGAGGAAGGGCCCTCTACGCCAGCAATTGTCTCATGTGAGAATCAAGTGCTATCAAAGCTAGTGTGCCCTCTGTGTCGTGGTGAGGTAAAAGATTGGATTGTTGTAGACCATGCCCGTCATTTCATGAATGCCAAACCTAGAAGCTGTTCCTCTGAAACATGTAATTTTACTGGTGCCTATAAAGACCTAAGGAAGCATGCAAGACTTGAGCACCCTTCTGTTCGCCCATCAGAGGCTGACCCTGAGCGACAGCAAAACTGGAGGAGGTTGGAACGCCAGAGAGACCTTGGGGACTTGCTCAGCACACTTCAATCTTCATTCGGGGAGGAGAGAGCGGATGACAGCATTTTGCCAATTGATGATGGAAGTTGGCTCACGGTATATTTCCTTATACGCGTGTTTCGACCAGGGTCTAGTCCTAGGAGCAGCAGCTGGTCTGGCACCTCAAGGTCGAGAGCTCAATTTGGTATTAGGAGATCTTCCAGACTTTGGGGGGAAAACTATGATGGTGAAACTGGATCTACCAGAGATGAGGACAATGAATCTTCAGATGATGGATCATTTCCTTGGAGGCATCGAGTAAGGAGACGGACAACTCCTGACAATCAATCATGATTGTCATTATATCTTTAAAGGGATCTGTTTATTGTTCGAATGTCAAGGTTTCAGTTGTAAGTTTTACCATTATAAATCTACATCTTGCACTTGTTTGCTATTTACCTGCTTATAGATTCTAAGAAATCATCTGAACTGAATCCATTCTTTGTGTTTCTGGTAGGACAGGGAGAGGAATGCAAGTCTATTACTTGAGCATCTGTATCTGTTCCGCACTGCATGGAACGAATGTGGTCCGAGTTGCTGGATGGTATCAAATGAGTGAACTAAATTTTAATCTGTCTGGGAACTTAAATCAATCTGTATACACTTTCTCTTCCGCAGCAATTTCATTTTCTATCTTTGCGGCTGCAATAATTTCAAGCCTTTCCTTTCAACTTTTGAGAGATGATTCCGGTTCTTCTGAGAACTGTGATGATGTTCAGAGCCATTCCTGGTTGCCATTTGGTTAAAAATACCATATTTTGAAAAAGACAGAAGCAGGAAGTTTGGAACTCCGCTAACTCACCAAGGGAAAAATTCAATTCTTTAGGTTTCATTCAATTAATTGGAAAAACCTGATGGAGTTCTTTGACGGCAGAAGAAGGAAAAGCGGAACTTTTATTTCCTGAACAAAAAGAAGTCATATTTATGTGTGAGACTTTGAATTTCAATTTTAACATTTTACTGATGCTGCGTGACCCATTTGTTTGTCTGTTACTCCTTGGGCAAAACATGTGGACCTTTTTATTTTTGACTAAAACAAGGACTTCATATCTGCACAAAACTAAATTTTAAGACTACATTTTTTTCGTACCACGCAAGAATTTTGTTTCTGTCAAAAAATATTATACCACATAAGAATTTAATAAAGTTTCAATATTTTTAGAAAGGAGCTTTTAAATATTTTTTTTATAAATTTTTAATATTCAATAAATCATATAATTTACTGAAAATGAATTTTCAAAGGGTTATATAAATTTTTTGAAAATTGATTTATTAGTTGATGGTAAAACTTTATGAAAAATTATTAAAAAGATATTAAAAAAATTTTATTAATTGGTTAATAAAAAAATATTATTGAAAAAAAAAACAAAAATTTTAAAATTAATTAAAAAGATTAATTTTACTATAACTTCAGAGAAAGAATAAAGTCTTATGGGACTTTACATAACGAAATGAGAAAAGATCTTCTTTGTTATTTAAAAAGTAGTGAAAGTTTTCATAATTTAATCTAAGGGTGTTAAATACAGTTTCAATTAAATTTATAGTTAAAATTCGAAATGTCAATTTTATCTAAATCCAATAGAAACTTAATTTTTTATTTGAATAGTGATGAAATGGATATTAAATTTTGGAGATAAGATGAATATTAGTATGATTTTAAATTTTTTATTGAGTACGAATACAAGAATACATAATATAACACTTGTATAATACATGTATCTTATATATATTTAGTAACTAAATTTTTATTTAATAAATAAAATTTTATTTTTAAATTAATTAAAACTAATATTTTTTATTTACATATAATATTTATAATAAAATTATATAAAATATACAAAATAAAAAATAATAATAATTTATATACATTTTAAAAAAATTATAAATACAAAAATTATCACAGGCATTAATACTCACAGAATAAAAATGAGATAAATTTTAAACATTATTAAATACAAATACAAGAATGAATATAATATAAAAAATTAAAATAAAAATGAAGAATACTCTTTCAATCTTATATCGTATTCATTAATAATTTCACTTTCTTTTTAGAAATTTAATAATTTTGAATTGATCTTTTCAAAAAAAAATAAAGTGGATATAAAAATAAATAAAAACTAATTAAAAATAAAAATAATTTGAATTAATTGAAGGTGCATTGGCCGTGCTTAGATTAAGTAGTTCTACCTTTTTTATCTTTTCCCAACACAAAAAACAGCTATATGGAGTTCTGCCACTTCCTTGCCACGATGGACCACAAAATGCTTTTAGCCTTTTATCAGCGATGAATGGTGAGTTGTGCTACGTCCTGCCATCCGTAGAAAATGACCTTTGCAAAGTCACTGTCTTTGGAAATATTCAAATGGCCATCAAACTTGAAGTTCTTCTAAGTCGGGAAGTGGGGGGAACGCATCGGGGTTCTGCAGAGCCATGCCATCTATGGAAAAGAATGTTTTGATGATCATAATAGGAAGTAACCTTGTCCGCTATCATGTTCGAGAAGCAAGGGAGGAACTGATATGTGAAGGTTTGACTGATGACATTGCAAAGGCAACTTGGGTCCCGTACGTCAATAGTTGTGCAGTTGTGTAAAGGATATTAGATTGTTGCCTGTTGGTTACCCAAACTTGTATCAAACTAATATCTTGCAGTATTGGCGTTAGACTTGATATAAAAGTTCTTTTGCTGTGTGTCTATATGACGCGATATGATATTGCAAATAATGACTACATTTGCAACGAACTATAGTAGTAATAACAGTAAAGTTTCGTATGAGTTGTTTTCATATTTTAAAATATAATGGTTGTTTTTTTGGCCAAATAATGACTACATTTGCAGGGAATGATGGTGGTTTTTTCTTGGCCAAATAGCAATGATAGTAGTTTAACAGTAAAGTTTCCTGTTCTTTCTGTTCATGATCCCACAATGTAATGAAAGTTGAAGGGAAATTTTGAAGAGAAACCGACGGCCCTTGCTGTTCAATTACGTCAATTGGATGACAAAATCCTTGCGCCGTTAGGAGAAATAGCTCAACAACATGGTCATGGTAAACATTGCATGGCCATATGTAGCCTTGACAACCAAAAATAGAAAGCTATCTAAGGCCTTGCCTTTTCCTTAGTTAAAAGGTTACCTCCTTCCATCTAAACTTGGGAAGTTCTACTTTCTAAACTCAGCTTGTATACACAATCGCTATATCAGGACCCCGGTGACTGCAAAAATAAATTTCACCGGTCTCGAGAACTCCTACAGAAAGGGTTATCATCACATCAGACATTGCAGTGGATGGCAAACTAATCACATCTCACTCTGCCTTGTTCCTGGCAATGTAACCTATTTACACCAAGGGAAAAACACGAGCAGTTTGCCCAGTGCATTATCATTTGCTGTAATCACTTAATATTCATGGAAGCTGACATGGTACGCAACTCTTTCGTGATCTCTAAGAAGGCAGGCCTTGAGTCAGGATCAGTTGACCAGCACCTCTCCATCAACGATCTCCATGCTGGATCACACCAGCTAGGGACTTCAGGTCGGAGAGTGCCCTTAATTATACCAGCTGATTACAACATAAATAATGTGATAAGCATTCGTGTCAAAAAATAAATGAAGTACTTCAAGTAACAATATATCTTATCAGCCATTAGTATAAACCATGAAGATATTGTTGATTTTCTCTGACTCCTCAGTCAACTTATCTTTAAGAAACCAAAATTAGATGAACATAGCAGCAAAATACAAGCAACATGACAGAGTTGATTTGAAAAAGAAATACCAAACAATATTTACATCCTGTTCTTCTATGTAAATTTCTGAACATATGACATATGACAAAGAAAATGAATAAAAAGGGAAAGTTCAGGGGATCAAAAGACTTTGAATGGAAGGAAAAAAGTGTAAAACGGCATCAAACATGAAAAACTATGGAAAAAGTAATGAAAAAGAGCCATTTCAACAAATAGAATGTGATGAGCACGACAAATAAATTCCAAACTTTCTCACTAGATATGCATTCAGAGAGTTTCGAGTGGTTGTGATTAAGTGGTGCCCGTAAATATAATAGGATAATCAAGTTAAAGTATACCTATTATTTCCTCTGAGCGCAAATCAGTGTAAGGTTCCTCCCCAGTTAAGAGTTCCCACATGACTATTCCAAATGAGTACACATCAACCTGCATTCAAGCATAATTACGTATTCAGGACATCCATCACATGATTGTAGACTGGGGTAAAAGATAATAAGTGGTTAACAATTACCTTCTCTGTTACCAAGTTGTTCTTAGTGTTCAGAAGCTCAGGTGCCATCCATGGTATAGTTCCTCGAACTCCACCAGAGACGAATGTCCTCTGTTTAATTTTGGATAAGCCTAGATCACCAATCTGATTGAGAAATGAGGAATTTTAAAATTTGTTCAAGTGAAACATGGACATGTTAACTGATTAAAGCCTAGCAAATAATTGTTACCCAAATGAAAGAACTCTAGCTACCTTGCACACTGGTCGCCAAGGATCCCGCATATTAACAAGGAAGTTATGAGATTTTAAATCAAAATGGACAATGTTCTTCTCATGCAGATATTCCATTCCAAAGGCTGCATCCATGGCGATTATTAACCTCTTTCGGCGATCAATAGTGCTGTAAAGCACACAAGAAGTAATTTAGAGAAAGCAAATGCATATGCTTGCTGCATGATACAAACTTCAATCGATGCTCCTTAGATGGCAGGTATGAGAAGAGATTTCAGTGACCGAAAATATAATATGAGGATTGCAAATCCACAACCGTGTGATGTTAATCTGAAAATTTGCCATTTTCCATATTGAATGTCATACTTTGCTATATGAACCCGTTTTAGGGGACTCCAGTGTTCTGCCAAATTCTTGTAGGCATTAATATAGTCAATGCTAGGAAGCCATTTACAGCTATAATGTAAAGTATACGTAACATCAGCAAAAACAGGTTATCAATCTATGTGTTTCTGCAAAGGATCAGACATAATTTTGCATAAGAGCTGCAAATAAAATATATTTGTTCAATTTCATATTTGAAATTAGATCGTAAAATGCCATACCGATCTTTTCTTTGCAGAACTTGTTTCAGGGAGCCATTCACCATGTACTCTGCCACCGTTGCCAAACTTGTCAAAGGGCCATCTGTAACTACACCATACAATGCCACTATATTCGGATGGTGAAGCTGACCCAGAATATATGCTTCCTTCCAAAATTCAGCAACCTGATTAAAACCAAACAGAAACAGTTAGTTTCATCCATTTATCTAGTTCTTTTTTGTTTCAAAATAAAAATCATCAGCTATATTTACTAATATGAGTTAAAGATTTCTAGCTTGATGGGAAAAACTTGAGAGCGGACCATCAGTTCTAAACAGATCAATAGACAAGGGCAACTCTGATGTCTATAACCAAGTGCGGCCAGCACACACGACACATAAGAAATATGTATTTGTAGTGTCCTAATGTAGGTATGACGTATAAAATTAATAACAGTTATCAGATCTGGATCAAATTCTTTGAAAAGATGGTAAAAAAAGAATCAGATAATCATATAATAATCAGTATAAATGATCAAACAAGAGTAAGAATAAAAGTACTGCAGAAATAAGTCTATCAGATAATCACATAATCATTAAAGATGACCACATAGGAGAAAGTAAATATCTTATGGATATTTACCAATCGCTCCTCCTCCACAGAGCCTTCAGAGAAGCATCTTGGCTTTAACCTCTTAATTGCAACATCAGATCCCTTCCATTTTCCATAGAACACAGTTCCACATGCACCCTCACCAAGTTCTTTTATGTATTCAAGTTCAGAACTCCTAATAGTCTGCAGAACAAGACAGGAATCCATCATCTTTATATTCTGTTCACCTCCAGAGTGGTAAAAGAAAGAGAAATTGTGCAGGGTTTGACAGAATACCTGCAGCTCTTGAGTAGCTAGATGTGTATAAAATGCAGTCAGGCCACTTGAGATTCTACCAATCACCTTAGAACATTTCTTACCATCGTTACCTTCTGACTGGAAAAATATAAAGGGGGAAAAAGAGTGAGAATAAAAGTAACCAAGGCATGGAACTATGACAGATTCTTTTCTTTCTTAGTACAATTGTGCAGTAATATAGAAAAAGGATCGTTACACTATACCTTTTCATCAACGCTTAAATAAGATGAAAGGTCATGTTGCATTGCTTCTCCTTGGATGTGATCCTTTTCCAATTCATCCATGTTCCTGGGTGAAGAATTAGATGTGTTTCCACTTGATTGATCAACTTGAGGGCCTATGTCAATGTGCAATTCATCCATGAGATCTAAGGACATTGATTGAGGCATGACCAAGGAATCAGAAAAGCTGTTGCTACCATGAGAAGAAAGCTCAGGAGGTTGCACACCTTTGGTTGATGACAATGAAAGGGTACACAAAAGATCAACTGAAGATGCAAATCCATCTTGCAAATTATGACTGCCATTGCCATCCTTATAGCTGCTTTTTAAATTCTTAGATGCTTCTGCATCAGACAACTGGGTTCTGTGCACATCATTTGACAAAGTAGAGTTGGTAATGACCTTTTGTGAATCAGCAACAGATAGTCTGTTCTGAAGATTGCAGTGAACTGGTTCACAAACTATGGCTGCTGTATGACAATTCACAAAGGGAGTTTGATAAGGAACTTCGAGCCCATGATTCAATCCAACGATTGGATATTGTTTGGCATCCATCATTTTCATACCTGGAGACGGACTGTCAATAACATTATTTGTAAAGAGAGATTGACTACCAACACCAGCCCATGCACCATAATGTGCTAAATGACATGCCTTGAGATTTGAATTGCCATATGGAAAATCAGGATTACTTAAATGAGTCATCATGCTCACCCCCTCTACTGAGGTATGCTCAGGTAGACCAGGCCAAGGCTTCCACAAACTGGAGTAGCATGACCTCACAGAATGCCCTTGCTTTGAGATGTTGGAATTTGGTTTGACTCCTGGATAGTAAGGGCACATTTGAGGCGCCAAATTTCTCATTTCACAATCTAACAAATTTCCTCCACATGTTTCCTCTTCACTCACAAAAGCACTTGGTTCTTCATGCCCTAAATCTATAAGTGGATGATCAAACTTTTGATTCTTAGCACAAGATGCAAATTCCATTCCAGTCTCATTAACACCAAAACCTGAAACACCCTGAATTCCATTAACTCTACCCGTCTGTTTCGCCAACAACTGCTGTTTCAAAACCAATTTTCTTATAGAATCATCACCCTGCCTAAAACCATTACCACCATTCCCCACATTCTTTGTCACTTTATTATCAACTTGACCCTTACACAATTGTCCATATTCAAGCCCATTACTACATACAAAAATCCAAAGCCGTGCTCTCTTACCGTAAAACTCCAGATTCTCGTACTCTTCCACCATGCTCTTGACATCCTCGTCCGATTCTATCACGCCCAAACCCATGTCCAAATCCACGTCAGCAACAGCTACCTGGTACTTCAACCAAAAAGAAATTACTTTGGGACAAAGATTCGCGATCTTTTCCCGAAGTTTCAAGAACCCAATGCTTCTATCAACGGATATAATACGAGTCTCGCCACCAATATAACGAAGCTTTCCCATAGGAAGTCTGGGTTGGAATGCGCCATTGAAACTGCAAACAAGCTTGAGTAATTTTCTTGGTGGGTTTGCACGGTTCTTGCGAAGACAAGAAACAGAAGGCTCTTTCATGTATAGGATAATAAAAGATGGAGTCGAAGAGGAAAGAAGGGGGATTACCGGAGTTCTTGTAGAAATGAAAAAAAAAAATGGTCTTTTTTTTTTCCCTTCGATTTTGCTGTGAGTTTTTGTTTTTAATGAATAGTTCTGTCTGTGTTGAGTATTTTATAGGTGAGTGTTCATGGTTTGGCCCTTCAGGTTGAGTTGAATTTACGGGTTTGCCACCCATCTCAGGTGTTCTAATGTTGTTAAGATTGGGAATGATCCTCGGAGAAATTTGCGATTAGGAAATTTGGTATATTGGCCAAATATATTTTTTACATTTGGATAAGTTACAATATCTAATACGTGATGGTTTGGGGATTTGGGCCTAAGCTTTAACTAAATTTACAAGACTGCCATTCCCACCTTTTTTTCTATGATTTTATTTTATCAAATTTAATAAATTATTAAGCTTAAAAAGTTTTAAAAAAAGTAATTATTAAAAATTGTGTATATTACAAGTTGAAATAAACTTTCTTTATAAAAAAAATCGCAAATCAAGAATAAGAGTTATACATGTTGGTATTTGAATTTTAAATTTAATATATATTATTTTTAAAAATAATTATATAAATTAATTAAAATTAAATTAAAATTTAAAAAACTTTAGCCACTAAGAAAGTAAAGCCTTTAAATATTTGAGCACGTTATTTTGATTTATATATTATATATATTTTAAAAGAAAAAGTTTGAATTACTAGTTAATTTAAGGTAAATTAAAGAAATAAATTTTGTGATTAAGATCGAATTAAATGTTTTTTGAAATTTAAAAATTAATTATTATTTTAAGATTTTTTTGTTTTTTTTCTCTAATATTTTTCATACCTTTTCTGAGCATTATAAATTTAGGTATGACATAAAAAAATGTTCTTATATATTTTTGAAATAGATAAATAAAATATTTTTAATTTTATATTTTTAGAGTCAAAATTTTTGTTGGTCTGAATTTATATTAACCAGTTAAGAGATCAAACGAAAAAAAAAAATTTTGCCAAGATCAAACAACTGATTTAAAATAATGGAAAAAAGACCTAAAAAAATTGATTAATTCAAGAACGAAATCAGACATGCAGTCGAATTCGGGGAATATGTATTTTTTAAGAAATAGAATACTCCATATGTTCATTCGGATACGCACTTTAAGATTGACATGTTACATCAAGGCGCAAGATAGCAACTCAACCTTGACAGTTGATAGCTGAGCACCCAGAATTATTGAGTGTTCTGTCGTGTGCATAGGACCACCATCAGAACCATAGGATTGGCGTCACAAAGTCCGGTAAAATCATCATATAATCTTGTCCTGTCTTACATTGGGAATGCTTGGTGCCTCGGTACCTTGATGCTGTTTGATGAAACAGGGAGTTTGGGATGGGCCCCAACCTATTATAGTATGATGGAGCCTGCCCCACTTGATGCTTGGCATCTGACTTCCCAAATATCACCAAGAAAGGAAAGGAATGAACTAGTCCTTCCTTTTCTTCTTTTTTTTTTTTTTTTTCCTTTTAAGAATTTAAATGGAGTGGACTTTTTTTTTTGCCAGAAAAGGACCTTATTTTGTTCTCTCTATTATTTGTCTTTGCCTGCTCCCATTTTATTCACTTTAATTGGTTTGGAGTTATATTCTATGATAGATGCTTGAGAAAGCAAAAGCTCCCCACCATTTTGAATATGATTGAAATGGAGCATAGGAGCATCCAGGCAAATTGGTTCCACACAATTTTACAGCAAAGCAACCATAACCATTAAGTGTTATAGACGTCGATTTTATCTGTGTTTATTATTTTTATTTCAGTATAATATTAATAATTTTAATAATAATAATAATAATTTTAAAAAATAATTATTAATTATTATAAAAAATAAAAAAACAAAAAAATAAAATAAAAAGTAGGATGGTTGGCATTACTGCCGCCTTCGACCAGCCACCCTACAGCCCTTTGACCAGCCCCTTATCCAGCCACCAGACCAGACAGTCACCCTACCACGCCTACGACCACCATCTATCCCCCTGTTTGAAGCTCCATAAAAATCCCCAACCTTTCCCCCTTCAAGGGCTCTCTCGGACATCCCCTCTTGAAATCTTCCGGACAGTTCTTCACCTCCAGACACACTGCCCACAACACCCTCTTGGATATCTAGACAAAAAAAAAAAATCCTTCAACCCACACTAACTACGAAAACAGAAACACAAAAACAGAAACAAAAAAAGAGACAAACAGTCCTCCCTGTAGGAAGGAACCTTAGCGCTGAGCTTCCTGTAAAAATAAAAAAAATATATAAGTTTTTGTTTTAACAAAACAAAACAAAAAAAAAGGCAGAAAACTTCAAGCCCCGATCTACGATGATCGGGACTGTTTTTAGCGAAAAAAAAGTCAGATCTGAAAAAAAAGCGTTGAAGAGAGCTACCAAAATAATTTTTGCATTTTTTGGCGATCAAAAACCACCGACAGCGACCGCCAACGACGACCCAGGCGGCGGGAGATGCGATGGTCCGACGACAGGAAGACGAGCTCTCCCTAGAGCTCTCTTTTCCTTTTTTTTTTTGAAAAACAAAAAGAATGAACAAAAAATCTTTTTTCAGTTATATATAAAAGACTAAGGAGCAAAACCACGTCGTTTCGACTAAGTAGGATCCGCACGTTGACCCGGATTCGAACCGAGATTTGTGCAACCTGACCCGTGGATCCGCTCTTCCAACAGCTGCTGATCGGTCCAATTAAATCGATTTGAACCAGATCGAATCGTAAACCGTTCAACCGAACCGCACGTCGAGCCAACCTCTTTTCGGTCCAACTGAAACGTCGTTGACTGGTCTGGTTCAGGTAAAAATTTTTTTTTTATTTTCTAATTTTTTAATATATATTATTATTTTCGTTATTTTAAGTATTTTTATATATTTATGCATGATAAGTTCTTAAATTTGTTAGAATAAATGTTTAATTGTTTTAATAATAATAAAATTGAAAACAAATAATAATTAAAAATATATATTAAAAATGCTCAAAAAAATATTTATTATTATTTTTTTTCTGCCTAGATGTTGGAAGGAATAAAAAAAATATTTTTTTTAAGAAATAATTTCACTTAAATGTTAGAGAATTATTATTAATAAATTTTCATAAAAATATATATAAGAAATTTTTAATTAATTTTTAAAATCATTAAAATCGAACTTGCTTCGAAAATTTGCCTAGATGTTGAGGATTTTTAAAGATGTTCGCATTTTTTTAAAAACGAAACCTTAAACACTAATTTTTAATTTTCAAAATATTAGGTTTTTAAAACCCCTAAAATCCAAAATCTCATAAAATCAAAAATCTTAAAAATCCTAAGGACACGTGTGAAAATTTCATTTGAAACAATTTGTTCTCGAATGACGCCTAGATGATAGGGTATTTAGAAAATTTTACTTCGTTAAATCTTTTCACACGATTTTTTAATTCGCATTAATAATAAGATTAATAAATAAAAAGTATAATAGTAAATTGTGATCTTAAATATAAACAGTGACACATAAGCTCTGCATAAATGTTGGAGAGTCGGGGTGGTCTCATTATATTTAAAAATTTAACTTTTAAATTGTATTTCATCTTACATAACATTCATTGACATACATAAGTTAGCATGTTATTATCAGTAATTATTTGCATTATTCTGTCTTTAATTTTTATTTACTACTTAGTGATAAAATATTTTATAATAAAAAAAAGAATAATACTTTTTAAAAAAATGTGTGATATTACAAAATAAAAAAAAACATTCTGAAAGAAATAATTCTTAGTATTCTGCCTAGATGTTGGAGAGTCACCAATAATTTTTTATAAATAATGTTATTTTATTTTAAGGATTATTGTATTAAATCTTAAGCGAAAAGAGTTATTTTAAATTTTGCTTGAAGAATTTTAAAATAATTCTTTAATTTAAAGATTTTTTTAATATTTCTAAATAAAAATTTTAGCAAAAATATTTTTAAAAAACGAAAGAAATTAGTATTAAATTTCAAGTCAAAACCATTTTTATCCAACAACGAAAATAGTTCGTAATTAAATAGTACCAATTTATGGGTGTTGTTGTTACGTTCCCACACTAACCGAACCTCGAACATGATTTTTCTAAAGATTAAAAATATTATTTAATAAACTTTAACGTTTTTATAATTTTATTAAAAAGATAAATTTTATTGTGAATTATCACACTCTAATAAGAGATTGGTGACGACTCCCCTCATTTATTTTGATTTTTTAAACTTATATATGTTTGATGATCTCAAAACCGGCAAGTGTGAATTGAAAATTTATACTATTATATATAAAAGGATTTCGACGGATCGTTGGGTTGCCACGTGTTTCAATTTTTTGTTTAGTTTTTCATCATTTTTTCTTCGTTTGGAAGAAGTTTTTTATCTGGTTTTTACTGTTCATTTTTACTTCTTCTGGAATTTTTTTTTTTTTTGCATAGCTACCATCTTCGACACCGTTTATTCATTTTTTTCTCCTTTCTGCATTTTTTTTTGCACTGTGTTTCTTTGTTTTTGGGTTTGAAAACATTGTGGATTTTATTTTGTTAAAATCTTTTTTGCTATGAGGGGTTTTGTATTCTTTATTTATTCAAAAATTTCAAGTTTTTTTTTCAATGAATGTGTTTTATTTTGACGAGTGATAAAATTTTTAAGTTTTTTATTTTCGGTGATCTTTTTCATATAAAAAATTTGTTGTTTTTTTTTTAATTTTGGTTGTGTTTGTATATACGGTAAAAATTGTTTTAGTGAGTTTTTTTTTTTTTTTTTTTATGTTATTGGAACTTTAATTTGATAAGTATTTCGTTTTTTTCACAAGAATTGTTAAAAGTTTGTTACTGTTTTGATTTAATGTAAGCTCCTTGAAGGATTTGTTCACGTTGGTTTGGTACTTTTCTCTAACCTTTATAGTAGTTGGATTGAATGTATAATAGTTAGAATAAGATTTTTTTTTACAAATTGTTGTGTATTTTATTTGATTATTGGTTTTTTTTTTTTTTCTTTGCAAGGAGATAAAAGAAAGTTCAAAGTAGAAAGAGAAATGCCAAGTTATGAAGTAAAGCAAACCAACATGATAGTATAAAAAAAAGACCCAACAAAAAAGGATCAAGTAATCCAAGAACATTTGCTGAGGTGAGAAGTCTGAGGAAGAGACAAAGGTGGTGGAGAAAGCAACTATTATGCTTGCGATTATGAAATATGAATCTGTTAATTTGGTTGAAAATGCAATAATTACTGCTATTTTTTATAAGATGACATTTTTTTACCTTTTTATGGACGTAAATGGATTGATAAATGTATTATTTTGTATGTAGTGAAGTTGAATGATGCAAGAAATTGGAAGATTGGGCCTTTAAGGTCTGGTTAATGCTTAGAAGTGCGGTATGTAGTGTTGATACTTAAGTTTTTTGTTTCGGTTACTTTCTATTAGCTCTCCTTTTTCTATTTTTATGTTTGTGAGATCTAATTAATTATAAATTTAATAAAATAAAAGAATAAATTTTTTATTTTAATTCGAAAGATAATTAAGTGAGTAGTAATCTGTTTATTAAGAATTGTTTAACATTTCATATGACCATATAATTTTTAATGTGAAATTTATGTCATGTTTATCGATAGAATAAAATTTTAATATTAAATAAATGAGTATTTATTAGATTAGACATTCTCCCATCACATATAAACAATATGCCAAAAAGAAATCCAATTACTATTATTTTTTTGAATTTGTGTCTTATATATGACATATTTCATTAATTTCAATTGATATCTTGGTTTAATAGAGAAAATTCATTATATTTGGTTAATTTTAATTTGTTATTGATTCATGAAGTGAGATTAGACCATTGATATAGATTTATATTCTCTCATCCTCAGTCAAAACTTACCCATGCAAGAGAGAAAAAGAGCCATGATGGGGAATGTGACGTTGAGGGAAATATCAGATATGGAGCTAGCAAAAAGCAATTGATGAATGTCTGCTTATCAAGAGAAGTTATTTTGATGAAAAAAATGTATTCTCACGTGTTTTCAAGATATTTCAGGTGAGTAGCATTGTTCTTTTTCATCAACGCTTTTAACAAAATGATTACGTCAAAATTCATAACTTCAACTTTATTGTTTTAGCTTGAACTTAATAAGGTCATTGTTGCCACTATCTTTATGTAAGTTAGAAAGCATTGCAATACATTTGAAGAAGAAACAGTATACCTAGTTGCTCTCTTTTTTGTGCTTAACAGAATTACCTTCATTGGGTTTTTTAAACTTCCATTTACCATCAATAAGCTTTCGATTCAATAAAATATTAAAAATTATTGTAATAAATCATGCGACGCCGGACTTAATGCACTAATTAACATTAAACATTGGTTCTCTGTTGAGTTAGTTTTTAATACTTTTAAGATGTCCCATTCCATACCAAAATTTTGGCATCATTATCTGCCACTATCATCCTACTCTGTATTCCTCTAACATAGAATAAGTTGTGGTAAGGGTTTGTCCCCAAAGCCTAAAGCTCCCATGAGTTTTTTTTTTTTTTTTTATTAAAAGGAAAATACATGAGAATTTTATGTTTGCCACCACTAATTTCTTAATTGGAAAGCGATTCCATCCAAAATTTGATCTTACGAGTCACCTATCAACTGACCTTGATTCTTTTTTTGCCTTTGAAACAGCAATACTCAGCTTTGGTACCTAATTTCCAGCTCTTCTGTTTCATTTCATGAACAATTGTGTAACTAACCAGAGAGTATTTCTCTTTGGCAAATCTTGACCTTTTTTTTTTTTTTTGTGTTCTAAATAAAATCAAGCTCCACGGCACAAATCCACAATCAAAAAGCTTTACCCAAAATTACATTATTACCACTTGAACTTTAATGAAGCCATGGACATGTAGAGTAAATACAATAGACTGGTCAAGTTGCACCTATGCCAAGTGCAATGTGTAATTTCTTTACTTTTGAGAACCCAATTTGAGAAGAGATTGCTACTTTTCTTGTCATCATATACTAGCAGAAATCTCCTTAGCTCCATGGGTAAATTCTATATAGATTGCTTCCTAATTATGGAGTGAAATTCCTCTTACAACAAATTCACTGAGGGAATTACTCCATTTGAAGGAGCTATTGATCAAATTATAACTTATGCCATCAAGAAAGCAATCTAGAAATTTCAAGGAAAAATTTTGGAGTTCCCAGCACCTACCCACTTTCCTATCTGAAAAAAGGATTTGCAAATTAAATTGTGTTGTAAATCACATCAACTTAGCAAACATTTAAAGCAGATGCAGTGAAAGAATAGAAGGTTCTTGCAAACTAGGGTCATGGCAACAGCTTGCTGAACTCGTAATTCTATTGCAATTTTCTAGCTTCTAGTTAACAGCAACATCAGGTAGCAGCAGTTAATTTCATTGATCATATTGAAGAAACAATCATATAAAACAGTAAATCAAAATTTTGAATATCAATCATCTGTGAAAAGAAATAAAAAGAACTATAAGGATTCAATGACTAAGTTCATTTATTTTCAGTTAACACAAAGTTCATGATAGATGATAGCCAACCCAAAAGATACAGGAATATTTTTTTTAAGAATCATTTTTATAGAGATTTGGTACAATTTATTACATTGCGAGATGGCTTCTTGATTTTTTGATTGCCAAACGTCTATACAAGAAGGTGTGCTTTTATTGCAGTTTATCTTCAGATCATGAAGAGACTTGAAATTCAAGGTGTTTTAAAATTTCATGATTCATGAAGCCTTTGCTCATTACTGGTTTGATATCTTCAAGTTTACATGAATCTGATTTACAATAGTGTGAATGACTAGGGTACACAACAAAGGAAAGTTGGTTGGCGGGCAAGAAATTCCAATGAAAACTCTCTGTAAGTGGTCAGGACTACAGGACTAGCAGAGGTCTTTTTCACTGAAAGGACAAGAAGAGTTCAAACAAAAATGGAACAGAGAAACATTCTGGGACTTTTAGATTAGAGAAGACATGTATGAATCAAATACTTCAGCTCATTGATTCCCAATGACAGACTCCAGGTACCCATGTGCTAACAGCAATTTTTTTTCCTGGATACAACAAAATGTGCACCAACACAACCCTAACCCAACTCCACACCCCTGCACCCAAAAAAAACCCCTAACAATTCTGGATTTTACGATCTGTTAGTTACGCAACTACCATAGTCCTTAAAGCTGCAAGTCATATAAGTTTGTGTAGTTTATTTAATGTCAAGAAAACATTGCTTGACCTATTGCAAACGAACTACCTTATCTTGGAAGTTTCATTAGCAATATCCTGACCATGATTATTATGCAAATAGTACTTCATCAATAACTTATGCAATTTCAACTTAATAAACCTAAACACATCGACTATGTCCTGAAATAAAATTCTTCAGTGTGATCCATTTTTAAGTGCACAAAATTTGCAACAGTTACCGGAAGATAATTATTCAGCATTTAATTGAAAAAACCAACTACTAGTTAGTATGCAATCATGCCATAAAAATAGTGTAATAGTATACATAGATTATCAAGTAGCAAGAATACGGCTCCAGTACATAGAAGAAAATAGATTAATTACAAAATGGAATGCAGAAATATAAAGCAATCAGAATTGAAACTCTTACAAGTCAAGCAGTCAACTATAACCTTTACCAAGACAGTTTAGGCAACGCTGCACCCTGCAATAATCCCATTAGAGAGACCATCAAAACCAACAGAAAGCCTCTCCATGAAGCAATTTTTGAATGGGAAAGAAACAAACAAAAAAAAGAAAAAGAAGACTACCTGTTACCATCACAAGTAGGGCAAACACAAGGGTTAATATGAATAGGATCGTACAAAGGTGACCACTTTATCGTAGCATTTCCGTTGCACAGCTTACATATGTAAAATCCTTTCCCATTACAAACCCCACAAGGCAAGGCAAGCTTTTTCTACAAAACGTATAGAGTAAAATAAAATTGAAAATTTTCACTCTTGCAAAACATCAGAAAAAGAAAGAAAACAAGAAAAGAGAGGGTCTTGTCAGATTGTCTTTACCCGTTTCTTTTCAGCTAAAGAGCGAAGTGCACCAACGGAAACAGTAGCAACAAGATTAAGAGTCAGAAATCCTCCAAAAATTATAGCAGCGCCTTTGGTCAACACGCGAAATGGCTTCGGGATCATTTTTTTTAACCTTTCTAGTGATTTAGTTCTTACAGGATTTTCTTCGAACATATTAAGTGCATCGGACCCGTTAAGTTTTGCCGCGAAAACAATGTATATATCGTTCTATATCTACAAGTAATAAGTACAGGAAATTTTCTGTCCTTTAATGTCGTCTGCCAAGTGTCAATTCATTTTCAAAGATTTTTATGTTAAATGACAACGACCTTTTTGTCCGTTTCCATCTTTCAACGACAGCGTTTAAAAGTAAATTATATTTTTTTATTATTATTTTTGGGTTTTGGGAATGTAAATTAATATTGCTGAGAGTTAAGTCGTGAGAATATAAGGTTTGTTTGGCTTGATTAGAGTTTTTATTTAAGTCATGTAAGATTTTACATCTCTTAAAATTTTTGAAATTTTAACCAGTGGAATAATAATAATAATAATATTGTTACTAATTGAAATAATTTATTATATTTTTATTAAATTTAAAATCTTTTATGTAAATCAAATAAAATAAATGTTGATAATCTTTAAATTAATTCTTCATAATTAACAAAGTAGAAGATAACTTGTTAAACTTATAAATTTCAACCTTAATATATGGTTACCATTTGAATCACCATACATTATCCTATCATAGATTTATGCCAAGAGTCCTTGGTTGAGATGATAATTGAATAAAATGTAACTTATTTTAACTAAATTATCAAATTTTTTTAAAAGAAAAATATGTATTATCCTATCACTTACTAATCTAATCATATATAATATTTTATTACAATATACATAAAAATTTAATAAAATTTACTTCCGTGGACGCTTAGGTAGCAACTTATATTATTGATATGTATGATAGTTTTAAATAATTTTATTCAATCAATTATTTAATTTTTAGAAATTTTAAAGTTTCAAAATTTACATTTATCAAATTCTTTCAAATTATATAAATTGTATCTTAATTTAAACTTGAAAAAACATATCTCATATCTTACTTTTATTCATTTATATGAAATACAAATTTTAAGTAATTTTTAAAAGTTAAATCCTTAAATCTTACTAATTATAAAAAATCACACACCATCTAAATCAATATTCATATAAATTTAAATAGATAAAATTTGTGGTTAAATCATTGTTATTTAATAATCTTTTTGTCTTTATTTTTCTATGATTTAAAATTAAAAAAAAAGATATTTTATCTCAATTTAAAATTACACATATATCTATATTTAAAATTATACTAACTTATTAATCTTAATTTAAAATTAAACTTGGATAAACTACACTTTTAAAAATTTAGAAAAATTTGAAATTAAATAATTATCAAATATATATTTATGATTTTTTCTCATAATTGATATTTTATTCTTTATAAAAGATAGAGTAATAAGTTATTCGTCATAAAAATTTGGCATTACAAAGTTTCAAATTCAAATGTAAAAAAATCTTTTATGATATATCACATGTGTAAATCTTAATTTTTATACTAAAATAATATATACTTTTAAAAGTGTATGTAATTGTAAACTAGAGATTAACTTTTTTGTTGAGGTTTGTATGTAATTTTATTTTTATAATTCAAAACTTTCATAATGCTTATTTGGATTCATTCATAATAATTTATATATACACAAATTTTGTAAATTTACACTGCAAGTTATAAATGATTATGAATATTTTTATTTATCTATATATAAATTAAAATTTTAAATTATAAAAAATGTAATAAAAAATTTTGTTCATGGCACAAGTAAATATATATATATATATATTATATTACAACATACAAAGTTATATCATAAAAATTAGTTATGTAGATGCTTAGGTGAATAATCTCTTTTAATGACACATAGGATAATAATTATATTATTTTATTTATCAAATAATTTTTTAATAAATTATTTAAATTAAATATTTTGGATAATTATTTGAATTGAAATCAAAATCAATCTGAGATTGAAATTTTTGTATAAAATTTGAATTCAAATATATTAAATTATAATTTATCTTTTCTTTTTAAATTTAATGATAGTTTCTAATATGTATACTTAATATAATTTTATTTTCTATCACATAATTCCATTTAATAAATTATTTAAATTTAATATTTTCATATAATTATCTAAAATCAAATCAAAATCTATCAAATATTGAAAATCATTTAATAGATTATTTAAATTTAATATTTTTAGATAAGTTAATGAATTATTGACTAGAAAGCATGTATTTTTAAAGTAGTAAAAGCTTATATCTTTATATAAAAATATGAGACATTTGAATGCTGATAAAAAAGTTAAATAAAAATATGTTTTTGTTTTGAAAACAAATATAATATTTTATTTATGGGCTAATTCAAATATTTGTATATTATATATTTGGTTAATTTGTTTGTTTCTCTTTAGTCCATAAATTTTTTAAATTTTGCTTAGATCAATTATAATTAACTTTTTGTATTATATTTTTTTTGTTTTATTCATTTCTTCGATGTTTTTATTCTCTGTTAATTTATTAACATATTTACTCTTATTATTGTATAGCTTTAATTTCGACAAATTAATATGTAAACTTATATTCTCTATTTCCTTTTGTTATATTTTTTATTATTAAATTTCTTTGTCTATAATAGATTGTATGAGAAGAATGATAATCACTACCATATCTAACCCACAAAAAAATTATAAATTATGTTAAAAATGATTAAAAATAAAAAAATTTCAAAAAAAGTTTTTAAACATAACATAAAAAATTATTGTTTCCTTTTGTCTAAAAAATAACTTTATTTTGATGTCATATATAGAAATAATTGTTAGTCCAATCTATTTGTGTAATAATTACTTAAAGTATGTAAAAAATAAGAACTAATAAAAAATAAATGGTTATGACCAAATTAATAATTGTGATTTGTTGTTTAATCAAATATATATACACACCCAATCAACACTATGATAAAAATAATTATTAATCTTAACTATTTAAATATTGATTCTTGATTTTTTATCAAACAAGAAAAAAACAGTAGCAAAATTTTTAGTATTTAGCAAATGAACTAAAGAAATATTTTTTTATAAAAAAGAAAGGATTTTTATAATTCTTGAAAATTTACAAAAATTTAGATTTCTTTTTAGAGAAACAATATCATTTATAATATATTATATATAAATTATCATTTAATTGTAATTTAGCATTTATAAATGTATGATTTTATATTAGATCAATAATTAAAAAATAATTTTAAAATTATGAAAATTTTAATAAAATTTCTCGTGCATTGTACGGATTAAAAAGTTAGTTAATTATATTTAATTCACTCCATGATTTTAATTTTTGAAAATATATTTAGAATTTAAAAAATCATTTATAAATAGAATTTTTAGATTTTAAATTAGCAAAATAACATATATTCCTTAATGTATTTAAACATAAAAAAAATTTTAAAAAAGCAAAATATGTTCTTTTAATCCTGCATATGGAATAAAAAAACTCATTGACAGTATATCAAAAGAAAAATTATCAAATACACTAACATTTGAATTTTTTAATTCCGTAAACGAAGTAAGATGGTAATATATGTCTCTTAATGTATATTTAAAAAAAAATAAAAATTAATTAAAAAAAAGATATATGTCACCATCTTAATCTTACTTGTGGAGTTAAATTGTGAGATTAAATAACTCATAAGCCATATATAAAGTATTTTTATTATATAAAATCAGAAAATTGGTGATCAGAAGACTTTGTTTATTGTGTGCTAAATATAGCAAAAAATTAAAAAAAAAAAGTTATCTAATCAAATTTAACTACAAGAACAACAAACAGGGAGAGATAAAAGGGATAAGCCCTCAAGCAAAACAACAAGAGTAAAAATAGGAGAGGCAGAAGTGTATGGTTAAGAAGTAGGATAACATTCCAACTTTGTTTCAGCAAATTGATAAACATTGAGGTGACTGTAGTGTGACACCAACTCAGACAATGTCGCCTTGTATATTCTGCAAGTAGCAATGACGGGTCCATCATCCATTAGTCAAAAACACTTTCCATTTCCAAAATCATTCCTAATATTAAGCATCGCCAAGTAAATTGAGAAAAGCATTGTCAAGAAAAACATTGAGTCATTTATCTGGCATATTTAGAGGTGTAGAAAAACAATCCTAATACAGTCATCTCCCTGATTCTGATATATGGATTCCTTGGAGAACATCTCATCCCATGAAGTCCCTGGTCCTAGAAAGTCTTGCCTAAACAAATATGCGTTTGCAGCTGCTCTACTGGCTTCCACAACCTCAATCCTACTCGGATATGGTGAGCGTTTGTTTCATTGTATTTAATTTGAATCATTTGTAATCATTTGTAGGCTTAATTAACTTACCTTTTTTCTGATCATTGTTAGTTTGATATGTTTAGATATTGGTGTGATGAGTGGCGCAATCATTTTCATCAGGGAAAACATCCACATTTCAACAATTGAAGTAGAGCTATTGGTTAGTTCCTTGAATGTATGTTCATTGTTTGGCTCGCTCCTTGCTGGGAGAACATCTGATTTGATTGGTCGACGTTTTACCATAGTGTTAGCAGTAGCAACCTTTTTCATTGGTGCAGTTCTAATGGGATTTGCACCGTCTTATGCATTCTTGATGGCTGGGAGAGTGATTGCTGGTATTGGCGTTGGTTACTCCCTTATGATAGGTCCAGTTTACACTACAGAGCTTTCCCCATCTACAAGTCGAGGATTTCTCTCATCACTTCCTGAACTTTTCATAACTATAGGAATTCTATTTGGTTACCTATCTAACTATTTTTTAGCTGGTCTTCCAAATCATATAAATTGGAGAATAATGCTTGGATTAGCAGGATTGCCAGCAATTGCCATTGGTTTAGGTGTCTTGGTGATGCCGGAGTCTCCTAGGTGGCTTGTCATGAAAGGCCGCTTCGATGAAGCAAATAAGATTCTGCTAAAAACATCAGACTCAAATGAGGAAGCTGAGTTAAGACTTAAAGAAATGAAAACAGCTGCTTCAAATTTGGGTAGCCAATTTAGTGGTAAAGGTGTTTGGGAGGAGTTATTGTTAAGGCCATCTCGATCCCTTCGTAGAATTCTTATTGCAGCCATTGGCATCAACTTTTTCATGCAAGCTTCAGGCAATGATGCTGTTGTTTATTACAGTCCCGAAGTGTTCAAGGCTGCTGGAATCCACAACAAGAGACACCTTTTTGGTATTACAGTAGTCATGGGACTTAGCAAGACATTCTTTGTTCTGGTTTCTGCTCTTTTCTTAGATCGTTTTGGAAGGCGACCACTCCTGCTTATAGGCACTCTTGGGATGGTTGGCTCTTTGGTGGGTTTAGGCTTGGGATCAAAATTTTTAGTAGAAAATGACCCTAAACCTACCTGGGCAATTGTATTAAGTATAATTGCTGTTTGTGCTGATCTTTCATTCTTTTCCATTGGGCTTGGCCCCATTACATGGGTCTATTCATCTGAAATTTTTCCAATGAAGTACCGAGCACAAGGCACCAGCATTGCAGTATCAGTAAACAGGGTGGTGAGTGGAGCTGTGGCCATGACCTTCCTAACCATTGCAAACAAGATTACCTTTGCTGGGGTTTTCTTTATTCTTGCTGGGATTATGACATTGGCTACCATTTTCTTCTACTTTTTTTTGCCTGAAACAAAAGGTAAAACCCTTGAAGAGATTGAGGCTCTTTTTGAGGATGACAAGTTCTAAGTCCTTTGCTTCCTGTCTGTACTTTTGTATATATACATTTTCTGATTGAATGAACTTTCTTTTTTTCGTTCCATTGGATAGAGCAATTGATAATGGGCAGAATCTCAGATTGAACTTATTATGACTTGGAAGACTCTCTTTAAGCTAACCCAAATTGCTAGAAACTATTTTCTCACTAATTAGTGGTTAAAATCTAATTATTATAATCTTTTTGAAAGGCAATAAAAATGAATAAAGGAGTACAAATAACTCGAACGATAAGGAAAATCCCACAAACCCCTTTAACTCGTGCAACCTGCTTAAACAATATTTGTTAATTACTAGAAGAAAAATAAAATGACTAAATGAGCTTGCCATTGCTATCCTAAATATATGAATAAACATCAAAGCATGCATGAATATTAATTAAAATTTAACACCATTTTTCTACTATATATTATTAAACATAGTGACCAAAAAAGCTATTCCAAGTAATCAATACCTTCAGATAACATGAAATTTCAAGCATCATCATCTAATTCAAGTTCTGGTAGTAATAATGTGGAAGCCTCTTTCAAGAAAGTAGTTTATGAATCTGAAGTTCGTAATAGAAAATTATCCTTGCAAAAGAACAATGTTAACACCATCATCAAACCACATTTGACATCAAAACAGATTGACATCCTTAATAAAGCTGAAGGATCTGTAGAAGTTGTGGCGGTCGATGTCAAAACTGGTAATCGCTTTAAGGTGACCTTGAGGAGCTCTTGCTATGGCTATTTTCTCTTTGGACTCTCAGCTATGATTAAGGAAATGAACCTGCAACCAGACGATGAGATTGATGTTAGTTGGCGTGGTGGGGCATTGCACATACTATATAACCCAGCATAGACCTCAATTAGGAAAACAAATTGGCACTTAAATCAGTACAATGCTATATGAATTACAATAAAAAGTTACAATTCTGAGGTTTTCATTGGGTTCAAAACCAGTTCAACAAGCAGTTCATTGCAATTGGCAAGCCCAGAGCTTGCTGGTATATTTGTGTTTCTCCGTTTCCTTGCACACTCTCCCAGGATGGGCCTAAACAGTTGTGGGAATCTGAAACTGAAAAATCAGTCCATATGCAAGGAACAAAGGATTATCATGACTGATTCTATCAGATTGCAAGATTCATCTATTTTTTAATGGCCATTCTCCTATGAACTGCTCCTAGGAAGGATGCATTTAGACTTGAAAAACTTCTATTTTGAAGGAAAATATGGTTAAATCATATACACTGAGCTCTATTTTTTTTTTTTAAATTTAGAAATAGCCTTTTAAAATAATATTAGGATCTTTAGATTTTCCTTCTTAAATTTCAGTAACTGCTTTCTATCTGTTCTTCATGGTGACTTGGTAAGCAATCTTTTTCCTTCATTTTCTCATGTCCCCAACCGACTAGACAATTTGTTGGCTGAAGTTAGTTGGAGACTTGGAACTCAGACTAAGGATTAAAGAAAAGAAAAACTAGAACCTTGACCATGCTAAATGAATAACCTTTTTCAAAGCATGCATCATTACAAATAAATTATTGCAATTCTAGCTAGATAGGATGATAATATTTCTCTTGAATTTTGCCACCACCCTCAATCTATGGCTTCTGTATCTCTCCTTTTTTTCAAATATAGATATACATATATATATATATATATATATATATATATAGTATTTAATACTAGATCAGTGTTTGACTTCTGTCATGATCTTATACATAATTTAGACGAGTCTTTCATGTTATCAGACCCTAATCTTAAGCATGCATGAATGATAAATGGTTTTAACATTAAAAGACATGATCTTGGAAGGTGGGACCAATTTAAATATGATATCTTTGCCAATTAAAAGCATTGAAAATTATGTCGAAGAGGATAGAAAAGGGAAAAAAGAAAAACACATTCAAACCAACACAGCATAAAAACAAAAGAAACGTCTTGGACCCCAGGGGTTGGAGCTGCCCATGATGATATGTCTCAACAAAATCTCCATTTTAGTAAGAGAAAAAAGGATCAGAAGCAATACCTCAGTGTATGCATTCATATCTGTTTTGAATTTGGTCTGCTTTCACTGAAAATGATGCTGTGAATGTTTCTTAAATAACCATTGCATTTACACATTATGGAGTTGTTAGGCTGGCCATCTTGTGCTCTGTTTTATTTTACACATTATTGAAGTGGGGGGGGGGGGGGGGGTTAGAAGGTCTGCAGTCTGAATGTTGATTTGGTGTTTTTCTCGTTCCATCTTGTCCTTTTCAGTCATATTCTCTGTTTGATTTTTGCCAAGAATAACTTTTTATACCCAATTCATATTTTTACTTGCCTGGAATAGCAATTTAATCACTCACCAGTTTCATGGTACTTGGTGAGATCAAAAGCTCTATTTTAGGTGAATTTGGCGGTAGAAAAGCAAAGTTAATAAATACAGTTACCTGGAAATTAACATGTAGAAAAGAACGTGTTTATTAATATGAGCACGGAAATAGTTGCATCTTTATGGTAAGCTCTGCATTCTAGTATGCAGTTGCAACTAAAGACTTTGAAAGTCTGGAGTCACTAAAATGATATGAATTCAGCACTGTAATCCAAATTTGAGACTACTGTGAATTCTGACCTGTTTTTTCATGAAGTTTTTATCAGATTTAAAATTTACAATTTAATTTGGTAGAACATGTCCATTGTGTTTTCATATCATTTTAAGATTTTGATCATTCATCATTGGGGTTGGATGGCCAAAAAAAATCATTGGTGTTGGAGAAAAATAATTGAAGAAGGGCCAATTTCTTTTAGCTCATTATTGTTATTGATAAAAGAAAAAATCAAAAGGAAATCCATCATGACAAGAAGAGCCATTGAAGGAAAATGAGAGCCCTAAAAAATTTACCAAATAATTGCTTCATGACAATGAATTGGCATAAACATTAGAAACAGTAATGAAGCATATGTAAAAATTCAATAAAGGCAATGCCAAAAAAAACTTAAAGTTATTAAAAATCTAGAATTTTGACATGTTTTAATGTGATAACTTTTTATGTACCTAAAGAAAAATCTAAATCAGAAAAGATTGGTGGAATGGGGGGGGGGGGGGGGTGGTAGGGGAGGGAGGGAGAACGATGTATGGGGCAAGTGTGGAGCTTTGAGTCTTCCTATACATTTGCCACTCTGCAATGCTGCAATTCTAGCTGGGTCTGCTGCCTGAAATTGCAACCAAAAGTGAAATGATAAGATTTGCGGAGAAAAGTGGAGCACTGAAAGGAAGGCGAAAGGAAAAAAAAAGATAGTAAAATACAAAGTTTTTATTTGTTTTTTCTCTAATTCAGTTTTCCAAATCCAACTAAATGGGGATGAAGATTTGGTTATGATCCTCCCCTGTAGTACCCAATTCAATCAAAAGTAGTACTCCTCATTTTTTTTTTTCTTTCCTTTACTTTTCTAATCTTCCATTAACTTTATCTTGGAATTCTATATGATGCAAAATTTGATTAATGAGGATACAAGCTATATATGGTAAGTTACAAACCAACAAGATTGATCATAATGGAATGGAGATGTGACAACCGGTCCAAAACCAAAGTGATTGGGTGAGTTACATTGTCTGAATTAGAGCTTAAAAGTGGGGAACATGAGAAATACAAATCTTTTTCTATGAAAAACCTATAATTTATTTCTGTCTAAGGAGTGAGACCTAAGAGATCCAATTATTAAATAAAGTACATATATATATATATATATATATATATATATACAGATTAATATACTTAGAAATGATCATAAGAAAAGAAGGATTTGAAAAAGAAAAAGAAAGAAGAGGGAGAGAAAGAAAAAAAAAGAGAAGAAAGTAGCTAAAAATATTAAGCATTGAATTGATTTAAAAATTAAAAGGTTAAGCTTGAAAGTGTTTTCCTACCATTATCAACTTAAAAAGAGCTCCAAAATATTATATATCTATACATTTCCTTTGAGATAAAATTAGTTCAGCTCTTTCCCTAGACAACACTAATCACACTGAAAATGCCAATATGGCCTGCACGTGCTCCTTATTCTAATTAATCTTCCCAAACAATATTGAAGCTCTATTTATGCCCTCAAACTCCATCAATCTTGGTGATATATATGATTTTTTAGTATAAGCATATTAGTTCATGTAGAATTTTATGGAACACAACTCGAAAATTTGAATTTGGGTTAGTTCACTAAATTTTCACTGTAAATAGCTAAACTTTCTGCAAGGTCCTTCAACAATAAACAAGTAATGTTTCAATTAAAATTATTGAAATCAAGTCAAAGCTCTAAGAAAATAAAATTAAGTAAATGCCAAAAATTATAAGACCCTCAATAAATATCATCCAAAGATCATTTTTGTTTCTTATTATTATCTTACCTTGAATACAAACTATGTTCCAAGAAAAAAAAATTGCATTAAAAAATACAGAATTAATTATTCTAATTAAAGCGTGAGTTGTTCCTATCAATATTATTCCAAAACCCATCGTAGTCGGCACGTCATGGACCCCAATATAAAGGTCCCCACTTATATATGGGGTTCACATGCATGGCAAGAATATCGCAAAAAGATATTACTAATTCTTTTTTATAATAATAAAATTTAAGATAAATAGACTATTCTTTTATAATATTAAGATGTAAATGCTAAAAATTATTTTTAATCATATAGAAACAAATTATTAATAAAGTTGTATTAAAAATTTACTTATATTGAGATGAACAATTTTATTAATTATATTTATGTTATTATTAAATATTAATGAAAAATAATTTAATATATTAACAATCGAATTTTTTAATTTCACAAATCGAATTAAAATGATGATATATATATTTTAATATATATTTAAAAATTAAAAAATAATAAATTTAAAAAAGTGACATATATTGTTATCTTAATCTTATTTATAAAGTTAAAAAATGTTACTATTAATGTATTAAATAATTTTTTAATATTAATTTTATTTTATTAATTATATCTTATAAAAGTGAAAACAATCAAAAGAAAAAATAGGATAAAAAAGTCCCCAAACCCTTGACGTAATAATTAAGGTGATTGATGAGGATAGAGTGTTTGATTTCGAATCATACCCTTCCTTCTCTCAAAGTATATTGTGAAAAAAAAAAGTATTAAAAAAATAAGGCGAAAATTAATTTGGGGCACGGGTGCTTCGTGCACCTTCCCAGCTTTCTACAGTATTCACGTAACATCTACATTTAAACTACCAACAAAAAGCACCGTTGCTTTATTATTTATTTATTTATTCTTTTAACTACCATTCAAAAAAGGAAGAGAGTGATAAATTTCATGTTTGACCCTTCAAATGATATCGTTTTGAAATAGTAAGCCTGTCGTTATGGTGGTATTTGTGATCAGAAATTTGATTAGTTTAATTGAGTATAAAGAGGTTTGGTTGCTCGGGAAACGTACCTTGAAAATCGGTACATATAAGCTTTTTAGCAGAAAAGAAGAAAGACCTTGGACCCACTCTCCTTCAAACAAAAAGCTCACCATTTCTGTGCGGATGCCACAAGCACGCCATGCAGTATACTCCATTACAGTGTTATGATTAAAGTTTGATTTTGTGTTTTATTTTTTAAAAATTTCGGATTAAACGAAAGATCCTATTCCTCTTTGATTATTTTAACTGTGTTTAACTTGTAATTAACGGTAATTTTTGAAGCACTTTCAGGTTTGACGAGAATAGAATTAATTAGAAATTGAATTGGAAAGTACGTCAAGTTTATCTAAGAGAAAAAAGGCAAGGGATGTCAGAGATTTAGAATAATTAAAATTTCGAGATTTATTCTAATACTTAATTTAATCAATTTTTTTAAATAACAGATTTAATTTTTTTTTTATGTCATGGACGATGATGTGATTTCTTAAATAATTATTTATCTTAATATCATATGTGAATGTTGATGATCTTACAATTAAAATATTGATGATATAACCACTAAAATATAATAATAGTAATTATGATGTTATATAAATCTTTTTAGAGATTGTAAAGGTTAATCAAAGTAATTTAAGGAACCTATTATTTTATATTAAATTTAACTAGCATTGTATTTGTGCATGAAATTTTCATCACTGGAAGTCACTGGGAGAAAACAAAGACTAGTGGTTGTGTCAGCGGAGTTAGCTAGCATGCTTATCACCAGAACATAAAAGCTCCTTTATTTACTTTGTTTCATAGCATTGGCAAGGTTTTTAAAGGTAAAAGATTTTCAACATAGTAGTTTCATATTGTACAAGCATGAATGACACTTGGTCGAACACTTTCCCGTCCAACGTTGAAAGTTTAATTAGGCTATATACTTTAGTTTGAAAATCATCAGTTTTTGTCCCAATGTTTAAAATTAGGGTTTGAATACTTTAGATCGAGCTTGAGCTTTGAAATTCATGGTCATTCTTGCATAAAAAGATTCGAAAATTTTTGTTTTATTATTTTTTTCACTTCTTTAATGTAAATCTTTAAGATGTAATTTTTTTTGTTTAAAATTAACAAACTTAATTAAGTTTAGAAATTTTTTTATATTTTAACAAAAAAATTCGTGTATGTAATATACTTTTTGAACGTAAATGTTTTGTTAAATGATCAAAAATACCTTTAAATTAATTATAATTTAATAATTATTTAAATATTTAATATTTTATTATAATTAATTAAGTGTTTGATTTTTTTATTTAAATTTAATTAAGTTTTTAAATGAATAAAATCTAATCACATGATAAAATTAATTAATCAACCCTCGAAGTATAATTAATTGAATCCTTAAAAAGAGTAAAAATAAACAAGAAAAAATATATTTATTTAATTTTAATATATATTAATTGCATCAAATGTCAAACTTTAATCTATTTTATTAATGTTATATGAAATTTTATCTTTATTAACAAAAAAATTCATAGTGTTAATTTTTTTTATCTAAATAAGGATTTAATTAAATATAAATATATAATTAATTATTAGGGTGATTGGTCTATTATATTAAAAAAAATAAAGACTTAAATAATTTTTTAATTATAATTTAATTTTTTTTAACCCGTTGGTCTAAATGTTTTCATTTGATAAAACTTAAGATTTGACAATTTGCAAGAACTTAATTTGTTTGAATTAAGTTTAAATTCTCCTGCAATCTTTTTTATGAAAAGAAAAAACATAAAAAGAAAAAGTGAAAATGGCAATATTGTGATAATTGATAAAAGTAATGTCATTTAGACAACCAGATAAAATACAGTTACTTTAGTTATAATAATCAAAGTTCCAAAACCCCTGTTAGAGAAAAAAGCAACGCTTTGTAACTTTCTTCGATCACGCTTTACAAATTTCATGTGCTAAAGCCCGCAAAGTATTTTGTATATAAAAGCCTGAAGAGAAAGCAGCCAAGAGAGAAAACCCTCCCTCACAAACATTATATACTTTTTATTACTAATCACTACTGTACGTTACATGCTCCCACAACAACAATGGCAGCAGCCATAACCAGAGATGAATCCGATTATGACAGCAGCTCCTCATCGATAACAGTGCCAGACTCCAGCCGGAGCTGGATGAGCAACCTAAGCTTCGGCAGCCGTCGGAGCTCGGTTTCTGTTTGTTCTGTTGAAACTTACAGCTCTCACAAGCCGCACAAGGCTAACCAGGCTGCATGGGAAGCCATGAAGCGCCTCATGAGAGCCAAAGGTCGAGTTGGGCTTGACCATTTCCGGCTCCTGCGTAGGCTAGGAAGCGGTGACATAGGGAATGTTTATCTTTGCCAGATAAGGAACCCTGTAGTTGGGTTGCCTCAGTGTTTTTATGCCATGAAAGTAGTAGATAGAGAAGCGCTTGCTATAAGAAAGAAGTTGCAGAGGGCTGACATGGAAAAGGAGATTCTGGGTATGCTTGATCATCCATTTGTACCAACTTTGTATGCAGAGTTTGAGGCTTCTCATTACTCTTGCTTGGTCATGGAGTATTGTCCTGGTGGAGACTTGTATGCTGCCAGGCAGCGCCAACCCGGAAAGCGCTTTAGTATTTCATCTGCTAAGTAAGTTAATTACTAAATTAGCTTTTATCTGATGCTTGTTAATTACATGTTTTGTTTATCTCTCTTATTTTATTTATTCAAGTAATGGTTCAGTAACTAAAGGTTAAAACTAATACAGGTTTTACGCTGCTGAGACACTTTTAGCACTAGAGTATCTGCACATGATGGGCATTGTTTACAGAGACCTGAAACCAGAGAATGTCTTGGTTAGAGAAGATGGGCATATCATGCTTTCAGATTTTGATCTTTCCTTCAAATGTGACGTTGTTCCAAAGCTTGTAAGGCCTAAAACCAACACGGAAGATACTGAAAAGTACGACAAGTACTGCTTGACTCCGTCATGCGCTACACCCATGCAACCAGTGCTCTCTTGTTTCTCATCTTCCAACAGGAAAAAGAAAACTGCTACAGTAACAACAATCACAGAACAAGCTGATAATTGCCGAGAAGTTGATCCAGAATTGGTGGCTGAACCAATCAATGCTAAATCCAAGTCCTTTGTTGGAACCCACGAGTACTTAGCGCCAGAAGTAATCTCAGGGCAAGGCCATGGAAGTGCTGTAGATTGGTGGACTTTTGGGGTGTTTTTGTATGAAATGTTGTACGGGAGAACACCCTTCAAAGGCGAAAACAATGAGAAAACATTGATTAACATCCTTAAACAACCATTAAACTTCCCAAGAATCAGTGTTAATAGCGGTAAAGAGTTTGAAGAGATGGTCAAAGTTCAAGATCTTATCAGCAAGCTCCTAGTCAAGAACCCCAAGAAGAGAATTGGAAGTTTGAAGGGCTCTGTCGAAATTAAGAGGCATGAGTTCTTTAAGGGAGTGAATTGGGCTCTGATTAGATCAATCAGGCCACCTGAAGTCCCTAGTGATCTTTACAAGATTAGGAGTAGTAGAGCTCACATACCAAAGCTAAGCAAAGAGGAAAGAGATGCCCCATATCAAATCCCTCATCAATTTGACTACTTCTAACTGTAAAATGTAAATAAAAATAGGCAAAAACAGGAAGCAAAAGAAAAAAAATCATGTACGACACCAAAGGAAAGAGTTGTTTTCCTTTTGTTTTTCCTGCTAATGAGAAAGATTTTAGACATTAATTATTGTAAGCCTCTATTTGTCTATGCTTTGAATTAATCAACATTTTAATTTATTTGGATGTATTTTCATACATATCTCAACCAATATTTAGGCTTACCTGTTAAAGGGATCCCATAATTGTCCCAATGTGATTCCCATGATAAGTCATGAACTTCATGTGGTAACAATAATGACTATTGTCAATGATGGTAACAATAATAATAAAATTTAAAACAAAGCTTTCCTTTGTGACTTTTTGTATCAACTCGACCACTTTTTTTTTTTTTTTTTCACAAAATGAGCACTTTCATAGTCACGCATTCACATGTCTTTCACCGATCAAAGGAAGAAAAAAACAATAAAAAAGAACAAATAATCAATCATGTTTTCCTGCTCCCCCCTCTCTCTCTCTCTCTCTCTCTCTGTTTTTCTCCCAAACAAAAGCAAGAATAAAAGTAAATTAAAATTTTCATTGGAGGAATGAATCTCACCTTCCATTCATTTATCTACTTAAAGTTGTTGTTTAGTAGGTTATGGCAGAGTGACTTTAGGAAGTAGATAAAGAAAGATTATAAAAATTTTGGGGGGTATAATAGATGATAACATATGAAAAAGAGAGAATACATTAGATCATGTGTGGACCACTTATATAATTATTAGAACGTGGTTGAATAATAACATCATAACCAAGAAATATAAAGAATTATACAATGTATAAAGTCGTTTATAAATATATAATAAAGATTCATTTATATTAGTATAATTCTTTTATTTTTTTAATTTTTGAATTAAAATTAAATTAAAAGATCATTTGAATTAAAATAATATTTTTGATCTAATCATTTAAAAAAATAAAAGAGTTATACTAAAATTTATATCAAACACGTACTTAAATCCGAAATTCTCATTCTCATTCGAGTAACATAAACCATTAGGGTTGGAAACTCATTGTTTAGTAGACGTACATCACAGGGGTTTGATTAAGGGTAAGTCAAATTTTAATGAAATGGAATTAAAAGATTTGAGACAGAACTTTGGAGAAGGTAAGAGGAATATGTTACAGTCAACGGGTTAATTATAAAGAAAAGGTAGCAACAGGTACGATTGGGAGGTTTCAAATAGCCAAATCGGCCTGACCCATTTGATGGAATTTTGTCACTTTGGAGGGGGGACCGGTCAGGCGTCAGGTTGCAGAAGCACGCGAGCAATTCCTCTTCAACCCCACTTGCTTGTGTTTGAATGGAGAAAGTGACAGCGTTATCTCTAGTCTAGTATTCCAAGATTCTCACAGATTCATAGCCAAGTTTCACCAAGGAGGAAAATGACATATAGTGATACAAAAGAGGGAAAAAGCTTATCAGTCCCTGTTTCTTTATTTATATAAAAATTTTATTTAATTAATTTTTTATAAAAAAAAAAGTTATCTTATTTTAAGAATAAAATAAGTCATCAATTTAATTAAAATTTATAAATTTATTAATTTTTATTTAAATTTATAAATAGTTAAAATCATAAAAAAAATTAAATATAAATACATTAACATTAACCTCTTATCACTTCTACCAACCTTCCTTTTCAAATTTACTCATGGCTCATAAGCCACCAAGGTGAGCAAAAATTATGATATCTTCGAAGAAACGAATCTTCCTAGCAAAACGAATATCTCCAAGCAAACTGGATAATTTAAGACATCAAAAGGCCCAAACACAATTTGGGCGTGGGCTACAAATGTATTAGGCTTCTTGGATTGGCTATGCTAAAATATTTCAATCTTATTATTATTTTAAAAAAAATTTAAACTATCCTTAAATTCTCTTACTCTATTACTTGTTAAAAAAGATATTACGTACTTAAACTCTCTTAAATTTATAAATTTTAAGTGTCAAATTTAATAATATATTAATTGATTCAAAAGGTAATCAACAATCTTACTTAAATCTAATAGCACTTATTATAATTAATATATGTGTATTTATATATTTTTATTTCGTAATTGAGTGAAACTTTATTTTTGAAGAAATACTTATAAAAGAATAGTCTTGCACAATGGTTTTGGGATTGTCATTTTATTTGCAGGTCAAAATTGAAGAAAATTTATACCTACTTCTTGAATAAAGTAAGAAGCAACAATGACGTTGCATCTAAAATTTAACAAAGTTTGACAAGAAATTACAAGTGAGTTTTCATTGACTAATGTGCGTTTTTTTTTTAATTACCCCTAGTGATTAGGATGGAACAAAAAGCTTTAAAATTGTGTTAACCAGGTCTTATCTCCAAAGCAAAGTTTGTACCTTTGAATCATTTATCTTTATACAATAAAATTTTTTCATCTTTTTATTACCCCTAGTGATTTGGTTTTTGTTTGTTACCTTTTCATCTTTTAACCTTTAGATATAAAAATAATACCTCCACATATTAAAAATTAAAAAATTAATTAAAAAGGTTACAAGTATTTTTTATTTTAATTTTAAAAAATCAGTCATTATATAAAAAGAACTTCTTTAAATAAACCAACTTAATATTTTATATTTAAATGTTTTTCATACAAAAACTCAACAAATGCTTGTGTCTATCCAAGCTCAAATTTTTTTTACGTGTCCAATTATTTAGTTCCACATAATAATTTCTTAATGAGGGTGCTTAGAAAGCTTGGAAATTAAGAACTTAAAAGAATTTAAAACAACAAAATTAAAAATAATTTTCAAGTAAATGCACGTGCATTAAAAAAATTTAAAAGCTTTTAGATCTAAATTTGGAACATAAACAGACCAAGCCAAGTGTCAAATTCCAAGCTTGATTTGATTAAAAAACACGAACATAATTTAAAATATTATCAAATCATTCAAGCTCACCGAGCACTATTATCATTAACTTGAATAAGGTGCTCAAATTTAATATTTAAAATTTTCAAAAATAACATATTAAATATTGTTTAAAAATTCAATTATTATTAAATGTTGTGAGTTTGAGTCTTGAATATTATAAAGTGACTTAAATTAAGCAGTTTGTACAAAAATAATGAACAGGTTCAAATATTGATCTAGCCCAATCCCAGTAACACGAGTGTTTACAACTCTAGTCTACCATCTCTAATTGTCAGATCAGATGCTTGATGAATCCAATACGGTCAAACCCACCATGCACTAGCCACCCACTCAATCACAAACCATCAACTCCAAGCAAAAACCCATCAGCGTATGCTACTGTTCCCTCTTAGTCTTGTCTGTACTCTATAGAAGCCTACTAATACTGGGAGCAGAGCAGCAATCCCATGAATTGCAGCCATTCTTCCGTGCCACGTGGTCCGATCTCATGGGCAGTGCAGCCGGTGCATAAAAACCAACGAAAATGACCTTTTAAAACTAATTGAAGGTTACTGGTTACCCATGGTTTTGTGAAAGTTTTGGCCTAAACCAGTGGCTTCTGCAATCTCTATGAGAAAAAGGAGACTATAAAAAAGAATACATAAAGTTCAACTAAAAAAGCAATTCTTAATGGATTTGTGTGTACAAGTGAATGAACACGAGCGGCTAACGTGACCAAACCATAGTGCCCACTGTTTTCTTCTTCATAATTTCAGAGCAACCCGTCTAAACCTGTAACTGCTAATTACCAAGGTGCCCTTTGCATAACATTCAAAGTTAAATGTGAAAAATTTTTTTCTTGTTCTTTTACAAATGAAAATATTAGATCGTGATAAATTCGAGATTTTTTACAACATCTTGATTATGATTTAACTTGGACATTGTTTTTCTTAATAAGCACTTTCAATGGAGTTTTTTTTATTTTAATCTTAATAAACGTTTTTTAATTATCCAAAAAGAAGATTTAAAAAAAATATATGGAAAGAGAGAGCGAGAAATGCAGGGAAGAAAAATGAGAATTATCCACATGTAAAAATGAAGTAAAGGGTTGTATGGTAATTAAATTACAGTGGCTGTTTATTTTTTCTTCTTTCTAACAGAGTAGTTATTTACTAATTTATCAATTCTTTTTGTTCGTACTTTGTCCTTCAGAAACCAAGGACGCATGGGGAACAGAGTGGGAGCAACAGAATCAAACCGACATTGGCAGAAATCAAAGTGAAAACAAGTGTCTCTGACGCTAGAATTCAAGTGAAACCAGCAAACTCTAAAGTCCAAACCCCCCAACACCTTAGGCACGGTCCCTTTCTCTCAACCACTCCAATCCATTACCCCAAATTTGCTTATATATACCCTGCAATTCTCACAATCTCTTCAGGCAAAGCTTCGGAAACATACATAGTAGTTTTATCTTCCGTATATCTTTTCTTTGACTTGTTTCATTATTACCATTTAGTTTGTCAGAAATCATACTTCTCTTACAATGGCTAAAAATGTAGCTCAATCCGCTAGCTTGGCTTCTCTTGACCAAAAGCTGGCCATGGCAAAGCGCTGCTCTCATGGTAAGTTTCCTTTTCCTTTTAGCTTTCTTCTTTTTCCCTTTTTATTACCCATTTTCAGGCACGGCTTCAGCTGTGTCCTGGCTATTATATTTTTGTTTTCTTTTTTCATCAACTTGCACTTCTTTGGTAACTTCATTATGTTAAACACCATGAGATAACATGCTTGACTCTTTAAAAAAGCATATATAGTAATGAGTGATCATGATCTTAATAATTTGATTGAGATTTGCCACATTTTAGTCTCCATAGAAACAAAAAAAATATATAAAATATTGATTCTTTCTTAACTCTCAAATGGGAAAAAGAAAAGACAAAGAGCCCCTCTTTGATGGTGGGGGACCCTAATATCCTAGACCCTTGCCTTCTTTCAAATTATGAATTTTGAATACTTTTAGCTTCACAGCAGATAATTATTGGATATAGCAGTTTGAACATCTGACAGTCAAGAATTATATGGGATGGGCTAGTGATAATGATAGCTTTGGATTTGGTTTGATTAATCTGATCAAGTAATAAGATTTTCATTAAAACCGCTTCTCAGTAATTTTTTTTTCACTATTTTACACTACTGGTTTAGTAATTTAAGTGAAAAATAACTTAAAATAATGATATGTTTCTTCTTTTGCACCAACAGAGGGCGTTGTTGCTGGAGCTAAGGCAGCCATTGTTGCTAGCATTGCCACTGCCATTCCAACTGTAAGTATATGAAAAGACAGCTTCATTATTGTACTAATATAGCATTCTTTTCTTAGGAACGATTATAGATCTAACATATTTCAACCTCATGTGCTTGACATGGATATGCAGCTGGCTAGTGTAAGGATGCTGCCTTGGGCGAGAGCCAATCTTAATCACACCGCACAAGCTCTCATAATCTCCACAGGTCTTCATCATCATCATCATCATCATCCTTTTACCAGTATCTCAAGATCTTCTTTTAGTAATAATTTGTTTTAGTTAATAAAGTTTCGTATTCGATTGCAGTGGCTGGAGCTGCTTATTTTATAGTAGCGGACAAGACTGTTTTGGCTACGGCACGGAAGAACTCTTTCAAGCATGTCCCTAACATGGAGGCATGAATTTGAGTTGGTCTGGATTTAAACTGGGCATCTACTTTATAACCACCACTGTTCACTTGGCTAAGAAAGGGATAGACAGAAGGGATGGGGAGAGGTGAATTTGTATTCTAAGAAGCCATTTGTTCCAGTGGCTATGTAATTCATCGTCTATGTATAAATAAAGATGGGTTTTCATTTACAAGGATCAGAGCTTTCTGCACAAAGAAAATTCACTTCCATTTATCCATTTAATCTGGAGTGCATGTATCTATAAGTGACAGTGACAAAATTTATAAACTTGGATTTGGACGTGCCCTTTAACTTTTTCCCAAATATAACCGCAAGTTGATAAGGTGTCACCAATAGTCCTTGCATGAGCAGAAACCATCCTTGAAATGGTGGAAGCGGTTTCTGTCTCTGGCAATAATTTCTCTGTTGAAGATCTTCGATATCAGCTTCGTAGCTGAATGACAATTTCCACATACCCGAAGATTCTTTACAATCCTAATTGTTGTCCCCGGCTTTGTACTGATCAATCCAAAAGCAATTGCTAACTTCTCGCTATGATGACTCAAGGCCCCTTCCTTCCATTCGTCATCCATGTCCTGGAGCACCTCGGATGTATCAGGCACAAATCCAGCCTTTTCCAAAAGCGTGTCGACTTCATTTAACATGTCATAAATTTCTTTGCAGCGGGGATGCACTTTGTCGCTGACGAGAAACTCATGAAAAACACTGTCCACCTCGATAGAGCTGCAACCAGGAACTTTCTTCATTCCCTTGTTATTTAGCAAGGTTCTTATTCGAGCTACATCATCCCATCTACCAGCTCCTGCGTAGATATTTGACAAGAGCACATAAGCCCCAGGATTTTCAGGTTCCAACTCAAACAGATGCTTGGCCACTGATTCACCTAGCTCAACGCGTTTATGAACTCTACACGCTCCAAGCAAAGAACCCCAGATTGCACCATCTGGCTTCATTTCCATATTCTGAATCAAAGCCTCTGCTTCATCAAACAGCCCAGCTCGCCCTAGAAGATTTACCATGCATCCATAATGGAGCATGTCAGGTGAAATTGCGTAATCTTTGACCATTGAACTAAAGTACATACGTCCAAGATCAAGAAAACCAGCATGACTACAAGCAGATAACACGCCAACAAATGTGATGTTATCAGGTTTAAATCCTTCACTGATCATTCGTGAGAAAAGCTCAAGGGCATTCTCTGCCCGCCCATGCATTGCTAGTCCAGATATCATTGCATTCCAAGAAGCCAAACTTTTCTGTTTCATTCCATTAAAGACTTGTTGTGCTGCTTTTATACTCCCGCACTTGGCATACATATCTATGAGACTCGTCCAAAGAGAGATATTATTTGACTTTTGAAAATTCTTGTCTATATAAGCATGAATCCATTTGCCAAGATCAAAAGCACCAAGGTTAGCACAAGCTGGAAGAATGCTTAAGAAAGTGACATCACTCGGCTCTAGATTTGATAGAAGCATTTGCCGAAAAAGCCCTAAGGCTTCCTTATAGCAGCCCATATGTGTATAACCACCAATCATTACATTCCACGAAATCACATCCCTTTGCTGTAAACCCTCAAACAAATCAAAAGCCGTGTCCAGATCACCACATTTAGAATACATATCAATAAGTGCATTAACAAGATGAATATTAAAACCGAGTCCATGTTCATCGATCCAAGACCTAACCCACTTCCCCAATTCAAGAGAACCCGACTGAGCACAAGCTGAAAGGATTGTGACCAATGTGCTTTCATTAGGCACAACAGTTGCTCCAATCATCTCCTCAAAAAAGGCCAATGCCTCTTCGTATTGACCAGTTTGGACGTACCCTGCAATCATCGCATTCCACGACACTACATCCCGTACGGGAATTTCATCAAAAAGCTCACGAGCATTTTCCATATAACCAGTTGAACCGTAACCACTAATCAACGCTGTATAAGAGACTGCATCTCTTAGAGGACTTTTATCAAACACCAACTGCGCATTACCCAGTTCACCATTTTGAGCGTACATGCTAATAAGGGAAGTATGAACAAAGGCATCAGAGTCAAGGCCAAGCTTCAAAACTTGTCCGTGAATCTGTTTCCCTTCCTGGGTACTAGCCATTTTTGCACAAGATTTTAAAACGAAAGGAAAAGTAAAAGTATTCGGGACAACACCAGACCAAATCATTTTAACATAGAATTCTAAGGCGAGTCCATAGGATGAACCCAATGAAAGCCCTCTAATCATCGTGTTCCAAATAACTTGATTAGGTTCATCAATGGATTCAAAGAGTAAAAGGGCATAAGGTAAGTCACCAAAAGGTGAAACGGCGCAAAATTGGATGAGCTTGCTGAGCGCAAACTGGGTGTGGTGGAGGCCAGTTTTGATGATATGGGAGTGGACTTGTTTGAGGGTTTGAATTGTTTTGCATTTGGAGAGGAGGGAAAGAGATGGGTGGTTTTGCAGGAGTTTGTAAGGAGGGTCTGATGAAGGTAGGAGATGAAGTGGGAAAGGAGATATGGGGACTGAAGTTGATGGCATTGCCATTTTCCCTTGAGAGTGATAATAACTGATACGAAGGGAGCGAGAGAGGAGAGGATTTTTCAAAATCCGTTGGTCGTTAGTGGACAGTTATCTGATAACCCGTGAAATTGGAAAATAACAATAAAAAATTATTAACGCCGTTGCCGGGGATCGAACCCGGGTCGCCCGCGTGACAGGCGGGAATACTCACCACTATACTACAACGACTTGGTTGATTAGTGTCATTACAGGTCAAGTTACCCAAACATGGTCCTGGAATCTTGATATGCTGCAACTCTTCTGGCAACTAAAGAGCTAGGCAGATAACAGAACATAGGTCAGACGATTTAAACAGTACAGAAAACGACTTTTTTTGTATATGAGGTTGCCAAATATTAAACTTTTTTATCACTGAAACTAAGAGTCCTAAACTGATAACTTATAAACTTGTGTTGCCCATCAGATCATAGCCTAATAGAACAGTGCCAAAGGATTGGATATCGGTGAGAAGCGCATTTCTGCTATGAACATGTCTTCGATCCTACTCATGCTGCCAAGTCCATCTATGCCTCCTTTACGGGGCTTTGATAGAAGCATATTATCACAGGGAGGAATTTCTTTCTTTCCCTCACTCCAACGAAACAAAAGGAAAAAAACTCAGGTGGTTGAGGACAAATGATCGGATCAAATTAATTGAACGACTAGGTTAATGCGTGGTTAGGGTCAATAAATTAAATCAGAGAAGAAAATAAAGCATGAGGAAATGCTGAATTTAAAAGAGAACAAGGGTAAGACCGAAAAGAGTTGGCTGGTTTGCCAGGGGGGGAATTTGGTTATAAGCTTATATTGGCCCAAGTAATGGCATTCGGCTTTAATTACTTTCTATTAAGATTCCAAGTCCAGATGCTCCCCTGGCCAGTGGCCCCTGACCACCCCAATCTCATCTTGAGATTCGGACCCTCAAAATATTAGAGCATGTTATTCATGATTAACTAGTGATGTTTAAGGTTGTTCCGTTAGAATTATATTATAGCTAGCGATATGGCGTGTGATTTGTGAATGTTTCTTTGGCTGGCATAGTTGCTGTAAATCTTGGCAAGATCGCGGATAGAATAGTTTTCACTTTTCACAAATAGGAATTTGATATGGCGAAAACATCATTTTGATCAAAGCTGGAGAGGTAGATGTATTATGAAATAATAAGAAGAAAGAACAGAAAACAAAAAAAAAAATTGAGACATTAAACCTATCTCTTGACAAAGAATCGATTTGAATTTTAGCCCATGAATTTGGAATGAAGATCTTAGACATCTTAGAAAACATTTCTCAGAAAAAGGGTTCAAATCTATGCTACATTTGGTCTCGTTGATTTTCTAAGAGTGTTAAATTGGCTTAAAGAATGGTAAATTTAAAAGGCCTTTAATGGTAATGGTTACGATTTATTACCTCGATCCAATCCATTTACAAATTCTAACTTTAATTCAGTTCTTAATATAACACTAACAGCACAAAGATTGACAATCACTAGCTAATTTAGTACAATAATTGGTGCCAAGTCGGAGAGATGCCGGGCTAGAAGTCATTTTCTCACTTTAAAAGTTGGGACAATAGCCAGGGAAGGAGGACAAGACACCGAAGGAAGGGGTGAAACTTTTGCAGGGGTAATATCTATCGTCTCTTGGAAGGGTCACAAACCAATGATCTGACAAATCGATTTGAAAAATTAGTATCAAGCGACTTTAGTTGTTTTTTGGCCCTGTGTCCAATCAGATTTTTTGGGTTAGCCAAGTAGCTTCGGATGATCTAACAGCCAAAATATTTCAGACTTTGATTGAATGTGATCTGTCCAAGGCATCATCGAATGAGCACTGAGCACATTAATGTTTTACTTCTTTTAAGTGCTGCTAGCTATTTGAAAACTTTAATTCATGTGGCAATGGAAGGGGAAGAGAATATCCAAAATTCAAAGCAACGGCTATTCTTCCAGGGTAATTCCTTAGTGGATGTGGATTCTCTCAAGTATTATTGAAGGGAGATGACCCTTTTCTGAAAACAGTCACAAGCAGAGAATAAAGCTGGAGTGGCTGCAGTTCTGAGGTTTTCTATGAGGAATATTCACCATATCTGGTAAAAAATGGTGATTGGGATTCCTCCTTATCAAACCTGTAACTGCTAAACAAGCAAGCATTTATGCCTATTTGGAGTTGAATGTGTTTGCCATGCAAGCAATAGAAACCCCAAATACCATAGTCAGAGGGGTTTACCCTGCAAATGGCTCATAAAACCTATAGTTGAGTATATTATGTTTGTGGCCTGTAACTTGCAAATACATATTTTTCTTCCTTCCATTCTTTATTGGCCTGCGAATTAGGTGGTTGATTTCGTTTCCGACACCATTTCACGAATTTGTTTCTGATAAATCCCACATATAACTTAACATGGCAATCATACTTTTCATCTGAAAATGAGGTGTTTTAGATTTAATCAATTCGTTTTGAATCATGTTTCAAATCTTGACTGACATGTTTTAGCTGCCCTCAAGCTAATTTTTAGCAACTCGAGCTTCCTTACATTCCATTTCAACATTTGTTATATATTCGAGGGAATGTTCATGAATGAGGCCAAGATGGGAGGCTGGAAAGGAATGTATAGTAACTGTTCTTTAACAGAAGACAAAGTTCTCATGCTTATGAATAAATTGTAGAGATCCGCACCCAAGCGAAGTATTTTTTATTTTGATTCAAATGTCTCACGATTTTGTTTTACAAAAAGCTTATCATAGATTTGAATTTAAGTCTTACTTTATATATTATAGTAGATCCTTAAAATCTTTTGATGAGTTATTATTTATTTTAATCTAAATGTCTAATGATTTTTGTTTGTCTCATGATTTTATTTTATAAAAAGCGACTTAGAGATTCGAATTTAAATCTCAACTTATATATTATAACAAATTCTTAAAATCTTTCGATATGAGATGGGGTGTCACAAACTCCCATTGTTAAAAGCTTAATGTCCTCATTAAATCCAATACAAAGTACATAGATCCATCAAATCACATCAAATGTTGGGCACCATCAAATCTAACATAAAGCGCACAGATTTATCTAATCACACCAAACATTAGGCAAGTTTAACATAAAGTACATATAGATCACAAAATTATACTAAACATTAGGATTTTAGAGGTGGCTACTATGGTGTAGCACTTAATTCCCCATAAACTTCTCGCTCGCACCAACTGGTTGATGGAAATATACTTACTACAAAAAAATATTCGTGTTATTTCGTCTACACCGGTTTGTACACGAATGTGTGAGTTATATCAAGTACTTAGTAAATTATAGACCACCTCAAATCTTTGTTTTCAAGAGGGATGATCAACTTTGTAAATATCAATCGAAACTTAAACCCTTATATAGGTATACAATTTAAGAAAGCACAACAATTGAACCCAACACAAAACACATAAATTTATCAAATCACACTAAATGTTAGATACCGTTAAACCCAACATAAAGCACACAAATTTACAGAATCATACCAAACATTGGGCAAGCCTAACACAAAACACACATAGATCATGGGATCACACTACACATTGAAATTCTACAGGTGACTCTTATGGTGTAGCATTTAACTCCTTGTAAACTTCTCGCTCCCACCGGCCGGCTGATGGAAATATACTTACTACCGGAGATATTCGTGTTACTTCGTATGGTTTGTACACGAATGCGTGAGTTATACCGAGTACTCAGTAAATTATAGACCACTTCAAATCTTCGTTTTCGAGAGGGATGATCAACTCCGCAAATATCGATCGAAACTTGAACCCTTGTATAGGTATGCAATTTAAGAAAGCACAACAATTGAAATAGGTAGTCTGTATTGGTATCAGATCTATAGGAAGCACAACAATTGAAATAGCTAGTCTGTACTGGTATCAGACACAGTTAAATCCAACACAAAGCACATAAATCTATCGAATCACATCAAACGTTGGGCAAGCCCAACACAAAGCACACACAGATCACAGGATCACATCAAACATTAAGATTTTAAAAGTGACTCTCACGGTGTAATACTTAACTCCCCAAAAACTTCTCTCTCCCACTAGTCGGCTAATGAAAATATACTTACTACCGGAGATATTCGTGTTACTTCGTCTGCACTGGTTTGTACACGAATGCGTGAGTTATACCGAGTACTCAGTAAATTATAACCACTTCAAATCTTCGTTTTCGAGAGGGATGATCAACTCCGCAAATATCGATCGAAACTTAAATCCCTGTATAGGTATGTAATTTAAGAAAGCACAAAAATTAAAATAGGTAGCCTATATTGGTATCAGATTTATAAGAAGCACAACAATTGAAATAGGTAATCTATATTGATATTAGATCTATAGGATCACACCACACTGTGTAACATTTAACTTCCTATTCGATTAATAATTGTTTTGATACCATTTGTAGAGATCTGCACTCAACCTGCGATGATTATTTGTTTTAATCCAAAAATTTTATGATTTTGTTTTTACAAATTTAAGTTTAAGCCTCAACTTATATATTATAACAGATTTTTAAAATCTCTTGATATAGGATTGGGGTAACAAATAAAGCCAAGATTGATAAGGAATTAGGATGGTGGATTCTTGTAGATAAACTCAATTGCCATCGCCAATGCCTCTTGGCACGCCTTCTTTGGCGTGCTGCGTGCAGAAGGCATGCCTTAGAATCTTTGCCAATGCCAATATTGAATCCTTTATGCAGGTCCAAATAATGCAGCTCCGCACATCATATATTAAAAACTAGATTAAGAGGGTAGAATTTCAGGTGCAATCGAGCCCAACTCCAATGTGAATGCCGTTTTTATCAGATAACTAGCTATAGCCCACCAGCATCGGTCCGCCGCAAACCATATTCGAGTTAAACATTCAGCAGAACATTCCCTTATTTATTTTTCTAAATTTTGTACATACTTGTTCGTTTTCCATACGTTTCAGGCTCTAAGAGGCAGATGAGAATTTGATTGAAAACATCACGTTCATTGTGTCACATGTCAGGCCTTGAGGTGTAGAAAGGAAGGCCAAGGTCAAGTCGCATTTGGAATATACAAAGAAAGAGTGATTAGGAAGAGCATTGAGAGCAAAGGGCTCCAGTTGATACGAATCGTCAAATGACTTTTGAATTATTGCAAGAAAGGGATTCGATACATGCAAAAAAAAAAAAAAAAAAAGGAATTTTGCAATGGATGTGCATTATAAAGAATAAATTCCAAATGCCAAAAAAAAAAAAAATCTCCTATGTTTCTGATCCTTTTTTACTGTCCCAACTGCACCGGCACTGCATAAGCCTACTCAAGGAAGGTATATCTGGTTAGTTGGATGCAGGGATGGCAACGGGTCGGGTCGGGGCGGGTTTTTGCTCGCCCCGAACCCGACCCGATTTTAAATATACAATACCCGTACCCGTACCCGACCCGAAAATTTTTTTATTTTTAATACCCGAACCCGACCCGACCCGACAGTGTATAAAATCAAATCCGACCCGACCCGACCCGAAATTAATAAAATATTATTTTAAATATAAATATAAATTAAATATATATAAAAATATATATAATTAAATGTAAAATTTAAAAAATAATTAAAAAATAAATTTTTTATATATATCGGGTCGGGTAGGGTCGGGTTTGCTTAAAACCCGACCCCGACCCGACCCCGAATTTTTTTGACTCTACCCGACCCTACCCGACCCGATACCCGATTTTCAAAAAAAAAAAAACCGACCCTAAGGGGTCGGGTCGGGTCGAAACCCGACGGGTTCGGGTGATTTTGCCCACCCTAGTTGGATGTTCGCTTCCCCCCCCAATTTTGGCACCTGACGTGTCCATCCATGTCAGCTTGGATATGGAAGGAGCAGTTCTTGTCAGGCTGAAATGTCCATACATGTGGAAGACACGTCAGCTTTGCACGTGAGAGGAGCAATCTGAGCGACTTGTGAGTAAAATGAAGCTATAATGGTGTCATGGTGCCACGTTGGGGAGGACAAGTAGGATGAAATGAACAGTATAACTATATCTTTGGAACCATGGTTGAATTTTGTTCGACTCTCATAATTAATTCTTTCATTTTAATGTATGTTGTTCTGCAATAATCAGAGGACTAAAAACTAAAAAGCATATCTGATGCAAGTATCCTAAGTACTTCCCTCTGGTTTAAGCGAATATCATTTGCAAGAAAACTTATAAATGGCCAATTCAATATTGATTCATTCAAATTATTAAGAGCTAAAGTGTTATGGACTGTTCAAGATTGTTCAAACTAAGAGTAAATTAAATTCTACAATACTTAAAAAAGGTATGTTGTATTCACCAAGGGAAAAAAAGGAGGCCAACAGCAGCCTCCGTATCCAAATAACATCTTCCCCTCATAACACCTTGCTGGTAGCAATATGGATGAGAAGAGAATAATATTTCACATTGTTTTTCAGCAATAATTATAGGGAATCACATAAAGAAGGGGCACGTTTGTATTTCTATTTTATGAATACATGCACTGCTAAGCTTTCTTCCCGAGAATGAAAAAAAATGTGAAAGAAATGTCTAAACCTCCCAGAAGAAAGAACTGTCTGCTTCCGGAATGCCATGTAGACAAAAGAAAAAAAAAATGACACAGTGACCTCACAAATCAAGACTTAGCAATTGTATATATAGCCCTTCCACCCCAAACACCAAAATCACCCATTGCACCAAGAATTTATTAATTCAGCTACTACTAAGTACTAACAATTACTATTACTTTTCTTCCAGGCCCTTTATTTTCCAGGAGGCAAGCTTCTCCAATCTAGCTTGTTTTCTGCCCGTCAAATGTTTTTTCTGTCCTCGTCCTAATCACGGTTACATTAGTTTCTGCTAGAAGAACATTAGAATTCAAAGTACTAGAATTGAACAGACATCTTTTATCAAGTCAAAGGAGCTTGGGTTGAGCTTAGACTAACATGATTATAGGAATATATAGTTTTCATTTTTGTTTCTTATCTAGGACTGCTAGCTACTAGCTGGAAGTAGAATAAAATCCGGTCTGATTTCTTTTTCTCATTTTCTGTTTTGTATAATAGTTATCAGGATCAAAATGAGCTGGACAGGAGGAGATTGGATGTGTGCAGCATGCCAACACCAGAATTTTAAAAAAAGAGAAGCATGCCAACGCTGTGGGTATCCCAAGTATGGTGGCCCTGATGTATCGACCTATTTATACAACAACAGGACAGAAGTGTTGGCGGGGGACTGGTATTGTGCTGCCATGAACTGTGGAGCTCACAACTATGCTAGCAGAACAAACTGCTATCGATGTGGTACCATGAAAAATGATTATGGTGGTTATAGAATGATGGGCTCTGAATGCAGTGTTCCTCCTGGATGGAAAACTGGTGACTGGATATGCACCAGGTGAGTTTGCATTGACATTTTGCTTTGAGAAAGTGATGCCTTGATTATTAGTCTCAAGTGACGACAAGAAAAAGGATCATAACCCTGTAATAATATTTGGGAAAATGTTCTTACTGAGCATAAAATTCCACAAATTAGCTGCATTGTCTCTGTTCATGACATTCTTGATATCGCATTCCTCTACATATTAAAAACATAATATTATGAATTTCCAAATATAATCATAGCAGACAATAAATTCCCACCATAGTGTTCATCTTCCAAAAACAAAATTTTCTAGAAATTACTCAGCATAATTTTACAATTCTATGGCAATGCAGTGCCTTTTATCACATATTACTGGAATAACAATGACAGTATGGACACTGTAATTTATTCTTTATGCTTAGGTTCTGGTCTGATATGACTGACTTTTCATGTGAATATGAATGCAATTTTGTTTGGACAGATATGGGTGTGGAGTTCACAATTATGCTAGCAGGATAGAATGCTTTAAATGCAAGGCACCAAGGGATTTTGGTAAGAAATCTTGATAGTCAATTGCAGCATTGATCTTATCATAGCAAAGAAAAATGAATTACTTCAACATAATCCATCGAAAAGCTATTCAGCCAAGTTCCTGACAAATTTTTCCCTTTTCTTCTACCTTTCAGGTGGTGCTTAGAATTTAGGAAGAGAACGCTGTATGCAATGTCACTAATCTCTCTTCACCTCTGATCCTTCCATCATCAGTTTCTGTTTAATTTGGAGTCAAATAACATTTAGGTTGACCAAAGATAAAGGCCTTTTTCCAAGCAGAGCCATGTAACTGCATTAATCAGCAGAAGGGTTTCTGGCTTTATTATGTGGTGCATGATGTTCCCTAATTTTTCTTTTTCCTTTTTTTTTCTCTTTATAAAAATTTGATGGAATTACTATGTTTTAAGTGCATGTCAAAATCCTTCTTTCCCTCTGGGTATGTGTGAGTGTGGGGAAGCATCCATAATTCAATACCAGTTTTGGAGATAGCCTTGGGTTCAACCAATGCAATAAAACTAATTCAAAACTGAGATAGCCGAAATTCATAAATAAGATTCAAGGAATCTCTGTGAGTAATTCATCTCAAAAGGCAGGCTTTCTCTCAGAGCAATAATTTATGATTCCTTTAAGCATAAAATCTGTAGAACTATATATAATTATGAAGATAAGAACCAGATGCTGTTACTTTAAAAGCATAGATGCGATGTCAATTGCCAAGTTCTGAGCCAGTCAAATCCCACTTTTACCCTTTATCTTCTTTTGCCATTCATTCTAGTGGCTCAGCTCTCAATTCAGAGCCCCTCGATTTCACTTACTATCACATCGTTTGAAGCAAGATGAGTTCCATTGTCATAGAAGAACCTATACCATAGCTAAATATGGAAATTAAAGGATTAAAATTTCCAAACTCTTCAGCTTAATGAGCATAGTTGATCAGAATGTCTCAATTGAAAGTAATTAACCTTCCTTTTCACCTACACTAAAAAAACATACTATGTCTTAATGCCTAAAAATTTTGAGTTGAGCCGAAAACCCACATTCTTTTCTTCAGGATTCAGGGGGGAAGAGGAAGGGTTGCTGACTTTGGGGGTGCAACAGGAACAGGGTCAAGGGAAAGTGGGGCTGAAGGGAATAGAACCTAGCTAGGTTAGCTAGGTTGAGGACCTAACAGCCTAGGTGACCACTCTGAATAGAAGTTTGGGTTGTAAAATTTATATATCTCATCTTTAAAAGAAGTAATACTTGAACCTATTAGTCAAAGAATCATGTTCATTGTTCAAGTGAACCAGTTTTACAACAGCACATCCAAAGGGGTCCAGAGCCCAGACACAAGTATAAAGGGAACATTGGGATGCTGCCCCTTCTTCACTTTCCACTTTACTTTCATTAATGTTGCTTAAGTTTGGAACATAGTCATGCAAAATCGTGGTGCTAAATCAAGGAGCATATTATGTTTAATCCTTGTAATCCTTGTCTAAGATTCGCATACAGTATTTCTGTCTCGATTCCTCTATTTCATTCAATTATATGCAGTGAAAACAAAAGCATTGACAAATAAAATTGTCTAAAAGGAAAAAAAAGAAAAAAACATATTCAAAGACCATGCATGATGTAGTGTCATAACATATAGATTCGTAAATTTATCGCTAAATATAGATTAAAGAGAGTTACCACCAATCTTTTTGTTTAAGTGTGATTGATCACCTGATCAAATCTGTTTCATTTAGAAATGAGTCCCAAGATTGACTTAGGTATCTTTAAATCGTCGATTATGATCTACAAAATCAGATTTTAGGTTTAAGAGTATGGTTACGCATGAAAAATGTTATAACATCATTACAGTACCTATCAAAAGATGTTACCGGTTTGATATAAATTATCCAAGCCTCAAACATATTTATAATTTACCAAATGTTTACTATTGAAAATTGATCTTAAGATTACTTCAATATGTTGGTAACAATTTAAGATAATTCTCTCACCTCAAGAGTATTTATGAAAACTAGTGTCTCATCCTGAAGAGGCTTCATCGTCAGATTTATTAATGTGTTTTACTTGAGAAAATAATTAGTAAAGTCCTTTAATAGTTTAGTAGAATTTATTTTGATGGCTGGTGAGATTTTATTGTAAAAATATTTATAAAATTTTATTTTTGAAAAAATTCATTAAATCTTCTAAAAGTTTGGTAAGATTTAACTTAAGATACAATCATTTAATAGTTTGGCAAAATAAAATATAAAAAATTATTTTTCTTCTGAAAATAGATTTATGAAAATTTTTAATGGTTCGATAGAATCCATAAAATTTAAATTTATGAAAAATCTTCTAATAGTTTGGTAGGATTCATGAATTTATTTGAAAAGAGAATTTTTTATTTTTTTAATATTTTTTTAGGTTGTTTTCCAAAGATAGAATAATAAAATTGAATTTTACAAAATATTTAATAATAAATTACTTAAATTAAAAAAAATCAATAAAGGAAAATGATAAAAAAACTAAAAATAAAAAACTTAAAAAATAAAAATCAAAAAATAAAAATAAAATAAAAAAGCAAAAAAATCTATGATTGAGTTAGGTCGAAAAGGCGGGTTGTGCGTGAGTTAGAGGGTTGACGCGTGAATCCTAGACTGGATAAAACGATGTCGTTTGGCATCAATATAAAAACCAACTCTCAGCCTTTTCTTCAAAAGTCTTTGATTCTTTCTCTCTTTAGCCCTAAATTTTTCTTACTTTCTTTCTAAAAATTAAAGAACAAACCATCAAAAACTAAGCAAGTCATTGATTTTTGAAAAAAGTTATCGAAATCTGGTCAAAAAATTCAAACTCCGTCAAAAAATTCAATGAAATTTTCAAACATTCAACCCCAAACACAGATTTTTCTAGAAATTTTTAGATTTTTTCTAGAAATTTAACATTCAATTCCAAAACTTCGAATCCAAACCCAAAAATTCAAACTCTGAATTTTCAAAACTGAAAATCCAAATCTGGAATCCCTAAAACTCAAATATAAAATCCCAGAAACTCAAACCTAAAATCCCAAAATTTTAAACTCAAAATCTTTTATCCAGAAATTCATTCTATGAATTATTCTATGATACTGTGTCCAATTTATAACCAGCCTTACTAGAAATTTTAGGGTTGAGACAAAACCAATCCAAGCTTGAGTCCTGAGATTGGATTCTGACCAAACAAAACCAATCTAGGGTTGAATCCTAGACTTGGTTCTTATTCAACACGATGTTAGGCCTAGGTTTGGCAAGTTGTATGATTTGATTCATGATTTTATGCAAAATTGAAATCTCCTTTGATTATGCATAGATTAATTACTCGATTTAACACAAAAAATGGAAAGAACAATAATAATAATAATAATAATAATAATAATAATAATAATAATAATAATAATAATAATAATAATACTAGTAATAATAACAATAATAATCAAAATAATAATAATAATAATAATAATAATAATACTAATAACAAAAAAAAAATAATATACATAAAAATCGACACCGATTGACTTCAGATACAGATGGTTATCTATAACTACCCTTCTTTATATATCCTTGTTAGATAGGAAAAATGCAAAGACCTAGGCATCCATTCTATTCGGGTTTAAAAAATGAAAATCAATAGACGAAAATAACCAAAACTGAGTTGCAAATAAAAAAGATGATCTGGACCTAAGCTGGGATTAAATGATTAGGATTGAACTGCAAGTAAGAAAAATGATTAGGATCAAGCTGAGATCGAACGATCGAAATTGAATCGTAAATCAAAAAAATGATCTAGATCGAGTCGAGATCGAATGATCGAGATTGAACCGCAAGTAAAAAAATTGATATGGATCGAGCCAAAATCAAACGATCGACATTGAACTGCAAGTCAAAAAAATGATTTGGTCCAAAGCAAGATCAAATCTTTGGGGTTGAACTACAAGTCAGAAAAACCAATTGATTTGGATTGAGTCGAGATCGAAGATGAATGATCGAGGTTGAACCATGGTCAGAAAGATGATCTGAATAGAGCTGAGATCAAAATGAGTGATCGAGATCAAATCGAGTGATCGAGATCAAATCGAGAGCATAAAAGATGACTTGGACTAAGCTGAGATCAAAACAAGTGATCAAAATTGAACCACAAGTTAGAAAGATGATCTAGACTAAGTTGAGATCAAAATAAACGATGAATGATAATGCAATGATACAAGTGCATGCCTTATCTAAGATGTAAATAAAACCTTAATTGTGGTACTAAAGTTCCAACAACTTTCTTTCACATTATCTTTTTTACATATTTCTCGTAAGGAGATTACAAACCATTCTTCATTACTCAAGATAAGCATTTATCTTCATCCTAATATGAGCTTTCAAAATCAATGACTTTATCACACTTTGAGGATTTCATCTTTGACCCTTGTCCCTTTTATTTCTCTCAAAGTAATACATAATCTCTTATGACATTACTTAATTATTGATCATTATCCCAATTTCAAAATATAAAATACAAATTATGCATTCTTCTATTCATGGCAAAGCATAAAAAGGAAAATGCAAATATTGAAAATGGAACATAAATGGATGAAATGAATATCATTTATTTAGAGAAGAAAAAAAATTATAGATGGTGGCAAAGGCACAAAATAAAAGTGTATATGGATGGCTATTTGGGATAGCAATGCCCCAAGATAAACAATAAGATAATCATGATTACAAATCTTGGATTTCTTCAAAAACTTAACCATATAATGCCCTAGCACTTTAGAGTTCTTTGAAATTCAATGATTTTGGTGTGCCTCAAATGATGTCATATTCTTCTTATCCAAGTCACTTTTATATGTTTTCAATTCAGATAACCTCTATTTAGTTCAAGCCACCCTTCCGGATTTTTAACTTAAACTTTTTTTTTTTGCTCAAACTAAGTATTTTTTTTATGACATCAGAATTTATGGGATTAAGAAGATCATTTCTATCCATCTTTGACAAAATTAAAGCTTCTCCTGAAAGGTTCTTTTCACAACATATGGTCTTTCTCAATTTGGAGTCCATTTCCCCCTATCATCATGTTGACTTGAGAAAATTTTTTTCAATACCAACTCTCATTCTCGAAATTGATAAGGTTGCATATTTTTATCATGAGCTCTCATCATTTTTTTTGGTATAATTGACCATGACAGAGTGTTGGTAATCTTTTTTCTTTAATAAAGTTCAATGTTCATAACGCTTTTGGATCCATTCAACTTTTTTTAAAAGCCCCATTTCCCTTAGGACCCTCATATATTGGATTTTTACTTTTACTGACAATATGGCTTATATCTCGTAAACCAAGGAAAATGAAGTTACCCCAGTGAA